CCTGACCTTCTCTTATTGATTGAAGAACTTTTTAAAAATTACGTTCAAAAAGTCACTTTTAAATTTGAGTGTAACTTGAAAAATTAAATAAAGTTTATATTTAAGATTTAATTTTTCAATAATCGACTCAGTTTTCAACATATGATGAAACTCTTTTCTTCAATGCTTGAGTCGATTAATGAAAAACTGATATTATATGTACTACTTTTTCAGAGCTAAAGCACCGAAAAAATGATATAATATTTTTAATATAATTAATAAGAATTGTCTTCGACATGATGAAAAGATTGGGTTGATTTGATTTTATTTGAGACTTGAGTTAGTATCCCTAAGTCGTGTACGGCGGCACTGCGTTCCACCTTACCCAACTTAGCGGTTTGACACTTTACAAAACCGGTAACGTATATTTTACAATACAACCATAACACCAACTTAACCTTAAATATTTACAAAACCATCTGACACATAAATGACTTCACTAACGACTTCACTAACGACTTCACTAACGAATTCACTACCATCCTCACTAAATAAAAAATAACCTTATTTTATTTATTTTCCCACTTTTTTATTTCATTACAAAGACATGTCTGACTACATTTACTATGACTCTTTCCCAGAACGTTTCCGTGAACTATTCAAAACTCAAGTAAAACTGAGAAACATGCATTTTAACAAAGACAGACCCATTGACGATGAAAGAAACCCTGAATATATTACAATCCCATATGACGCAAAATTCATTGCATACATTCCTTATGGTCGCAGAGGAACGAAAACTATTTCAACAATGACGAAAAATTATTTCTGGAGCGATGAAGAAAATTGCCTTATCTACATAAATGCATACTTAAATAAAGCTACATATTGTACAAAAGAAGGTTGGACTGGATTTGAGCTCTACATATACGACGACGATGGAAACAGACGTTGTGTATACCCATACGATAATATGTACCATTGTTTTCATCAAGCATTAAACGAATACATAGTCAGTAAGGGTCTCATTCCTGTTGAGTAGAAATGCTTTATTTTTGTTCCCACATTTATTTAAAAATAAATGATATCACCACCCTCACACGTATGAAAACATAGCACAAAAATAGATTTAGGTGAAGTGGTGAGATCTCACCTCTTTTTTCACCTGTTTTTTCACCCTGTTGAATTCATTGCTTTATAACTCTCTTCCTTGGTTTCTTTTTAGTTGCTTTCTTCACGTCTGTCTCCAACTTGACTGTCTTTCTTCTTCGTCCATAATGATACCAATTACTTCCACCAGTCAATGGGTCAAATGGTCGTTCATAAGGGTTTCCATACATTCCATAAGGTCCGTATGGATAAACCGCTGGTGGAGAAGAAACATTTTCTTTAGTTCCATCGACTCTATTTAAATGCATTGTTTCACCTTTCATCTGGTCATTAAAGTCTTTTGCGTGTTTTGCAAACTCATCGTCCTTTCCTAAAGAATTTTCTGACTCAGTCGCAACCAAATTGGATGCTTTATTTATGAGCCCTATTTTATTTAATCTTAACTTCTTTGCAACCCAGCCTCCAATCTTCCTTTATTTGCATCTAATGTCTTTGAAACCCTTCCTCCACTCATTTTATTTACTGCGTCATAAGCTCCAAGTGCTTTTGCTCCAAATGCTAATGCTTTTGTTCCCATTGCGCCTAAAGCTGCCCAAGCTACCATTTACACCATATTAAAATCATCTCTCTTCAATATTATCTCATAAAAGTTCTCGTTACTGGAGAAAGTCAATGAAACATAAACATTCTCACGTGCTTCGCCCTCACCGCTTTGCGGTCTATCTAACTTCTTTCTTATCTCATCTATCGCTTCAAAATGTCTGAACAATTGCTAACATCTTCTACAACAGTTATTTCATCATGAATGACCTTCAAGAACAAGCTCATTTAATATGCAATTAAAATCATCTCAATAATGAGTCCATCCTTTCCATCTTTAGGTAGCACAACATCTTTCATTGAAGAAGGTTCGACAAGTCTTATGTTAAACTTACTGACAAAGTTTGTTATACTATAATGCTTCGGCGGCGAATACATGTAGTTTGAAAGACATAATATAGATTCTTCAGCAAATTCACTTATACTGGATTTTATAACAATGTTCTCACGAGACCAAATACCACCAATTGACAATCTTGTAAGCAATCCTGCTGAACCTTCTACTGTAAACGTCGATGGTAACATTCCACGAAGGTCATCTATTGACATCGTTGAGTCACTGTATTTAAATATTTTCTTAAAGCAATCGTCATTATCTAACCATGCAATAGCTTTGAAGTTTTCATTCGAATATACATCTGCTTCATTAAATGTAAAACCTGACTTCTTTGCAGAGATGACTTTAAAATCTATTGAGTTTGTTTCAAAATTATATGCTATGGTAACTTCTGAAGGTAATGGATGTCCTTCCGCAGTCAGTTGTTCTCTCACTACCGTTTGAAGCTTTGTGTTAAAAACTTTCATGTCATCTCCTGTGTCTAGGTTCACATACACAGCAACAGGAAAACTATCTTGCTTCTTTGTTTCATCATTATATCTCAAAACATTAAAGTTCTTCAATAATATTGTTCTTCCTGCTGGAATACTTCGAACCTGTCTGATTTCAATAGCTTTCTCACCTCCTACATACTCTACCCAGTGTCTTGGATATTCATAAGTATACTGACTTTCTTGAATTTTGGTTGGTTTCATCATAACGTGTTCATAGTATATCTTTATACTCTTGTCAGTTAGACTCGGTGCTATGTTCTGAATATTTCTGACTTGCATTTTTAATGGAGATAAAATGAAGCATTTAATACATGACGTAGATGAAGACATGAATGAAACTACAGACAAACTTAACTCTTCTCTCATTCTTCCTTTCAGTAAGGACTATGAGTTCTGTTCAAATGTGTGTTTATTTCTATTGTGGAAAGATGGGTTCAGGTAAGACATTTAACCTCATTCGTCATATACTCATAACAGAACGTTTAGGAAATGACTCATATTATGACCAAATCATTATATCAGCAACTTCAGACTCTATGGACTCAACAGCGAAAACATTTATGTCAAAAGTTCAAGCCTCTGTCGTTAAAGTTCCAGACAGTGAACTCATTGAATTTCTTCAACGTTACATTCGACGTAAGAGGAAATATTATGCCATCGTTGAATTTATACAGTCAGGAATGCAAAAGACTTCAGAAGAGATGGAAAGAATTATTGACAAACACCACTTACGTCAATACTCAGGAGTTTACGATATGAAACGACTGACAAACTACATTCTATCAAAACTTTCAAAATACCCCTTCAAAAAATATCCATCAAACACTTTATTAGTTTGTGACGACTTCGCTGGTAAAGGTTTAGTGTCAAAACCAGACTCACCATTAGCTAACATCATAACTAAAGTCAGACATTACCACTTAACTGTAGCAATACTTATGCAAACATGGAGGTTTTTAGCTTTAAACATAAAACGTCTCATAACTGACTTCGTTATCTTTCAAGGTTTCTCACGTTATGATATTGAACTCATTTGGAAACAGTCAGGTATAACATTACCTTTTGAAGAAATTTGGGAAGCATATAAGTCTCTCATCTCTCCTCGTTCATACCTTGAGATTCATATCATGACTAATACCATTAAAGTCAAAAATATTCCATGGGAACGACCAACATTGTTTTAAAGTTTAACCTTCAATTGACTGATGGTAAACAAATTCCATGCATCTCTGTCGCCATTTCTGTTAATATTTTTGCTGTCATTCATATCATCACTTCCCCATCCGTTAGCTTTTGAGGATATGCGTTAGAATAGCTGTTCTTAAATGAAGGCTTTTCACCTTTGAGAGCATAAACTCTATAACTTTCTGCATACTTTATGTTTGAACCTCCTGAGCCATCATTGACATAAATTTTTATAGGCTTCCACCCTTTGTTCATGTTCCTGCTTCTTCCCTTAGCTCTTTTGTTCAGTAGTTCTACATCTTTATACACAGCTCCTGTCTCAGTGAATTCAACAATATTTTCATTCGTTAGCTTTACATTCAAACCCTTGTCGAGTATATTGTTCATTTCATACATATAAAAGGTTTTTATTCTATATGAAATGAGAAGCAAATCCATCTTAGCTGGTGCCGTTAATGTTCCAATTGAACCAACATCAAATGTTGACTCACGAACGACAAACAATATTGTCATAAAGAACTATAGTTCGGAGTGTTTGAAAGAAAAAGAACCAGAGCTGAAATCCGTGAATTTAAACACAGCTTCAAACGCTAACGCTACATCAGATGTTAAGTTAGAGTATCCACCACTGGACCAAATTCTTTCAAGAGAAGCCAACGACAACCCTTACATAAATGTTCAAACAAATCCTTCAGATAACGTAGACCATTACCTTCTTCAGTTATACCAAACAATTTTACTCAAAGACGATAAGAAGCTTTTGATAAATCTTATAAGTAAGAACCAAATAATTCTAACAAAGGAGGACCTTGAAAATGTTATATCACGAATAACAGGAAAGCAATGTGTCATTGACTATCTCGACCCTGAAATCGAATGCTGTGGTCAAACGCCAATATTCATGAAAATAGGTAACATCCGCATCATTGAAACACCAGGAACTACAGGAGTTGAGTTTAAGTATAAATATTCGAACGAGTATACAAAACTTTCAACAGAATATAATCTTTGTCTTAAATATGTTTTAGTAAATTAAAGCAATTTGTAATATCTATCCAAAACTTCTTCAACAGTATCGAACTCATCTTCATAATGCAAACCTAATCTTATTGACTTGGTGCAGTTTTCACTAACACAATATTTTTCTGTTCTCTTGACTGACATAACTAACTCATTTGTTTCATCAAACAGCAACAACCAAAGTTCATGCCCTAATACATAACATTCATACTTTATATTTTTAGCTCTGAGTTCTCTTGTAAGCTGTTGCATTTAATATTTTCTAAAAAGTCAACTTCAACAGTCATTCGCACTGGTGCCTTCAGTTCTACAGGCTCTCCTTGAAAGTCAACAAGTCTGAATTGCATGTCTTTCAAATTATGAGGACTAATGCGAACCCATTTACCTAAATGAGTTGCTATGACAGGAACGTTTGGAATGAACATTGAATTTACTGCATAACAGAAGGATTTATATTCTACTGAACCTTTACTATTAACTCCTGAAATGCCTGTGACATTAGCTATTTTAGACTCAATGTACAAACAATTGCCATAACATACGTATGGAACAGATTTCATCTCAATCGTTTTGTCAACACTTTTCAAAGGAAATGTCATATGGTATGCACCCAAAAGAAGTTGTACTCTATGACTCATTCGTGGTATCTTAAACTCCTTCGCATAACTGAACTTCAAAACTCCTGCAATAAGTTTAACATTCATTAAGTTTTCTTCGTTATCCTTGTTTATTGTAGTATTTATGAGAGCATTTAACACTCCAGCTAATGTTTCCATCTTATATTCTACATTATTGTGAAATCTTATTTCGTGCTTCTTTCCATCTATTTCAATCTCCATGAAATCTGTTTCATCTGTTATAACGAATGAAGCGATAGTATTGAAGTCAACCATTCTGAATGCAAGCGCCTCATTCTGTAGACCTAAGTTTGTTTGTAGCTTTACTGTCCCGTATTCGTTTGGGTCTGTACTTTGCAAATAGAACAACATTTTATTCTCATTAAAATATGAGTATAGCTGCATATGCGTATGAAGCTGACAGAGCTAAACGTTTATATTTTGGTCAATACTCTCTCACACTTACTGACAAATATATTGTTATCACTGATGGAAATACTGAGAAATACATAACATGGAAGGACTATGAAAAGTTTGACCCTATTTTAACTCCATGTACTATGCCGTTTATAAAGGACGGTGAAATTATTGAAAAAGATAATACAACAGTATATAAGTCTGTTCATGAAGCATTAGAATATATGTTGAATCATAACCCAAAAAGATTTGACCCAAGCACTACACCATGTGCAATGCCTTTTATTAAGGACGGTGAAATCGTAAGAGTTCCGGATTCAACGGTTTACACAGCTGTTCAAAACAGTTTACAAAACATTTTAGCGAATATCTTTAATTCAGAAACTACAGAAATAAAATTACCATATATAACAGATGCTAAAGAAATTAAATCAAAAACAACAACATTATTTACGTCACTTAATGATTTAATGACTTATATCATTAATACTCCTTCTCCGACTACGGCATTTGATCCAAATTCGACGGTTTGCAGTGTACCTTTCATAAATGACAGTTCAGTAATTGCTTTAAGGGATTCAACAGTTAATGAATCATTAAAGGCTTCATTAATGAAAATCATTGATTTTAACTCATTCATGAATACATATAATTCATTCATTAATGTTTCATACACTTCTAAAGAAGGTGAGCCAAAAACTATAGATAAAGCGGTGTATGAAATAAAAGCACCAATGACGAAATTGAATTCGTTAACTTTTGATGGTGATAGTTCCGTTAACAGCATGACATCAGGAAAAACAATTTTAACGAAAGAATATTTAAAATCACATGTTAGTGAGTTCGTTGAAATTGAAAAAGAAGGCGGAATTAAGTTCGATCCACTGAGTTTCATTTTCAACTTAGCGAATGCGGGTGTTAGTTTCGCTGAATGGACAACTATACAGAGTGAAATAAATGCAATATGGACGTTTTTGGGGTCAAAAGCGGGAATGGGTGAGCTTGTAAATGCTGCAAGAACATTAGGTGAAACGGGGAATTTTGTAGATGGTTTTAAAAGACTTGTTTCAAATGTTTTAACAAACACAAAGAAATTATTTAGATATACCATACATAACGGCCAGATTTTCGAACAGGTAGCAACAAACCCTCCGGTTATGGCTGCGTTGATGATGGTTAGAGATATAAAACCACGTAACGACGGGAACGAAGAACATGAAAAACAGGATACTGGTCGGGTTATTCGAGACATTAAAAACGTGTATCCTGAAGTTATTGATTTATTTAGAGGAGTTAATGATTCAATTTCAAAACATTCTATAACCCTCGATGAAGAGAATAAATTAACAGATTATATATTCGTCATTATTGCAGAATTAATGAAGAGAATAAATGAAAAAGGAATTGGTGATATCATTAATGTCAGCAATGTAATGATGAAAAGAAATTTTGACTCATTATTTACAGAACCGAAAACAGAATATAGTCTTTATGACGTAATTACCGAATTAATGAAAAAGATTAATGATAATAAGAGTTCTGGCGGAAGAGTTGAATTAGAAGTGAATGATATTAATGAGAAATTAGCCGAAAAAGCAGACAAAGATGAACTCGAAGCAATGAACAAAGTTTTGAAATCTCATAAACACAACATCTCCGATATAAATGAACTTCAAGCTACATTAGATAAAAAAGCAGATAAAACTTATGTTAATGATGAGTTAGACCTTAAGGTAGATAAGGAATATATGGCTAGTGTGTTAGAGAAGAAGGTAGATAAGGAATATGTTGATGAAAAAGATAATGAAATTAAAGAAATGGTTGAATGGTATCATGAATGGACATCGAAGATTTTAAAAACTAAAGCTGATACAGGATGGATTTCAGGATGTTTAGACCTTAAAGTGGATAAAACTTATGTTAATGATGAGTTAGATAAGAAAGCTGATAAAGAACATACACATAAATCCTTCACTATTGTTAGAGCAGACGACATAATATTGAACTATACCCTTGGTTCAAGTGCACCTTTAGAGAATCCAAGTACAAGCGTAAAAGATACACTAAACAATTTAGATAACAGATGTATGAACATTGAAGGTCATGCCAGAAACTTTGAAGCATATGAACTACCAGCAATGTTAGATAAGAAAGCTGACAAAACAGAGCTTCAAACAATGAAGACTGAAATACTTCAAACATTATATCCTATAGGTTCTATTTATACGTCAATGAACTCAACAAATCCAGAAACGGTTTTAGGTTTTGGTGCATGGGAACAGATTGTAGATAAATTCTTATACTGTGCAAACTCTTCAAAGCAAACAGGGGGTTCGAAGAAAATTACTGAAGCAAACCTTCCACCGCACACTCATACAGGAACGACAAACACAACAGGTAGTCATTCGCATTCAATAACAAAAAGAGGTTTTACAAATCTTGCAGCAGGTTCGGATAGACAGGGAATGCATAGATATGATATTTCAAGTGACCCAGTAGATTCAAGCGCGGGTATTTTCTGTGGAACCACGGGAAATCATTCACACACTTTCACAACAAATCCAACAGGCTCGGGCGAAGATTATATGCCACCATTTGTGACTATATTCGCATGGTACCGCACAGCTTAAAATCTTTAACTTTACATAAATGAGCTTGAAAGAAGTATTCGAACAACATCCATGGAGGTCATTTAAGAAGTTCAATGAAGCTGCAAAGAGTTGGGGATTTACTAACAGAGCTGAAGTGAAAAGGTTCTTTGACAAAAATGTTGTACATCAAACAAAAATAAACCCTTACGACTACTTTTTACCAATTTACTCCAACACTCCTGACGCATACCAATTTGACACTCTCATTCAAAGCAGAAAAGGAGGACATAAACCATTCCTCATCTTCATTAATGTTAACACTCGCAAAGCATATGCATATCCAATGAAAAATAAAGGAACTCGTGAAGTGTTAAGAGTTTTACAAAAGTTTGTAGCAGAACATAGCCCAAGTACTTTAACATCAGACCAAGACAGTGCATACCTCAGCAATGAAATCACAGATTTTCTCATTAAGCATAACATAACTCACTACACTACTGAAGACCATAACCATAACATACTCGGCATCATAAACCGCTTCATAAGAACGCTCAGAGATTTAAACCAAGAGCGAGACTTTACCGAAGAAACAATGAAACATTTCATCGAAGTTTACAATTCCTCAACACATTCTACAACAGGGCATACACCAAATTCAATGACACAACAACAAGAAGAAAAGTATATACAAAAGAAACGAAGCCAAACACAAAATATCAGAAATTCAACACAATTTACCCTCATTCCTGGTACAAAAGTTCGTGTAGTTCTTGACGACAAACCGTTGACAAAGAAACGTTTAAGGTTAAGTAGAAACTATTATATCGTAGACTCTACGCAAGGTAATGGATATCTTATAAAAGCTGCCGACGACTCCATAGCGTTTTACCCTCGTCACAAATTAGTCGAAAGTAGTAATGGCAAACTCGCTGAAACCATTGACGAAGCAAAGCGAGGAGTGGTTATTGAAATACTTGGCTACAACATAAACGATGACACTTATAAAGTAAGATATGAAGGAGGCGTTGAAGATGTTATACCATCTAAGAACTTGAGAGAATCTAAACCAACTCATCTGGGACCATTAGAGTGGGAGTACTGGAAAGACAAAAATAAGCCAGAAAGAATAAGAAAATTCTTCTAAACTTTTTCATTAGATGTAAATCAGACATGAATGAGAACAGTCATGATATCATTAATGGAACCATTTATTTTTGTCATAAATTTACGCCAAAAATATATTTTAGGTGAAGAGGTGAGATCTCACCCGTTTTTTCACCTCTTTTTTCACCTCTTTTTTCACCTAATTTTCACCTCTTTTTTCACCTCTTTTTTCACCTAATTTTTCACCCTCACCGCTTAGCGGCTCAGATTGCTTTAGCTTTCTCGTGAATTTTCATGAATTTCCTTAAGATAGAAAAATAAAGTTAGTTTTATTTTTATTTATTTTTTTTATTTTGTATAAAAGATATGATTTCAACAATCGGCACAACAACAATTCAAACAACTACAGCACCAAACTCGCTAGTCATGAATCCTGCGTCAATGTTGGTAGAGATGAAAAGCTTTATTCCTTCTTCATATACTTTTGAAACAGAAATCCAGAAGATAAAGCAAGAACTTTTAACAAGTAATTTAGACTGTAGTGCGAAAGATGAAACAAATGAACAGTATCTTTATGAAATGCAGGATATTATTGACCATTTACCCAAATTGCCTGAAATCCAACAACAAAAACTAACTATTCCTGAATTCGACGAAATAGAAGTGAAACCAACTGACTCAGTAGAAATAAAGAAATTCATACGTAAAGTAAATTATGAGTTTCTAGGATATCATTGCAACCATAAAGTTATGGACAAAGATTGCGACATGGTTTATAAAAATATTTCTGACATATATAAATCGGTGGAGTTTAAGACATACGATAACTTTGTTTCATTAGTTGCAAAATGTGTTTGGGAAATAAGAGATAAAGATAGAAGAGGTAAGGTATGGCATGAACAGTTAAAACCAGCAGCTTTTGAGTTAAAGAAAACCATTGACGCCTTAGTTGTTCTAGCTGGTTTTATTTCAATGTATAACGCAAAAATGAATCCGCAATGTTCAAAATGTAAAGCAGCAATAAGAAAATATAACTATTCAGTCAAAGAGATAGAAAGAATGCGAAACGACTATGCAGACTTAAAGAAAGAAGCAGAAAAGCCAGCAGAAGATAAAATGGATATGTTGACATTTCTGAACAAAAACTATCCAACTGCAGAAGATTTCCTTCTGTCTGACGTCAAGATGAAATATAAAGAGACTTTCGGCATTATTAAAACATTCGATGTACTAAAAGAAGAAATTGAAGCTACGAAATTGTTTAGGATTTCAAATATACATCGTACAATTCATGTAAAACGCTTGTGAAAAAAGAGGTGAAAAAAGAGGTGAAAAATTAGGTGAAAAAAAAGGTGAGATCTCACCTCTTCACCTAAAAATTATTTTTATTGAATTCAGCACAAAAATAATGAATTTCATTAGTTAGAAAAATAACGCTAATTTTTTTCTAAGAAAAATTTTTATCTTGTATGTAAAGACATATATGTCAAACATTGAGTTTGAAACAGTTAGAAAGATAGACAATGACACCAAATTGGTTAGAATAGGTGATTTAAACGTAAGATACTCAAAGAAATACAACAAATATTCTTTGTCAGACATTATATCTCCATCTGGAAAGAAAACAAACGACTGGGTTAGAAATGCTTCAACTCAGAAAATTTTGACAAGAAATCCTGAGCTTATGATATCAGTAGCATTTCATGGAACAAGAGCATATCTTATAGACAAAAGTCTTATACCAATAGTTTTGTTATGGTTAGACCCAGTTGTTGGATATAACTTCATAACTTATGGTTCATTCGATACGGAACGTTGCAGTGAAGGCTTACTTTACATCGTTCAGAAACCGAAGGACTTCAACACAAAAAGATATAAGATAGGAAGGACATATAATATAACTCAAAGATATGACAGTACAGTCAATAGAGTCAAGGTTGTGTTTGTTAATGATATGAGAGCTGCTGAAACAGAACTGCTTGAAGTTTTTGAGAAAATGTATGGTGCTCCCACGAAAGGTAAAGAAACGTTTGAAGTAGATGAGATAGATAAAGCTATAAAATTATTTGACGAAGTTGCTGAAAAATACATGTAAAGCGTTTATTTTTGGTCTTTTGTGAAAGTCAGAAAATAAAGTTAGTTTTATTTTTATTTATTTTTTTATTTTGTATGTAAAGACAGTAATGTCAACATTAGAGAACACAACAACAGTTATAGTCCATGAAGCTATAAATGAAGAATACGAGTACATACAGTATAACAAACAGTTACGTCTCATTCGTTCAGTCAAAGATGACATGTACCAAATGCAAAGTATAATGAATGCTCTTCGTTCTACAAAGCAATCATATCATTGGTTTGAAAACCAACAGACAAAAGAACCTTTAGAAGAATTTCCTCATATGATTGCTTCCCTCGGAAAACCGAGAGAAGAGATTCCGTATGAAAATCGCAAGAATTTGGCTCCTTTTGAAAGGTTATTATGTTCATAGACTTTTAGTAAATGCTGTAGCAATGTGGGCTTCACCTCGTTATGCTTGTTATATTTTCATGATGTTAGATGAACTATATAAAGCAGAACGTGGAGAGATGGAAAAGAAACTTCAAGCAAAAGATGAAGTCATTGAATCCAAAGACAAAAGCATACAGAAAAGAATACCACGTTCAGTACCAAAAGGAAAGGAAAAGAGTTATAAGTATATGATATATACTGAAGAGTTGGAGAAAGAAGAAGATAAAGATATGGTTATGTTGCATTTAGTCAGAAGAAACAACAAGAGCTTTTACGACTTAGCTAAGATTTACAAATCTGACAGAAACTGGTTCTATCGTGAAAAACTTACCGATTTCAATGACACCGAATGAACAAATAAAGGAAATTGTCAAAAATACTCTTCCTCAAACACACTATGACATCAAAGGTTGCACAATACTTACATTCAAAGAAGACTTAACATTACTGAAGGAAAAAATAACAGAATATTTCGATAACTTCAAAGAGGAAGAATAAAGTCACGACAACATTAACGAAGAGAGAATGAGGTGAAAAAAGAGGTGAAAAAACGGGTGAGATCTCACCTCTTCACCAAAAATATATTTTTGCTTAAATAGCTTCAGGGTCTATTTCTTCAACCATTTCACTTCCTTCGTCAATGTCAATAGAAGCTTCTTCAACCTTTGGTAAGAATTTCTGTATAACATCTTTGTTCGTTATTGTCTTCAGAGATGAAGGATAATATTTCACATTTGTTTCACCCTTCTTATATTCTTTCTGTTCGGAAAGATTTAAAGCAATACTGAAGAAGTCAAATGTTAGAGTTCTTTATAACAGTATAATGAGTATCTTTGACATTCACGAAGAAACTCTTTTGTTTCAAAACTACTGCTAACTCTTGTGAAGTATAACGTTTGCGGTCAATGACGATAGCTAATGGTCTGACATACTGACCAAACTTAGATTCTTTCACAAACTTCTTGTTAAAGATAACATTAACATTTGAAGCATTATTGAACTCATTCTTGATGGCAGTAGCGAGAGCATTGTATGAAAAGAACTTGCAATCTTGCATGTGTTTCATTAAAATAAAAATATTAAATTATTTTGAAAAATAACTTAAAAAAATCTAATCTAATTTTTTCAAAAAATATTTTTTTATTTCCTACTAAAGATGTATCGGAAGTTGTCTAAGTTAGAACACTCGGAAATAAAACAACTTCTTACAGAAGCTAATATAGATGTTGCAAAGCATTACGCAACAAACAAAAAAGCACTCGCTGACTTCATTAAAGACTATAATGGTGCAATAAGTTATGATAGAATTCATGAGTTCATAAAGCCGCAACGCGGCGAGGACGAAGTCCATGCAAGAGCATTTCCTTTAAATGACGTTGCTATTGACTTATATCATAGACGTTCAGTACCTCATGAAGTAAGAAGAGAAATGTTTGACATAACAAATGCAAACGTTGGTGAAACAAGAAGAAGAGACGACACACTGAAACAACAGAGAAGAGAGATGTTTAAAAGTGCTATAGAACAAGTTCGCAAAGCTAACGATGTCATTCGTTCCATTGACGACAAACCAAAAGAAGGTGAGAGATGGTTAAAGAAAGATGAAGAGAATAGGAAGAGAAATGTGAAGTCAGGCAATAGACTCATTGACTTTAACATCGAAGCTTTAGATGAACCAAACAGAGACTACTTACACAAACATTTCGGTAAGGTTTTCATGAGACTCTTAGAGAAGATTAAAATAAACTCCCAACAGAGATGGATGGTATGTTATAAACTTGGTGGAAAGTATGAATGTTCTACGTTAAACCTCAATAATATTGGAACATTACTACATCAGCTCTTGAAGGAGAACTTTATATCAGAGATAGAAGCAAATGCTGCAGGTATTGTTGAAATGCACTATGACTTCTTCTTGACAAACATAAAGAATCTTACTGAAATAAAGATGTATGATTTAACAGAATATGAAGGCTTAACGATGTCAGATGTAAAGAAAGGCAAACCAAAAAAGAGACCATATAGAGATGAAAGCACACTGACAAATGACCAGAAAGCCATTTTGGAAGCTCTTAAGCAAACAGGAAACCCAGCACTTATAGAAAGCTTTTGGAAAGATAATGGTGAAAAGAAGTTTTATAAGAAGAGAAGCGGTCAGTTCTGGAAGTATCTTTGCACATTACCTATAAATCTTGAACGCTACCAAATCTTCAATGAACTGAACAAAAGAACTGCAACACTTATGACAGAAGACAATTGTTTCGTTTATGCTTGCATTCAGGCTGGAGTAGATGAAGAAACTATTGACCACATGAGAGAAGTCATTCGTGTTAGAGACTTTCCTCAAAGTAAAGTACAAGAAATTTCTGACGCAACAGGTATAGCATTTAATGTTACCATTGGTTATTTCAATGACTCAAGACATAATGAAATAAAGAGATACATACCAAAAGAATGTGAAACTGTTCGAACTATTGACTTACTTCTTGTTGAAGACCACTACATGCTAAATGAAAGATTACCAATGACAACATATTTCATTCGCAACTATATAGAAATCTTGAAGGAGTGTGGTGGAATGAACATTGAGAAACAGATGAAGATTTATACAAAGAGAGAAGATAAATATGTAGTTCGTTATGATAGAACAACACCGTTATGGGATGTTATGAAAACATTGTGGGAGTGCAAATATTTCGAACCTATTTCTTATGGAGAACTTTTCACATATACGACTGACTTATATAAACAGAACCTTGCACCATTTAAAGATTTGACATATGCTCCAAAGTATTGTGTACAACTGAAGAAGAAAGCCGAGTCAAAAGAAGTAAATAAAAATAAGTGCAAGTTCATTCCTGAGCACGTTTTCTTTGCTGACTTTGAGTGCAGTACCGATGGCTTTCATAAAGCTTTTAACATATGTTACGACAGTGAAGATGGTTCAGTGAGTGAAAGCATTTGGGGTCAGAACTGTGCAACAGAATTTTTGGAACGACTTCCTGACAAGAGTTTAATATATTTCCATAACCTCAGTTATGATATAAACTTCATCTTAAGACACATGACAGAAGTGAAAGGAACTCCCATCATTAAAGGTTCACGAACAATGCAAATAACTGGCTTATATAAAGGAAGGGCAATTATTATAAAAGACTCTTACAGTGTTATAAATAAGAAGCTTAAACTATTTCCTGCTATGTTTAACTTACAAACAGGACCGAAAGAAGTATTTCCATATAACTACTACAGCAGTGTTTTGTTAGCAAATGACAACAGAACTGGTGTCATTTCTGAAGCATGTAAGTTTATCCAGGATGCAGATACATTCATGAAAAACATAGATTCCATCAAAGGTTGCAGAATAGATGAAAACCACTTCGACTTAGAAAAAGTATAGCACATTTTATTGCAAACAAGATGTAAGAATTTTAAGAGAAGGTTTTGTTAAGTTCCGCAATGACATATTGAAAGAATTTGATTTAAACGTTTATGACTACGTTAGTATTTGTTCTATTGCTAACAAATTGTTTGAGAACAGAGTGTACTTCCCGAATGGAAATTTATATGACCTCTCAAATAAACCAAGAGAATTTATTTCACGCTGTATTCAAGGTGGAAGATGTATGCTGTCAGATAACATGAAACAAAAGAGCGAAAAGAAACTCATTGCTGACTTCGACGCTGTTTCATTATATCCATCAGCTATAGCAAGACTTTATACTTTAGAAGGTATTCCAAAGGTTATGAAGAGAATGTTAAGCACAGAGTATCTCATGAGACATTTATTCGATGACGACCAAAAGGAACCCATTGGTGAAAAGTTTATGTCTGGCTTCTTTGTTCTCATTAAGATAACAGAGATTGGAATACATAGACACTTTCCTTTAATAGTTTGTGACCCTGAACTAAATCCAGAACTTAACGTTCCCAGAAGTTCAAACACTTGCTGTTTAATGTATGTTGACCATATAACATTACAAGACCTCATAAAATATCAAGGTGTCAAATGTGAAGTGTTGCAAGGATACTATTACGATGGAAACAGAGATATTAGAATAAGAGATGAAGTAAAGAAGTTGTTTGAGTTAAGGTTAAAGTATAAGAAAGAAGGAAATCCTTTGCAAGAAAATATAAAGCTCATTCTGAACAGTATTTATGGCAAAACTATTCTATCTCCTATTGAGTCAAAAATAACCATAGTAAATGACAAAGATGCTATAAGATATGCCATCAGAAACTACAACCATATAGTGAAGTTCGAAGGTTTGGATGGTTCAGATAAAACTATTTTCAAGCTAACGAAAAGCATTTGCAGACACTTTAACTTCTGTCCACTTGGTGTTAACATTCTGTCTATGTCGAAGAGAATAATGTGTGAAGTATTCTGTACTGCTGAGACTTAGGAATGGACATCTTTTATAGCGATACGACAGTATGCATCTCTACAATGAAGATATCCCTCGTTTAGCTGAAGAGTTTGAGAAACGTTATGGAAGAGTTCTCATTGGTAAAAACCTTGGTCAATTTCATAGTGACTTGCAGAAATAACACCTGGAAAACAAAGTTTAGCATACAAGTCAATATTTTGTGGAAAGAAGACTTACATAGACTTACTCACGAATGATTTAAATGAAGTTGCATTTCACTGCAGAATGAAAGGCGTGAAGCAAGATGTTATTGCTTTAACCGCTAATGAAATGTTTCCTGACTCTGTTCAGTGTTTCTATGATGAAGATAAAGGTTTAATGGTTCCGCAAGGAAAATTGACAAAGACTCTGAGTTCAGTTTAATGAAACTTTACAAAGCACTTTATGACGGTCAAGAGATTGGATTTGACTTATGTAAGTCTTCTAGTCCTTGCTTTGCTGAAAAGTTTAACTTCTCAATAACGACTAAAACAAGCTTTATTCGTAAGTTGAAGTTCTGAGGTCATTTATTTTTGTCAGCAATGAGTCATTCATGATAAAAATAAGCCGCTAGCGGCAAGGGCGAAGCCCATGTGGTCATTTACAATACTGCGATGGTAGAGTTTAAGAGTTGTGCTTCAATGTAGAGACAGTCCTTATGGTCTGGAGGTAAGAACACTGGGCAGTTATGGTCATGAGTGGAGAACATGTCTATCCAAAACTCACGATTGAAGCCAGTTAATTTATAGTATTTAGGTTAGGAAGTGGTGAAGTTCTTGTATGACCAATGAACTCATTTTCAACTCCCTTACTTAAGTTTGAATATAATATAGCTTGCTTTCTATCCCAAATGCCAGGTGTTACAATCTTTGAAAATTCATTTTTCCTCGGAAGCATTGCATCATAATTGAAAACATTCTTGAAATCATCACTTGGTTCAGAGATTTGAAATCTTATACGTAATGGATTTTCTTTCTCTTTAGACTTCATTGAATGGTGAGAATACAATGAATTGACAGTCATGTGTTCCATCTTCATTTTCATTAAATTCATAATGAAAGTCTATAAGTTGTGGCTGACTACCTTCTTCTTTCAGTTGTGCAAGAAACTCACGTAAAGGCTGTAAAGTTTGTACTTCAATGTTGAACTTTTTCTCGAACATCTCATTAAATGAAATCATACATTGCAACAATGTTGTATCGTCTTTAAAGTATTTGTATATGTGAATGTTTTGGGCGCTTAAAGACTGTTCGTCATTTTCTATCTCGACTTGAAGTATAAAGTCAACCTTTCTGAAAGCACGTGTTATATACATAGATGTTATGCCAATGTACTTCTCTTCATTTATGTTCACAATCCAGTCTGTTGGAAACTTAAACGTTACTCTGTTCCCCTTTATTTTGACGTCAGGGTTTTCACTACTGAACGCAACAGATAAAGGTATTTGTCTATACATTTAATTCGGATAAAAATAAACCATTTACTCTTTCTTTGCTTCAGCTTCTTTAGCTTTTGCTTCAGCTTCTTCTCTAGCTTTTTCGCCAGCAAACGTGGGTTCTTTTGTCTTCCAGCAGCTAATGCAGCAAGTTGTTTTTCACTAAGTTTTCTCTTTGGTCTCTCTGGCTTTTGTTCTTGTTTTTGTTCCTTCAGTTCGGATAAAATTTGCTCACGAATTTCTTTCTTCAATGCTTCAACATCTATGACCCCTTGGGTCTTGTCCGTAGGGCTTGTCTGAGTCATTTGACTGCAGATAAAAAACAAAATTAAAACTTTAACCGATGTAAAATGAGCTTGTCAAAATCAGAGCGAGAGTCTATTATATTAAATGACGCAAGAGGAATACAACATCCTTTCTATTACGTAAGTCAGAGTAAAGATGGTAAAATATACGTAAGAAAAAGAAAGGTTCCATTAGCGAATGCAGAAAGCGACAACATTAAGGTGTATGGCAAGGGTGAAGTCCACGAAGCCCATTAACCTTCTATTCAAACTGAAAAGTCAATAGAACCAGAAGAAAAGAAGCCAGATGTACTTTCAATAACGAACCAAGAGCTTATTGCAAAGTTCGTGAATTTCATTGAAAAACAAACCGAGTCAAAGAACCCTGACCCGCCAGTGAAAGAAGTTGAGACAAAAGAGAATGTACAGTTCATTGAAAATGTCAAGAAACAACTTCCACCACGAATGCCAAGAAGAAGAGTGAGAATAATGAAGTAAATAGATATTTTTATCGAAGTAAATACATGCAGAACGAACAGTTAAACGAATTTACTCCAGCAGAGCATATTCATCAGATTCGCTCATATTTCGATATCATAGACAATGCAGTTCAAATTGGTGACACTAATAGAAAATATTCTGACGCAAAGATTCCATCACAACCTGGAACTGCTAAAGATAACACATGGGTAACATTCAATCTCTCACCTCCTGGTGAAAATATGTTGGACTTTATAATCATTCATTTACGTATAAAATGGAAGTCAATTTATTGCAGATAAAGAAATTGGTTCAGGTTCCAATAAAACAAACCCCCAGGATTTTGGATTGGTTTCGATGACGCTTTCTATGCAGTTGCTGGATATCAAATCCTTGCAAATGGTCGTATCGTATATTCTCAAGACAACGCAAGAGAAGAAGCATATATAACTCAAACTCACAAACTACCGAACAAATAAAGAAAGTAGATGTTTTTCAAAGACTCGACATGAAGATGTATGGAGTCATTCGGGAACATGCAGAACAGGACAAATTGTTAGTGGTCCAATTACAGCAGGAAAATCATTTGATTTTAAGCTTCGTTTAAGAATTCCTGTTAGAAGATTCCTTCCATTAGAAGCTATTCGATTTATTCCAGCTTTTGCAGGAAACATTCAGCTTAAAGTAAAGTTCAGTAGCGACGCCTTACAATGCACATCTATATCTGTAAATGATATCATTGCTTTCAATCTAACTCTTAAAGTTGCATTTGCTTCAGATTCAAATCCACCGACAAATAAATTTGTTCCATGGAATGAACCATTCACTATGATAACGAAGGCAGTAGAAGCTAGTGGAACAGTTACTATTACAACTGTAACCCAGCAACTATTTCGAACAAAGATGGATTTTAATGAATGTTTCATTCATCCAAAGTCATTCTCTTTAGACCCTAACATTTATACAGAACTTGTAGAACATTACACAAACGAGGCTTTATGTTTTCCTGTTAAAGTTATGGATTGGATTCCTATGGACGGTTCATTCTCAAAGAATACAGATAGTTCAAGTGCAACATTTACAGCAGCTTATACGCCTATTAATGTTAAAAGTATTTGGGCACTATTTAGAAAGAAAGACAACTATTATGTTAATTTTGAGAACCCTAAGTTTAAATATCTTCAGCTTTCCATGGGAGCTTATGGAAATATGCCTGCAGAACCTGAAAAATTTGACCTGTATTTTATGAAATGGTTGCGAACGCTTTGCAATACAAACAATGATATGATAGGATTTAATGAAGATGTTATGAGGTCATTGGTGTGATGGTAGTGTGGGAACATAAATGGGATAGCTATGACAACACATTTCTTAGTGGTTTTCCAACAGAAGTGGACTTTTGCTTCCAGCAAGGTCAAACATCTACTGCTCCAATAACATACAAATTGTCTGTTAAAGGACCTATTGAACTAGCAACTGAAACGTACCAAAGCCACTTATTGGATTTATGAGGGATTGTTGCTTTGCCATACAAGTAAGACAGTCAGGCATACCAATAATAAGATTAGATGACTATAACTTAGCTACGGACGACAGTGAGGAATAAAGGATGAACGTTTATTTTTAAAGCTTATAAATGAGTTCTTCATCAGCTCTCGTGAACCTTCACCATCTATGAAACAAACTTTACCAAACGATTATGGAGCACCTATTGAATATTTTTACGAGCTGCACAATGGCAAAGAGCAGTTTCACCAAGGTTAGGTGTTCCACCAGCTCCTGTCAAAAATAGCATTTGGTCAAGTCCTTATATAAGATATGGTCTCCCACTAGGTTTGCTAGCTACAGCAGGAGCAGTTATGATGTTGAAAAGAAATAAAGCAAATGTTGTAAATAATACTGAAGTAGCTGAAGTTAAACAAACTCCGACACCTTCGCCAAAACCGATGCCAAAACCAATGCCTTCACAAACAACACCTTCAATGACTCCTGAACCTATGGAAGTACAAACTCCTGTTCAAAAGTCAACTCCTAAACCGACTCCAACATTTAAACCAGAACCTACTTCTCAAATAAATCGTAAAACTCCTGCGTTTCCTTACTGAAAAAATAACGTTATTTTTATTTAATATTAAAATTTTTATTTGATTGAAATGACGACTAAAGTCACAGAAGCAATGAAACAAAAGTTTTTGGTAGAATACATTAAATCAGGAACTATTCCAGAAGGTTTTTACATTCATACTATGAAGGATGGTAGAGTTCAGTTTAGAAAGATAAAGCAACCATTAGATAAAGAAGGAATTTTGAGAAAGATTAAACTTCATGAGGACAACATTGCTGAACTTAAGAAGAAGCTAGAAGAGTTGGAGAAAGGAAGAGAGTTATAAAGCAATGAATTCAACAGGGTGAAAAAACAGGTGAAAAAAGAGGTGAGATCTCACCACTTCACCTAAATCTATTTTTGTGCTATGTTTTCATACGTGTGAGGGTGGTGATATCATTTATTTTTAAATAAATGTGGGAACAAAAATAAAGCATTTCTACTCAACAGGAATGAGACCCTTACTGACTATGTATTCGTTTAATGCTTGATGAAAACAATGGTACATATTATCGTATGGGTATACACAACGTCTGTTTCCATCGTCGTCGTATATGTAGAGCTCAAATCCAGTCCAACCTTCTTTTGTACAATATGTAGCTTTATTTAAGTATGCATTTATGTAGATAAGGCAATTTTCTTCATCGCTCCAGAAATAATTTTTCGTCATTGTTGAAATAGTTTTCGTTCCTCTGCGACCATAAGGAATGTATGCAATGAATTTTGCGTCATATGGGATTGTAATATATTCAGGGTTTCTTTCATCGTCAATGGGTCTGTCTTTGTTAAAATGCATGTTTCTCAGTTTTACTTGAGTTTTGAATAGTTCACGGAAACGTTCTGGGAAAGAGTCATAGTAAATGTAGTCAGACATGTCTTTGTAATGAAATAAAAAAGTGGGAAAATAAATAAAATAAGGTTATTTTTTATTTAGTGAGGATGGTAGTGAATTCGTTAGTGAAGTCGTTAGTGAAGTCATTTATGTGTCAGATGGTTTTGTAAATATTTAAGGTTAAGTTGGTGTTATGGTTGTATTGTAAAATATACGTTACCGGTTTTGTAAAGTGTCAAACCGCTAAGTTGGGTAAGGTGGAACGCAGTGCCGCCGTACACGACTTAGGGATACTAACTACTTGATGATATGTTTCATAAATAATAGAACCTTCTGAGTTTGTGATTTGAAGACGAATCGGATTTTTGATGAACTACGGCAGTTCCAGCTTGAGGTATATGACGAAGATTGCCATTAAATACCTCTTGATGTAAACAAAATTCGATATTTCCTATTTTGTTCCTTAAAAGTTGAATACGAAACGTTCGAATTCGGCTTGGAATTATAAATATAGGGTGTCCAAAGGTGTGTTTAGCACAAACCTGAATACTGCGAATAGAAATAAACAAGTTACATATCTATAAAGTTTATTTAAATATAATAACCATTGGATTCAATCACGCGTTCGCAGCGATCGATCCAGGCTTGAAAGACACGCTTTAAATCATCATGAGAAAATTGCTCAAATTGCTCTCTTACAAAATTTTCAAGATCATCTGGACTCGCGAATTCGCGTCCTTCAGCTCTCTTTTTTAGCGTGCCGAATAAATAAAAGTCAGAGGGTGCAATATCAGGTGAATAAATTGTGTTTGGAACAACTTTGACATTGTTTTCCACCAAGTAATTCATTACCTTATGACTTTTGTGAACTCTTGAATTATCAAAATGAATTGCAAACTTTTGTTTTTGTTGTTTGGATTTCTCAAACTCATCAGAATTGATAATTTGAGTAAGAACATTGTCAATTAGATACTGAGCATTCATCGTATTAGGTTTTTGAAGAATATCAATTGCGATGATGCCATTCACGCCCCAAAAAACCGACAACATCATCATTGGTGTGTCAATTTTTTTCTTCGGGAATGTTTGCGGATTTTCATCCTTCGGGATCCACATGATTTTGGCTTCTGTTGCATATTGAAACCAAGACTCGTCCCCTGTTGCTAAAAAGCGAAACTTCTTGGATTGATACGCACCCAATATAGAGAGGAGCTCTTTCGAAGATTGGACTCTAGATTTTTTTTGAACTGAATTAAGGTTGTGCGGAACCCAACGTGTATACGCTAGTTTGTAGTTCAAATAATTGTGCAGATAATAACTGACTGTTGTACGTGGTATCTATGTCATCTCCTCTATCCTTCTGAGTGATGCTCTTGGGTCTTCATCTAGCGCTTGAAGAATTGCTTTGATTTTTCTTTGATCCGGCGATTTTTTGTCAATTTTTATGATGGGCGCCTTTTTGTTCATGAAGTGATACATCCTAACATGATACGTTACAGTGGAATAGCTAGGAGCATCCATACCGAAGCATTTTACCAATGTCTCGTAGATTTTTTTACAGTCTTTGAATTTTTTTGCAAAAGCGAGGATGTTTTCTTTATGATTCATTAAAAAAATGAAAAAAAATCCCGCCAAAATTTCCCGCGAAACCGCCTCTTGTCTCAAAATTCATTTTATATCCCGGCATGGCGCCAAAATACAACATACTCATCATATACATATATTCATATTTTTTATTATATATTTATAATCAGCATATATCTCCTTTAATAGTCTCATATAGAGCGCTGTGCTAAACGCACCTTTGGACACCCTATATTATAGACTGTATAATTTGAATTCCCATTGATATTTGAATGAGAAATATTTGTTTTATCAATAAATTTATTTTTTTTCATTCAAGCCTAAAAAGAGTTCCTGTTGCTTGAGTGTTGGCAACAAATGAATCAATGACAAAAATAACACTATAATGTGATGAGGAAACTATTAGATTAGAATGAATTGCAAATCTATATACATACGAAAAAGAATTTTTTTACACATGCATGATGCCGGACACAAGAAACACCATATTGGTAAATATTAGATTGAAAATTATAAGATTATGAATTGTCATCAAATATAGAGTTTAATAAAGATGGTCTCGCCATTACATTGAAATCATACATTATATACAAATGATTTCATTCTTATCATTAGTAATCTTACCAAACATCGTTGAAATGCTTTACATTTATTTTTTACTAATTTTATGATACATTTCACAAAGAGTATGTCCTTTTCATTAATTAACAATATCATAATAATGTCAGATCTTAGAATATTTCGAATGGGTATCGTTATGGTACAATGAATTAAATTCACAGAGTTTGAAGTTAGATTCATCAGATGGATTAATTTTGGTTGTATCAATGTTTTCGCCGTAATGAATAAACTGGAAAACAATTATTTGTTGAATTTATTTTGGAAAGTTTTTGATGTGTTGAGCCAAGAATTTTATCATTTTTGTTGCGAACGTGAATAAATATTGATGAACTCTTGAAATAAGAGTTATCTGGAATGTTTGAAACAATATCAAATTCATTTGAGAAAATAGGAAAGTTCTTTGAACATGTTTTGTTATCGAATGATAAACAAATGAAACAATCATTGAATGTTTTATCAACTGTACCTGTGATTGCAACTTTATTTCCAGTGTAAATTAAATCCATGATATTAATTATAGCTTCATTTCTTCTAGTGAATTCAAAACTTTTAAGTATATAATTTCCATTTGATTCGAATTTGATGTTAAGTATATGTTTTCCAAAAACACCTTCTAAGTTATGTTCAATAATAGGTTGTAGATCATGAGGAATAAAATTAGTTTCGTCGGCATCAATCCATGTTACAATTTCGATTTTTGTTGATGTTCCAAAAGCGGAAATTTCAAGTTGAATATTTTCGTTGTATTCTATGATTGGATAGTTTAAATTTCTTACAGAGATGTTTTTGAACAAGATTTTATTGAAAATGAAAGAATCTCCATTACATAAATCATCTCCTGCATTTGAATTCTTTAGATCTATTTGTTTATCTGCAGGTTCAATGAGTTGATAATTGTCATAAACTATTTCACCGTTATTTCTATCTATAAAACAATTTGATATAATTACATTCCTATATAATTCAATTAAATAATTTGCATAATTATTAATAATATTGCAGCTAGATATAACAAATTGGTCATCACCATATAAAAAAATTATTGCAGTGTATGCATTATTTGAATCAATAATAAGATGGTGAAAGTTTCCATTGAATGTTTCAAAATATAACAAATAAGCTATGTTATATGCTCTGTTATTCATAAAAGATGAATATGAAACTTTTGAATTTTTTGGTTGGTTGAGAATTTCAATACCGCCAAATGCATTCGAAATGTTTGATTTATCAATTAATTCATTGCCATTATTCTGAGAAATAGCATATTCTTGAACTTCTATATCAATTATGGATGAATCTATAAAATAGTTAATATTATTATCATAAGTTGAAACTTCAATTTTTGAAAAATGATTTGAAGAAATGTTTTTTACGCAAATTTGATGTTGAACACATGATCCACCGTCTTGGCAAATACATGAATTATCACTACCAGTTAATGAAATGCTATCAAATATAGAATTTGAAATAAGAAATTTAAAATCATTTGATTTTATATATATAATGGAATTATCAAAATTGTCTTGAAATAAGACGTTGTAAACTAATATTTTAGCGTTAATATTGTAAGCAATTCCTCCACTTTCGTTAATTTCTATAACTGAATTATCAAATTCTTGGTAAAATTCTTTCCAAATATCGTAAAAATAGTAACATTTTAATTTAGCCATGAGACCATTTGTTATCGGTAAATCATTATCGTTTGTTTGTTTTATATTTTTAGAAGATTGTCTTGTTCTTGAATAATTCCTATTGAATATCATTGAAAACATGAGGCTGGATGATATGGTTAGTGAAATATCAATGATGATTTGATTTATCAACAATGTCTCTAGAAAATTTTGAACTTTTAAAATTTAAGGGTGTACTTACGCCACTATGGCATTCAATTCAATTGTTTAAGGTTGATTTTCAACGATGCTTCACGCCAGTTGTCAAAAATTTGAATTCAAGTCAGATGGGCGTAAGTACAGCCTTAAAATTTATAGAAATTTACAATATTCAAAAAAAACTTATGTTTTCAGTTCATTCAGAGTTGTTTATTCATAAAAATCACTGATTTACCACGGAATGTCTATTTATAAGACGAAAAATGTTCTTCTGCATATCATCAATTTTTTTAGAAAAACTGCGTGTTGAAGAGTTACCTTCGACGTGATGAAAAGACTGGGTTGCATTCATTGTGGTTCATTAAGTTTTTGGATTTGATTTTATTAGAGACTTGATGATATGTTTCACAAATAATAGAACCTTGTGAGTTTGTGATTTGAAGACGAATTAGATTTGTTTTCAAATCAATATTTTTGGGAATGTCACAAATGATACCAATTTCTTTTGAATAAACTGGAATTTGCTTGGAATCACTAATGTTATCGAATGATAAATGAATTTTACAATCGTTGAACTCTGATTCATATGATTCAGTAACACTTATACTCAGTACTACTTTCTTTTCTGTGTAAAATGATTCTGTAACTGTAATAGATGCTTTGTTTCTCCTTGAAAATTCCAAACTAAAATTATCAGATGATATAGATGGATTTTCTTGTGAATAAGAAACAACATGAAGTGTGTGGTTATAATAAATTTCATTTAAATTATGTTCAAATATAACTGTATTGTCAATTCCAAATGTTTTGTTTTGAGTGAATGATTTAGATCTGTCATCATCAATCCATGATTCAATTGTAATTTCTTTTATTAATGAAGGATTAAAAACAACCTTGACTTTAATATTCTCGTCATATTGTATAATTGGCTTGTTCTCATTTTCAATTGAAACTGATATAATTATCAATTTATTTAGAAATAATAGGTCTCCATTGCATAGTTCTTGTCCGATAAATGAATTGTCAATATCTATTTCTTCGATTTGAGCAGTTTCAAGTGTGTATCGGAAAGAATTTCTTGCAATATAACAATTTAAAAATGTAATAGTACTTGAACTATTAGCATATAAATGATCAACATTGTTATTAATAATATTACAGTCTCTAACTATTATATTAGAATTATCAACTGCCTGAATGAGTATGATGCTTTGCAAATTTGATTCAAATATTAGATGATGAAGAGTCCCTGAAAAATTTCTATGAGAAAAGAGGCACACACAATTAAATCCTGTGTTATTTTTAAAAGTTGAATATGATACATTTGAATTTGGTTCTGAATTGATAATACAATATATTGTAGTGCTCCAGGATCCTGAATTAAAGTACGATTTAGAAATATTTGATTTATCAATAAATATTTTGCCACCAACAAGTACAACTGGTGATGAACCACCTTGAGAGTTGATAAATGATGATTCTATGATATAATTAATGTTAGTTGAAATGATTTTAGAATGAGAAGCATAATATTGGGAAGCAAAATTTCCAATTACATTTTTTACACAGATTTGATGCTGAACACAAGAACCACCGTTTTGGTAAATATTTGGATCTTTATTAATTCTTGTAGTGTTTTCAAAAATTGAGTTCGAAATTAGAAATTGGTTAGCAAAATTTTCAAGTCTAATTATAGCTTGATTATATCTTCCTTGAAATAATACATTGTGAACAAAAATATTTCCTTGGCTTGAATTAATCAAACGATTTTCATGAATATTCTGGTTGATATCGGAATTTTCATAATATTGTTCCCAAATATCATATGGGTAAGCGCATTTTAAATGATTTGATTGATAATATTTTATATATTGATTCATATTTTGTTTATAAATGGTTTTTCTTGTAGCTATATTCAATTTTAAAAAATCGAATATTTGTAAGGTATGTAACTAAATGTGGATCTAAAAAAGGTATAACTAATGTTTAAAAAATGCAACTTCTGTTATCAGAATAGTTAGAACTTGTTAGTACGTTACTTCTTGCACGTATGCTAGTTATAATTGTAGCTATTAAACGCGAGAAAAGTAAGGTAGTTATAATACATTTTATAAAAATATTATTTGAGATGTTTACAAAATTTAGCGACATTGAATGTCTTCAACAAGCGAAGAGTTTAGGAACGAATTAAACAGCGGAAAGCCTTTATTCTCGCTTGAAGTTGATGATGTGCTTATTCAACATCTTTTCCAGAAATTTTCAGAGCAATTAAAGCAACATTCCGAAGAAATCGAAACGTTAAAATCTGAATTAGCGAACCGTCCAAAAATGGAAGATTTCTTAAACCTAAGTCAAGCTGTTGTCTCATTACAGAAGCAATGCAATGATTCTAGCGATGTTTTATCAGAGACAGTTAAAAAATTTAAATCTTCAATGGATTCTAGACAAAATTCAATCAACGATTTGATACAATCTAAGTTAAGTGAAATGCTTTTTTCAGTCAACGCAGCAATTCGAAGCGAACTTGAAGCTTTGGACAAAACACCAGTTTCAACGCAAGAAGCAATCGACGAAGTACATGATATGAAGCTAAAAGTCGCTAAAATGTCTCAAAAACTTGACGATGTCAAAGATACAGTCATCCAAATGGCAGCAGCTTACGATGGAACAATGAAAGTTGACAGATTATCACGAAAAACAGTTCCTGCATGCGTTCGTGTAGCAGCAACTCGAGATAGAAATCAATTGCAACAAAATACTGACGATATCGATAAAATCAAGAAGCAATTGGAAGAATTTTCTCAGACGTTTAATAGAATTTTACCATATGGCGATAAAGAGTTTCCTCAGTTCGCAAAAGGTGTTACATATTCAAGATCTGATATTCCTAAGTTCCCAGATTATCCATATGTCTATTCTTTTAATGATTTTGCACAATATACAGCTTATGTCATACCATTAACAGAAGCCATACTCAGAGAAATGCATTCATATGTCAAGCAAGTGGATGCAACTCTGAGATCTAAGCTTGATCAAAGGGAATACAATGTTAATCAAAATGAGATCCAAAAGACTCTCAGAGCCCTAATCGAAGAGTCAGATGACTACAAGAACCGCAAGGATAACCTGATTTCCAAGGAAAACTTCGACGAGCTTTCCGACCAATTATATTCCATTGTCAATGGTTCATCGAATTCAGCCTGCACCAACACCAGATGCATGGCCTGTGGCAAGTTCGTCCAGCGCACCACAGGCTCGCCCCAAATCTCTCGTGTCGAACAGAAATTTAATGATCGACCGCAGACATCCCGCAGAACTAAGACCTCTCTCGACGAACAGTTCCATGACACAAACTTTGAAGTCCGGTCCGCTTATTCTTCGCGATCTCCAGCTTCAAGACTTCCAGACGTTAGGCACAAATAAAAAAAATCGTCGTTGTGTCATATGGGCTCATTTTCTCTCAAAAATTTTGTTCGACAACGTATTTTAATACTGCCAGTATGATGATCAAAAATGATATTACTTTTCTGATTCAATTTCATTATATGAACTAACTGATTGATACAAGAATTTTCTGAATGAGTTCTCAATTTTTTGAAGGTGAATCTAAAGGTTTTGAATGGACCTCAATTCAATATGTGCAAACAAAATTGAGAGTACATTTAAATGTTTGTATGTAAGTAAAAAAATTATATCACATTAAACTGACAACTTATTTAAACTCAGTGAGAGCTTTAAAAATATTATTAATTTACATAAAAATATTTACAAACAAACATAAATCTAATACAAAATTATTCGTCTTGCATCCGTAATAGGTTGTAACTGACTTCCGATATTTCCTCCCCCATGCCTGTCCTACTTACAATATAAATTTTAGGTGGAGGCAGTGTAATTCCTGAAGTCCCGACATCAATTTCGGGGTCAGGCTCTGTTATTTCTGTGTTAGATTGACTTGTACTGTCTTTTGGAGGTTTGTTTTTGGCTTTAACTTTGCGAATTTTTCTTTCTACTTTACATTTATTGTTTTGAAGATTTCGCGCGATTGAGCTGTAAGACTCTTTTTCCTTGTCCGGCATATTCCGCCAGACACCGGCGAGAATCGACGTGACTTCTGAATTTTTAAGCTCGGGGTGTTCTTTCATGTATTCATTTCTTCGTTCTATGCAAAATATTTGGAAGGCATCAAGGATATACCTTGTGTATGTCTTCGTCTTCATGATATTTGGTCTGTTTGGCTCTGGTGGATCTGTTGGATTTTCTACTTCAGTCATTAAAAATTATTAGATTTTCGTATTGTAAACTTATCAATTCTCAACTTGGGAAAAGTTTAATATCTGAAGCCCCAAAATTAAAATTATAAAACCACTATTAAATTGTATTCGATTGGATTTAAGGGTTTCGTTTTGCGAAAAAAACGTACAATACGCAATTTCGCTAAAAAAACATTTAGCTAGCAATTTCGACCTTTGACTCCACTCAAGACGTCACTTTTTTAATTTTGCGGTATCATATTTTTGGAAAATCTTTATGAATATTATATAAAAAGTCTCTTTAATATCTATATTTCATATTTTTATCGATTTTTACAGTTTTTGCGAAAAGTATTCAATTATTTTTGCTATTTGGTCGGGTAAATGTCAGATTTGCGACATTTTCTGATATGATATTCAGATTCTACGTTGATAATAATGCTTATAGTGTTGTAAACAGAAATTCATCAAAAGTGACACCTCAGAAAAGCTAAAATATTGAATTTTTGGAACTTTTGATAGAGCACGTTTTTAAATATTAATTAAAGTAAATGTATATTTTGTAAAGATTCTTTTTAATAAAAAATAAAATTTTGAAGAAGAACACAAAATCTTCTGAAAAATAATATCACATAAACTCATATTATTTTCTAATATATAACTATTTTATATAAAAATCAAATTCAATGATCTTAAAAGCGAATGATAAACCTCAAAATTTACGAATATAATGAGTGGGAATATAATTCTTATCTATCATAAAACCATATGAAATATCAATTTTTGCTTTACGCCTAATTTTTGGCGACAATTAGCAAAAAATGTTAAATGTTAACACTCAGTCCATTTGAATATGAAAAATAAAATTGACTTTGATTAAATGTTTTTATTTATCATGCAATTCTTCTTGCGACCAAAGATTTGAATAAAAGTTCAAAAAATAAGATAGCTTAAAAAGTAATATACGGTAGTGTTTACTAATAGATGAATAGTATATAAATTCTATTAAAATGGATTTGATCCAAAAAATATATAAAATTTGATCATAAATAAAATCGTTTTAAATTACTTCTTCATTTAAATTATAACAATTATTTTTGGTTTTATATTTTTTTGGATCAAATCCATTTTAATAGAATTTATATACTATTCATCTATTAGTAAACACTATCGTATATTACTTTTTAAGCTATCTTATTTTTTGAACTTTTATTCAAATCTTTGGTCGCAAGAAGAATTGCATGATAAATAAAAACATTTAATCAAAGTCAATTTTATTTTTCATATTCAAATGGACTGAGTGTTAACATTTAACATTTTTTGCTAATTGTCGCCAAAAATTAGGCGTAAAGCAAAAATTAATATTTCATATGGTTTTATGATAGATAAGAATTATATTCCCACTCATTATATTCGTAAATTTTGAGGTTTATCATTCGCTTTTAAGATCATTGAATTTGATTTTTATATAAAATAGTTATATATTAGAAAATAATATGAGTTTATGTGATATTATTTTTCAGAAGATTTCATTCTATATGCCTATGAAAAGTACTCTCAAAACTAACTTTTTCCTAATTATAATTAAATCTAGAATATTGTATTATGCTTAGTATTATTTCATTTTTCTCATTCAATTTAGAATTTACAAATGTCAAAAAATTGAGAGCTGTCACTTTTGATGAATTTCTGTTTATTACAATAGAACCCTCTTGCTATTGTGTCAAAATTGCGAAACCGATAGCAAAAATATCTCGCAATATCAAAATTGAGATATTGAGTGAATTATGCATTATAGAGATTAAAAATCTGATTTGTGAAAACATCTCATCAGTTTCTAGCTAATTCAAAAATCTTTACTATCTTATTCGATTAAAATGAAAAGGGAATAGTTTCATTATGCTTTAAATGACAGCCTTATAATATAATCATAGTTTTCGCTCAATATGCAGCATTTTTTTTCGAAATCTATGGTCAATATCCTAAATACTGATTGCTTTGCATTCATATCTCTTACATTTTCTATACCCACATCACTATTCATTGCTATTCCTATCTTTTTCATTTTTGTTTGTTTCTCATAATTTCTCAAAAAACACGATAACTTGATATTTGTAAATATCATACTTTATAACGTAAATAAGAACTTGACCTATTAAGAAAAGCAGTAATGAAAAGAAAATCTGAAATTCATAAAAATTACAAGTTTCTGATGACAATTAGCTTAATTAAACCAGGTACAAGATTATATAATTGTATTTTCTATCCAATTATCCATATAATATCTTATCCAGAAAAAATAACTTGATCAATACCAAATGATTTTTTAACTAGTAAATAAAGTATTTTCTTTACACACACATTGTATATCATAGTTTTTTTTTGGTTTCGCAAAACATCCAAAAACAAATATGCTATAAAAGTGACAATTTTAGCAAAACGAAACCCTTAATTGGATTGCTAGATCTCTTGCGTTTATATTAATAACTTGTAAACCATTCAAAATCAATCTCTAATATAATGAGAAAATATTGACCTATGAAGTATAAATATGATTCCAGAACTTAAGGCTCTCAATTTCAAATGATTTTAAAAAATTTTGGAATTTTTTACTGAAATAGCTCTCGTTTCAAAATCATGTATTAGTACTGAAAATAAAGTGACAAAATATTTCTGAGTACCTTTATAACAACAAGCCTTTCGCAACGTAAATTATCTCGGAAATTATTTTATTGATGAAATACAATGAACACTCGTAGATGAAGTTTTATTTACGATAACCGCTTTCTGTTGAAATTTTGATAAAAAAATCGATGTTGACAGAAAATTCATGAGCTGAAAAATTAACTTTATAAACTGTGATGAATAAAAAATGGACCTTATTTAGACACATTTTCTCTTTTTCGTTTCAGATCTTAGTTCGAATATTACGTTTCTTTTCTCTTGATTAATTTAATTTATAGTGAAATGAATTATACATTACATCTAAATCTTATTTGCGATTGAAATTATATATATAATCACATAAAATAAAATTTCATAAATTGTTTTCTTGAATAATGCTAATTACTTCAAATTATATTAAAAACATGTGCATATTCTATATAAATTCGTAGTTTATAAACAAAAAAATTAAAATAAATTTAATAATATTGAGACATCATTTCTCCAATTAATATTCTATGAGTTTCAGGAATATTAGGTTCATCAAGGATGTATTTACCAACAGCATTCTCTATCATACAGATTAATTTCACGATTTCATTTCTTAACGAACTATTTCCTGATTTGAACATTTTATACAGTGTTTGATAATATTTATCAGCTCCAACAAGTAATTCCTCGTTGCAATAAGGTATAATTCTTGACAACGGAGAAATAAAAATTGTATTTCCGCCATTTTTATCAGAAAATACGATTTCTAACAGTTTTGGATCTCTTATTGACTGCGATATATCAGATATCATCTTTTCCTGATATAAAAACGTTTCTTCTGTCATTGAATTTATATCATTCAAAAATTTCTGGAATAAAGCCATTTTCTCGGGTTCATCTGCTGTAGTAAATGTTTCTATGATGGGTGAGTAGTCAATTGAACTTGCATTCTTCTGTTTTTCCAGATGATTTTTCATTTTCAAAACTTCTCTAACGAAAGGAGCCAAAAACTTCTTTACTTCGACTCCCTGTTCGCAAGCAGCTATTTGGACGAACTTTGTATAGTTCTTACAAATAACTTTCGCTAAAGAAATCGAAAGAAATTCGTGTTTTCTGTCGCAAATTTTGACAACCAATCTTTTCACAGTTGTCAACGAAAGAGAACCAGAAGCAGTTGGAGAATTCAGTACGGCAAGGCAGAATTGCTCAACAGGAAGACCTTTTGGTGTTGATTCTCCTACATCTAAAGCTGATGAAACCAAATCTTCTTGTTTTGACTCAACAATAAGGGCATCGAACAAAGAATCGCTTTCAGGGAGATTAGAAAGGTTCAGCATCAATAGAATTATGCCTTTCAAGTGGGTTTTGAGGACTTCTGGGTACCTAAGTATGATATCATGGAGTAAACCAGGCGCAAACTGGGCAACTCTTATATGAAATGTCTCACAGGCTGTTAATATGACCTCAACAACGTTATTTGGATCAAAAGGAGTGTTTTCTGTGATTGCATGCGAAATTTGTTCGAGATAAGTGAGTTTTTCAAGCCAACTTGCACGTTTTATGACATGTTTTGGTATTTTGGCTAGTGGATGCTTGTGTTCTAAGCTCATACTTGAAGAATTTTTCTGATTTGAAAAAGAAAACCGTAATTTCGAATCAGAAAATGCACTTTCAGGATTCCTGTGAACTTTTAGTGACGTATTTGTTGATTTTGGAGACATATCTGATTTGAAAATTGAATCATTTTGATTTGATAATGAAGAATCATGGTTCTGTTGATCATAGTCTTCAATTACATTCTCTGGTTTCACTTGTGGCTTGTTTTGTTTAGATTTCTTCAAAGAATTTTGTTTTTTACTATTTGCATCACTTTGGAACTTCGAAGAAGCTTTAGAAATAGGAGAATCCTTTATTTCATTAACCAAAGAACTTGTATTTGTTGGAATTTTTTCATTTTGAGATTTAAGAGTTTTCTTTGGTTTATTTGAAGTAGAAATAGATTTTTCATCACTTACTGCTTGATATGAAGGACTGTCATCATGCTTTTTTGATTTTTGTTTTGAATCTTTTTTATCTTTTTGATTATTTTCTGAAGAAGAAGAGTAAGTGTAATCACTGTAATAGTAATAGCTGTAATATCCGTAGTCATCTTTAGATTCAGACTTTTTACTTGTTTCCCGTTCAATAATTTCTTTTTGTTGAATAATGCTACTTGTTTGAGTAATTTTATCTGATTTAACACTAACTTTTGATTTGGTCTTGGAATTACTAAGGCTTGAGCATGATTTGACGTCGCTTGCGGAGATATGACTCGTTGAATTTTCTTGAATGCTGTGTAAAGAGGACATTTCGTTTTCTTTTTGCGATGACTCGTAATTTGGTATTAAAAGTGAAAATATCTCCTTGGAATTTTTAATTTCAGGAGCAAGTGACGAATTATTGCTTTTTAGAAGGCTGAAGCTTTCTTGAGTAATGGACGCTGATATTGGCTTAATACATGAAATGCTTTGTGATGAATCTCGTGATAATTTGGTATTATTGAAGTGAATATTTTTATTTAGAAGCTGAGTAGCGTCATATGATATAATAACCTTGTTATATGTTTTTATGAGTTTATCTTGGTCCGCATTTTTTAGTATCTTAAGTGCTGCTTCACGGATTTGTGACATTGGATCATCCAAAAGAAGAAAGATAGGAGAAAGTGGAATAACATTTGCAAAATCTATTAAAATTTCAAGAATGAATTCGCGGACTTGGAGTGATTTTCCATTCAAAATTATGTTTTTTATTGTAGACCAGTATCTTTTCGGCTCAATTTTATTAATAATGATTTTAATAGCTTGTAATGATGATGTTGAAACATTCCTATTTACAGAAAGTAGTGATGAAGCTATATTTTGTAAAGCAAATTCGACATTTTGTATTGAATCTATGTATTTTTCGAGCAAAATCAGTATGTTTGTGCAAGCTGAAGAACGAATTTTGTAATGTGGATGAATTATCAATGGTGTAAGAGCTTGATAAACTAAATCGCAAGAAATAAATTGTGATTTTGGAGTAGAAAGCATGTTCTGAAGTTTGTCTAACGACGCTAAAACCTCTTTTGTGTTTGAAGATTTTAGATCTTCGATCACCTGAAATTCATCCATAAAACAATAATAAACTTATTCTCTCAAAACACATAAATATCAGCAAATTAATAAATGTCGAGTTAAATGATGTGTATTGGCATGATTAAATTCTTATTTTGAAATTCAATTTTTTTCAAACAGAGTTAAAAATGATTTATAACTTCAAAAACATAGATTGCATATGATTTTAATTCAGTTTCCCTCAAATATTTAAGTTTTGGTAATAACCTTGCTTTCCTCTCAAAATTTTAACCACATATCGAGAATTTTATCTCCTATCCAACTAATGCAAAATTATCATAAAATTTTCAAATTTTAACTTTTTTTACTTTATTCAAAATAAAAAAAAAATATGAAGCAGTGCAAAGTTATTCTACTCGGAGATTCTTGTGTTGGTAAAACAACACTCATTCATAGATATATATCGGGCGAATATAGAAATGATTTTAAGGCTACCTTGGGTACAAATATTACTACAAAAATTTATACAAAGGATGACAAAGACATTGAGGCTGCAATTTGGGACACAGCAGGAACAGAACGTTTTAAGTCAATTTCTTCAATTCATTATCGTGATGCGGATGCTTGCATTTTAGTTTTCGATTACACATCCTTAGAAACTTTCCATAACTTATCAAATTGGAGACAAGATGTATTAAGCAGTGCGGGAATCAAAAATCTTGATAGTTTTCCATTTATAGTTGCTGGAAATAAATGCGATTCTCAATTCGATCGTCAAATAGAAGAATACATGGTCAAAGAATGGTGTGACAATAACAATATGAAATTCTTTTCTGTTAGTGCGAAAACAGGTGAAAATGTCAACGAATTATTTAATACAGCAATAGAATCATGTCTATTCAAAAAGAATTCTCCACCGCCACAAAAGATCGATATCCAAGATAATAAGAAACGATTTTGCTGTTGATACACAGTTGAAAATTGCAAAAATTTAAAAACAATTTTAATTGATTGCTTTTCAATCATCAATAATAGAATAATTGATGAATATGGAAAAATTTACTCGATTGAATCGTTATTTCATTAATTTTATAATTCTTTCAATATTATACTGATGATACTATTTCATATGTGTTTTTCTTTTGTTTCGATAAATGTTATCTATCTTACTTATTTTTTACATTTTTATTATAAATATTTCAAATTTTCAGAAAAAGTTGCGTCATCGCAAGGAAAATGAAATTAGTGAAGCGATTCCTAAGAGAAATAACGGATATAGGAAATTTAATTTATTTCCTTATATATTGATTTAGATGAAGTGGAAATCCGTCACATTGTTATAAGTTTAGCACAGTATGCTTATCACTAGTTGATAAGTAGAATAAGGGTAGATTTATTGTTTCAATAGGAGAAAAAAATCTTTCTTTTAGTTAAGAGTTACTAAATAGTAATAGTTGACACAAGCTCATTATCATTGTATACTCAAATTGTTAAAATATATGATTTGAAGAATGAATTTTCCCAGAAACTTTTTACCGACACGTGCATTTTATTTTAAATGCCGATTTGTATAAAACTAATCAAGTCTATATAATTGATTCATGATGTCCTTTCTTATTTCAGTAAAGATAAGAGATTAATCATATGTATCACGCCTAAAAAGGATGAAAAATACTTTCTCCAAAAAAAAATATTATTTCAAAAAAGTGACAAAAATGACTGAAATAGATGATGAAACTTTATTTGGAATGATACAAAAATTATCAAATGGTGTAACAGATGTTGAGCCATTAGTCACAGAACTCATGGCAGAATTTGATGCCCTTTCTTATTCAAGAAATCCTCAACATGCAACTACTTTAAACGCAAACTATGCTTTTGTTTTACAAAAAATAGACCAGCTCATTAAAAGTTCCCAGGATGTTATTAATTTGGCAGATAAAAATCTAGAAAACGAACAAAATAATAATGAAACCGATATTCCTCAAACAAATCAGAACAATGATCAACCAAAACCAACTCCATTACAGAAACTCATGCAAAAATCGCGTTATATGTTTGAATATTTCATTTCAAGAACAATTCTTGTTTCTCAACTACCTTATCCTCCACTTTGTGGCTCAATACCAGCTGATCCGAATCAAAAGCTCGATATATGTGATTTCGTGGCCGCTAAATTTGAAAATGATTATGTTTTGTCTTATATCATCGGATACGAAGGTGATGATTACATAATTTGCGATGCAGATAATGATGAACCTCAATGCAAAACAATTTCGCCGAAACAAGTGATTCCTTTACCAAAATCTGTTCCAGACCGTAATTTCAGTCATGCAGAGTATTCAAATGGTACAAAAGTTCTCGCTCTTTGGCCAAATGACGAGGATGACTGGACTTCTCTGTTTTATCCAGCAGTTGTTTCTGCGACACCAACTTCAAAGGATCCGAACTATACATTGATGTTTGATGGGTCAGAAGTTCCGATGCAAGTTAAGCAGCACTTTGTTGTTCATGCTCCTTCAAAATAGAATTTATTTTCAAATTATTTTTTTGTTTTTTTATTTGTTATACATAGAATGTAATCATAATAAAAATTACCAATGTTTGTTAACAATACACTACTTCTAATATATCAATATTTCATAATATTTTTTATTAATTATAAATAAAGCATTATAAATATCGAACATTGAATATTTACCTATATTAAGTACGTTCTGTATGCTTTTTATTTTAAAATTCAGATTATTTTTTTGGAAAATAATTTCGAACCCAGGATGTGTATGTGTTTATTCTTCCATCATAATCATATTGATTATATATTTACAATTTTGAAGCAAACATATATTTGGAATTCCTCTGATGAAAATAATGAAAAATTTCAACCTTTGATAAAATTAATTCAAAATTTGAATGTTATTTGAAAATATTTCAAAAGAATGACATATCAATATCTTTAAATTATGCAATATCTTCAAGCCATAAATTTGATTGTTTCTTTCAATGTTTATATTATTCAATTTGTGCAAAGCTACTTCCTTTGATTAATACTTGAGAAAAACTATTATTAAGGCCAAATTATTTTTGAAGTTATATATTCAGAAAAATTTAACTACAAAATGCTTTTATTCCTGCTTGCCCATATCCTTCAAACTTGCTTGCATGAATCTATTCATGCTAATGTCTCCAAACAATTCGAGAATGTACAACATAAGAGATCAATTAAATCGACAACATGGGCAAATATTCGCATTAAATTTGATTACAGGTATATGGATGGGACAATTAATGATGGATTGACATGTACTACAGTTAATCAAATTATCACATGGCAAAGTAAAAGTTATGCATGCAAACCCGCGGATGTTTTAAATTATTCCCAAATTAGAGTTGCAAAGATGACAATGGAGAATGTTCGACAGTATCTTCAAAAGTTATTGAAAGTCATTCCATTGGCGAGTCCAATAAATGTTCAAAACTATGATAGATGGACAAATTATAGATTACCATACAGTATATCCAATATTGATCTATACATGGCAATTGTTTCAAGGCCATATGATGATTTAAGTTATATTATGGCGACAGCTGGATCAAATATTTATGAATCTACCTTTTATAGACCAATCCAAGGGGCAGTTTTCTTGAATCCAAGGTGGATTCCGAGTTCTCCTCAAAATGAAGACTCTAAGAATAATAAATTTTTCTTTGTTATTGTTCATGAGATTTTCCATGCGTTAGGAATTGCTGCTAATATGTTTCCACTATATCATCCATATGAAATTTCAACACCTTATTCATCAACATTCTGCTGGTTAAAAAAATCTGGAAAGGTTATGAAATTCATTACAACACCATATGCTCATAACTTTGCAACAAAGCAATTTGGGACAAAAACATTTGTTGGCGATAACGGGACATGTCCATCCGGTATTGAAATCGAAAATACTGAACTTGGAAGTCATTTACCAGGAAGAGTATATATGACAGATCTAATGACAAGTATTAATATTCAGACTGATGCAGGCCCATTTACAAGACTTACTGATGCATCAATGGCATTATTGCAAGATACAGGAAATTACAAGGTAACATGGACTATGGGTCAGCCATTAGTTTGGGGACATCCAGAATCAATTGATGGAAATCCTATTAAAGATTTTGCAATCGGACCTCCTCAAAAAACTTTTCCATCAAATTATCAATTTGATTTTGGAGCTCATCATAAGTCTTATACTGGATTTGATTACAAGTTTTATGGGCCATCTAAAACAGGTGCTTCATGGAATTGTGCAGATTTATCACATCTTCAATATCAAAATGTTAAAGATTATTGTGCAGGAAAGTTATTTTATAATCCCAATAATCAAGAGAGTATTGGAACCAATCAAGAATTTGATTACATTCCTTTCTTCTTTCCAAATCATGTTTGCGGTAGGGGAGAAGCTGTCATTCCAAATACATTGAATGATTTGAATATTCTTTCTGGGGAATATAAATGTAATGGAAATTCAAGTTTCACAATCAAAATACCAACTAATACAAATGGCAGAGGAAAAACAACAGTAAAATGCGACTCATCAAATGTTGGAATGATAACTACAGGTAAGATTTTAACCACAGATTCCTATATTCAATGGAAATATTGGTGTCCACCTCCTGAAAGATTTTGTAGATCAGTGGCATTGCATGAAATGAATTTCAAGAATAATCCTTTCCTTAGTTATACCAAACAATTAGAAGATGTTCCTAATCCAATAAAACCTAATAGAACAAAACTTCAGACAGCCACTCCAATGGTTCGATTAAAAACGGGAGTCAATATCCCATTTTTGTAAACATAAACCTTGAAATTCATATATTGACATAACAGCCCAAGCATTGAAAACAAGCCAATAAGAGTAGCTTTGAACGTTGTGAAATAATTAGCCGTGTATGTTTCATACAGAGCCGTAAAATCAGATTTTATTATCTGATATCATTGAGGGGAAAAAATCGGTTATAATTTTAAATTTTGCAAATTACCTCAGACTTTTCAGAGGATTGAGTGGCAACTCAATCCTCTGAAATAGTCTGTGGTAATTTTTAGTCTCTACACTATTTCAATATAAGCTCCATTTTTAAACAGTTTTTAAAAATCGAGCATTGAAAAGTGTGATGAGACTTTTAGTTTAAATATAATGTTTTTTAACACAAACTTTGAATATTACTACCAAAAATGAAAATGTATGGAAGAAATATCAACATGTTCATCTTCTCTCAATTTAGACGATCACCAAAAGAAATTAAATGTCAGATTGATAAAAAATGGTCATTATTATTTTCATTTATTCTAAATTTTTACTAACATTTCATCAACATATGATATTTCGGTTTTATTCAATTTTTTGGGAGAAAAAAAAATTCAAAAACACTCATTAAATAGTTATGATAATAATGATGTTTTAATAATGTTTTGCTGATTAACTCAAAATTTGGGGTTAATATCCTTATGTTTTTGTATTTAATTGTGCCAAAATCTCGTTCCAGCTCGTTTGGTTCTAATTACAGTGACTCTAGTATACATTATGTGAATATGACGCATCAAAGAACTCTAAAATCCACAATTTGGTCAAACATTCGTATTTCTTTCGACTACAGATACATGGATGGTACACTTGATGATGGATTAACATGTAATACGATTGGACAAGTAATAACATGGCAAGGCTACACTCTTACTTGTGCATCAGAAGATATTCTAAATTCTTCTTCAATTAGTGTTGTAAAGCAAACACTGGAGAATGTCAGAATATACCTTCAAAGATTATTGAAAGTCATGCCTTTGTTTCGTTCTATATCTGTAAAAAACGATATTTCTTCAACACGGTATTCTTTACCATATAATGTTTCAAATACAGACTTATATGTTGGAATCTTTTTTAGAAAATTTGGAGATACATCCACTGTTGCTTCATCTGTAAATATTGAAAATGAAGATGTCTTTTATAGGCCAATACAGGGTGCTGTTTTCTTAAATCCCATGTTCATTCCAACAAAAGTTGAAAGTGAAGAGAATGCAGATAGTAGTTTTTTCCCTGGTGTTATTCATGTTATGTTCAATCTATTAGGAATCTCAAAAAATCAATTTCAAAATTATCATTCATACGAGAATTCATCAAAATATTCATCAATATTCTGCTGGCTGAATATATCTGGAAAGGTAATGAAATTTATTACAACTCCATACGCTCATATATTTGCAACAAAGCATTTTGGAACAGATACTTTTGTTGGTGATAATGGTACATGTCCATCTGGTATTGAAATCGAGAATAGTGGTGGTTCAGGAATAGCTGGAAGTAGCTTGGAAGGAAGAGTATACATGACAGATATAATGACAGGGTTAAGTCTTCAGCAAGGAGGTCAATTTAATCGCTTAACAGATGCATCAATGGCATTATTGCAAGATACAGGAAACTATAAAGTCACATGGTCTATGGGTCAGCCATTAGTATGGGGTAATCCAGAATCAATTGATGGTAATCCTATAAAAGATTTTGCAATAGGATCGCCTCAAAAAGTTTTCCCATCAAACTATTTCTTAAATTTTAGCGCAGCAGACCAATCATATACCGGTTTTGATTACAAGTTTTATGGTTATGCTAGTTACAATAATCAATGGAATTGCTCGGATTCATCAGTATCTATATACCCAAAAGTAAAAGAATACTGTACTGGGAAATCATTTTTTAATCCTAATAATGAAAAATATATTGGATCATTAGGTGAATATGATTTCATGCCAATCATAAATCCAATGTACGTTTGTGGTACAGGAAAAGCTGTAATTCCTAGTACATTGGAAAGTTTGGATCATTGTGGAGAATATAAATGCAATGGTTATACAAGTTTTACCATTAAAATGCCAACTGACATGGCTGGTGGAACTAAAACGATAACTTGTAATTCTTCAAATGTTGATGTACTAATTTCAGAGAAAATTTATGTAACATCAAATCATACAGGGTCTTATTATCCATTAAAATACTGGTGTCCGCCACCAGAAAGATTCTGCAGATCAGTAAAATTACATGAAATGCACTTCAAAAGTGATCCATTTTTAAATTCATCAGTGCAGTTTGATAACGATGAAGAGGAAGATATACCATCACCCACTCCATATATAACGGCAACTCCAGTTATTCGTATGAAAGGTAGATCAAATTCTCCATTTTTGTAATCTCATGATTTATCCTTTAAATCATCTAAAAACTAATTGAAATTGTCATGGATAAATAATTCACACCATTAAATTGTGATGAATAACTACCATTCACCAATTAAAAACTATTTACTTTGCAATTCAATCAATTGTGAAAACGATAGTAATGGATATAAGAATGTTTGTATTTTAACATTATCAAAATCGAGTTTGTAAAGCAAACATTAAAAATTAAAATGCAAAAATGAATTTTAAAGGCTCAATTTATTGAAAAACGTTTGTAAATAAAAAGAAGAAGGGACTGTATATTAATTTTAAGAGAAAATAATTATTATCATTTTTAAAATAATCAATGATCATATTTCGTAAAACTTAGAATCCCATTGGCTGGTTACCACGTGGCTGAGATGCCTTACCGTATTGGTGCTGCTGTCCTCCCTTGAGGTTGAGGTCGACTAAGCCGCCGAAGTCGTTGATTGGCTTTGCCGGGGCCTTCTGCTGTGGCTTCGGCTGCTGCTGAGCCATTGGCTGAGCGAATCCGCCGGCTGGCTTTGAAGCAGGTGGAGGATTAGAGAAGTCGAGGAGGTCCATTGGAGCCTGCTGCTTAGGAGCTGGTGCTGGTGAACCGAAAGCGTTGAATTGGTTCTGCTGTGGAGCTGGAGATCCAAATGCGTTGAATTGGTTCTGCTGTGGAGCTGGAGATCCAAAAGCGTTGAATTGGTTCTGATTCTGGGCTGGCGCTGGAGCTCCGAAAGCGTTGAACTGGTTCTGCTGTGGCTGTGGCTGGGAGTTGCCAAATGGGTCGAAAGTGTTTTGTTGGCGTTGCTGAGCTCCTCCGAATGGATCGAATGTGTTCTGTTGGGCCGGGGCAGTTGGTGCTGGGGCAGCTCCTGCACGTGGATCGAAGTCGAGATCGTCTTCGTCTTCTGAATCTGATGGAGGTGGCTTAGATTTAGCAGATGGGGTTGTATAATCGTCATCGTAATTACGAGTGTTGCTATAGCTATCATTATAGTTGCTATTCATGCTGTAAGAGTCCTGATATCCGCCACCAAATCCAAATCCTGTATTTCCGGAAACTGCGCCTGTAGCACCTGCGAGCTTCTTGGCTTTCTCACGTTCCATCTGATATAAATCGCTATCGTTGACTAAGTTGATGATATCTTGGGCTTTCTTTCTAACAACAGCTTCGAGGGCAGCTTCCTCTCCAACTTCATACATGTGGAGGGTAGTAAGCTGCTGGAGCTGGCCGAGCATTGTTCTTGTATCAGAACGGAATGCTTCTGGGCCGTTTCTAAGAAGATACTCTAAAAGTAACAGGGATTTCTGGACGTGTCTGATTTCCTTAATATCGCCCATCTGATCCCAAAGGGCCTTTTTAACATTCTCGCATTCGTTGTAATTGTAGCTGATGCGTGCAATTTCTTGCATTTGTGTATTTGCAGGACCCCATGGGTCGTCATTTGTTGCTTCATAAACCAGCTTTTCGGCCTCGGATTTTCCTGTGAAGAAATAACCTGCCTGGCGTGTTTTCTCTTTGGCAAAGCGCCAAACTTGCATTATTTTTTATGGTCACAAACCGCCGATTTCATCGTCGATTCTGACCATTTTTAGCCTATAGAAATATGAGATAATATTATATGGTTTGGATGGATCAAAATAAGTTCATTATGAAAAACGGACGGCTAAGTATTCAATTGTAGCGTAATTTTAGAATCAATTGCAAATTATCGATAGAAATTTATTAATTGTAAATGAATAATTGGATCCGTTTTTAACCTCATTTCCTTTCAATGTCAATTTTTTTATTTGGAAGTGAATTGCTAATTTTCCATTAATAAATGCAGAAAATTGATTTATGCATATAATGACGTGCTAATATCAAATTCAAACAAGAAGTGATATCACTTCTCATTATTTCATCGCTCGGATAATAGCTTATTGAACTTTTAATGATAGGCCCTGAATAAATAATAATATGATATTGTCCGAAATCATTATCTCATATTTAGATTTTGACTTAATCTGCTTTATATCGTATTCAAAAGCTAAGCATTTGTTCATTATTTCGGTACTACCATCGATCAACAAATGAAATGATTATATGATTCAATAACCATTTAGCGCAAACTCCTTAATTTTCACTACAATGATCGCGAATTTTACCATTGATAATTTTCATCAATTTATCTAAGCATACACATAACTTATACATCAAATGTTAAAGTTTTAATATCCAAAAACAAAATTTCACTGAGTATTTTAAGAAATTATTTATAAGAAAAATAAGTAGCGCATTCAATCTCTCAGTATTGAACTATTTACATGATTTTAAATTTATTTGCGCATAGTTATTATCTCTAGTTTATATTATGAATAATATTCTTAACATTCACCATAGAGTTGAATCAACAGTAAGTCGATTTGATTTACATCTCTGAAAAATATCAAATCCTATCTATTATTTATACAAAATTAACTTGAAAACATATATAGTCGTAATTTTTTCTTAATTTTATCTTGCTATTGAACATAATACGACATAATGTAATATGTTTTCATAAGAATGTGTATTCTTTAATAGTATGAAGTACTTAAGTGCTTTTGTGTTATTTGATTTAAATTTTCCATGATTTTAACTAAATTGTATCATTGAAAGAGAGAAGTTCGGATACATGAGTGATATTCGTTCGATAATATGATTGGCGATTTATCAGATTATTTTTTTCGAAGTGGAAAGGGCAAAAAAAAATTGTCACAAAATTTTTACAAGTCGTTAAAAATTTCTGCAATAAAATATGTTGTTTATAAGCTGAATTTGAATATTTACAAATTTGAAATTTTGATCATCTTGTCAAATTTAAACAATGAAGGCTTTGGAAGAAATTCAATGTCGCGTGGTTGTCATTGGAGACTCTTCGGTAGGGAAAACATCTATTCTCAATAGGATCGTTCAAAGTCCATTCAACCCTTATGAATTAAGCACAGTTGGTGCAAATTATCAAGTTATCAATCGAGAAGAAAATGGTCAAAAACTCGAAATTCATATATGGGATACAGCTGGACAAGAAAAGTTTAGATCGCTCAGTCCAATTTATTTTAGAAACTCCATTGGTGCAATCGCTGTTTATGATCAATCAAATAAATCAAGTTATGAAAACTTAGAAATGTGGATTAACATGTTTACAGAGATAGCAGGTACAGAATCTATAATCGTTGTTGCTGCTAACAAATGTGATTTGGTTAATAATTGTGAAATATCGTTAGAAGAGGCTACAAAATGGTGTCATGCTAACAATTTCGAAATATTTCAAACTTCTGCATCAAATGGCCTAGGAATTGACGAACTTTTTGATCATTTAGTTAAAGAACTTTACAGAGTGATAAATACTAAAAGACTAACATCAGATCATGTTAACATTAATCGAAAAGAAAGTGGTTGTGGTTGCTGACCCTTTTCTTTATTAATAAATTGTATTTTTTTGTTAAATAATTCCCTTTGAAAAAAATCTCAATGTATTTTATTAATAATCTATTAAACTCTACGATGAAATGGCATTTTTCCATCTTATGATAAATACTTTGCCTAAAATGCATTAATAAATCATAATGGTTATATCTGTTAGCAGAATAGATGTGCACACGCAAGTTTTATCTGATGATTATGATTGAATATTATTGTTGACCATAGTGAAACAAAGTAAATAATACATTTATAAAATATATCTCACATTGTTATTGAATTGATCTGATTTCCAACTATTTCTGCCTGAATGTATCAAAAGGAGGATCCAATCAACAAATAAAATTGAAATACAAAAAAATGTTAAATAAAAATTAGATAAATTTGAAAATTATAATGATAGCATTTACAAACAAAGCTAAAGATTATCATCAATATATTTCATTCATAAATTATTCGAAAAAAATTTATAAACTTCTTGGATTACAAAGGATGGTAACTTAAGTATAAACTTGTACACCTTTTTAATATTTTTGGCACTACTAGAATCACCATCTGGAAAAATCAAATCAAAAATAAGAGCTGGAACAGCTCCATTTGATTGTAGTAGAAGAGGTGAAGAAAATAGCAAGAATATAATAATTGGATATTGTACTTGAGGCAAAATATTTCCAATTAATGTAATAAAAAATATGATAAATGATATTATGATAAAATATTTCATCCATTGCCTTTTCATCCTATGTGAGCTTTTATTTCGGCTAATTTTCATAAATGGAATTAAATAATAAATAAGAAGAAGACAGAGAAAACTCAAAAGCATTAAAAAAGTGTCAACTAATTAAAAATAAGAATGAGGGGAAAAGTGGGGGGAGTGGGAAAAGGCTTTTCAATTTAAAGGTGCACTTACGCCCCTATGACAAGTCCTTCAATTCAGATGTTTAAGGTTAATATTCATTGACGCTTCACGCCAGGTGTCAAAAATTCGAATTAAAGTCAGATGGGTGTAAATGCAGCCATAATATTTTTAGTTGATACACCTCTATTATTTGTCAAATTAACTCTTGACTCAAGAAATTCTAAAGCTTCTTTGCAGTCATTTTGTCTTGCATAGTCAATTGCTGTTTTGCCAAAGTAATTTGATCGATTAAGATCAACTTGATAAGTGGAATATTGAAGATCTTGTCCATTCCAAGGTCAGAAATTCTTGATATTTACTTCTAATGGTCTGTCTACTAATTGCTAATCTAGATAAATGAAAAAAAAATGTAAAATTGCTTTCACGAATAGAATTCAGTGATAAAAACTTAATTAATTATTTTTTATTTCTATTGGAATATAGAAGAGTTGAAGCTGTTGAAGGAAGTATTGCGCCGTGTGAAATAAGAAGTTCGGCTGTTTCTTTACTGTTTTTCGTTGATGCATAATGAAGAGCGGTTTTTCCTTCTCCATCTTTTTCGTTGATATTCGCCCCATGTAAAATAAGAAGCTCGGCTGTTTATTTTCTGTTATGTTCTGCTGCATAATGAAGAACGGTTTTTCCTTCTCCATCTTTTTCGTTGATATTCGCCCCATGTAAAATAAGAAGCTCGGCTGTTTATTTTCTGTTATGTTCTGCTGCATAATGAAGAACGGTTTTTCCTTCTCCATCTTTTTCGTTGATATTCGCACATGTGCAAAGCAATCCAAAAATATCAGAAAAGTGTAATTTTATTGCACTTGATTATTTTCGATTCAAATATTGTTCAACATTAGAAGCTAAAGGAATCAATTGCATAGTAGATACCTATTTTATGATATTATTATTTTATGATATTTCAATATCAATAATAAAACGAATTTCTTATAAATAAAATCATCAATTTGGATAATCAAGTTGAATGTTGGTTTTAGATTTTATATTTAAAGTCTTTTTACCATATTTTTTAAAAAAATTCTAAAAATTTGGTTAATATTAACGAGTTTGTTCTCATAGGGATGCGACGATTTTACGCCATGACCGTTTAAAAATAGAATAATACGCCATTTTTGGGGCCGAATGGCGGGTATAAAGTACCCGCCATTCGGCCGAATAACAAAACAATACAAAATTATCGCCGTCCTTTTTTTTTCTTTCTTTCTCTTTTTTTTTCTCTCTCTCTCTCTTTCTTTTCTCTTTTCTCTTTTTACTCCTCTTTCTCTTTTCATCATTAAACGTAGAAAGATATATTAATATTATTTTAAAATAAAAAAAATAAAGAAAGTATAATAAGTAATTATTTAGTTATCGATATATATATGTAAAGTGATAATCTGAGGATAATCTGAGGAGGAGTCTGAGGATTAGACCGAGGAGTAGTTTGAGGAGTAGTCTGAGGAGTTTGAGGATAATCTGAGGAGTAGTCTGAGGATTAGACCGAGGAGTAGTTTGAGGATAATCTGAGGATAATCTGAGGAGGAGTCAGAGGATAATCTGAGGAGGAGTCTGAGGATTAGACCGAGGAGTAGTCTGAGGATTTGAGGATAATCTGAGGAGTTTGAGGATAATCTGAGGAGGAGTTTGAGAATTAGACTGAGGAGTTTGAGGAGGAGTCTGAGGATTAGACTGAGGAGTTTGAGGATAATCTGAGCATAATCTGAGGAGGAGTCTGAGGATTAGACCGAGGAGTAGTTTGAGGATAATCTGAGGATAATCTGAGGAGGAGTCAGAGGATAATCTGAGGAGGAGTCTGAGGATTAGACCGAGGAGTAGTCTGAGGAGTTTGAGGATAATCTGAGGAGTTTGAGGATAATCTGAGGAGGAGTTTGAGAATTAGACTGAGGAGTTTGAGGAGGAGTCTGAGGATTAGACTGAGGAGTTTGAGGATAATCTGAGCATAATCTGAGGAGGAGTCTGAGGATTAGACCGAGGAGTAGTTTGAGGATAATCTGAGGATAATCTGAGGAGGAGTCAGAGGATAATCTGAGGAGGAGTCTGAGGATTAGACCGAGGAGTAGTCTGAGGAGTTTGAGGATAATCTGAGGAGGAGTTTGAGAATTAGACTGAGGAGTTTGAGGAGGAGTCTGAGGATTAGACTGAGGAGTTTGAGGATAATCTGAGCATAATCTGAGGAGGAGTCTGAGGATTAGACCGAGGAGTAGTTTGAGGATAATCTGAGGAGGAGTCTGAGGATTAGACTGAGGAGTAGTTTGAGGATAATCTGAGGAGTAGTTTCAGGAGTAGTCTGAGGACTAGTCTCAGGACTAGTCTGATGAGGAGGACTCTAAGGAGTAGTCTGAAGAGTAGTCTCAGGAGGAAGATCGGAGGAGGAGTCTTATGAGGAAGATCTGAGGAGTAGTCTGATGAGGAGGGGTCTAAGGAGTAGTCTGAGGATGATGAGTAATCTGATAAGGAGTAGTTTGAGGATGATCTGAGGATAACCTGATGACTAGTCTAGGAGTGGTCTAATAAAAATGTAAAATATTTTCAAAGAAAAAATTCTATGAATTTTATATTTTAATTCTTAGCATTATACTGAATAAAATAAACATAAATATCAAAATTTGAAATTGAACACGCCAAAAAATTGATAATCCACATTCAATATTTTGTAAGTGGCGTACTTTTTGAATACTCGCCATACGCCTTGGAGTTCTCAATTTTGAATTCGCCTTTATTTGGGCGACCTCAGAAAAATACGCCATTAAGAAAATATTGTATGAGATTTTAAATTTGAACACGCTCTACCTTAAGGAATTAAATTTATTAAGATATATTTATATATAATAAACGATTACTTAAAAAAGGTATTTCATCGCTTATGTAAGTTTCAAAAAATCACGAAAATAAAAAAATCAAGATTAAAATTTTATTTTTAATTTTTGAATTTCTCAAATGGCGAAAATTTACAACAAATAGTAGAAAAATTCCATATCTTTACAAAAATTTGAAGAGAAATAGTGCATTCGTCCAGCATTCTCAAAATAGTACCATGAATATGACGCAGCTCTGCAAAAAATTCAATTGAACGATTTTATTGATCAAATGACTTCGATCGATTCAATTACAATTTAAATCTTGCGAATATGACGTCTACAATATGAGGAAAATCGATGATTTTATTCGTATTTATGGCTCTCTTAAAAATAAAATATCTGTTCAATATTTGCTAAAGAAAGGAGCGAGTGGCCAAAAACTCGCCTCCAATTTGATTGCTGAGAGCGAATAAGGAAATCCTTTGCCTGTTACATAAAATAATTTAAATACTAAAAGGGCGAAGAAAAAAAATTTTTTATAAAAAAATAAATTCGTAAAATTGACAAAATAATCGTCATCATGGATAAATAAACCAGATATATAGGTCATACTCGTTATGCAATAGTGATATACATATTCATTAGAAAACGTCAATTTTGATATAATTATGTTCGGTCTGTAAACTATTGAATTGAGATCAAAGAGTGAGCAATAATCTCCAAATAAACGAATATCACAAAAATTTTCTGATTGCATTGAGTGTTCTGTAAACCTATCAAATTGAGAGTCCCCGTAAAGATTTAAATCAAATGACTGAACAGTCCCAGCTTCTCACTAGAGACACGGTCTTTGAGTTCGAAAAGATTGCCCTCGATCAAAGATTTGTTGATTGCACAATCATTGTCGAAGGAAAAGAATTCAAAGCTCATCGCGTTTTATTGGCAGGTTGCTCTAAGTATTTCAACGAATATTTCAAGGATAATTCCGTCACAACTTGCACACTCGAAAACTATTCGGCATCATCATTCCAGCTTTTCATCACTTTCCTCTATACAAAGAAAATTTTATTAAATCTCGATAACCTCGCAAATGCTATGAAGCTTGCATTCTATCTCAAAATAGATACACTCTTCAACACTATCAATGATTTTCTCCAGACTGTCGCAAATCCTGATACAGCAATCGTTCTCCTCAAATCCGTCGGTTTTGCCCTTTCTGCACTCACCCGTTTCATGAAGTTCTGCGCAACATTGATGGAAAAAATGTCTGCAAACACTGATTTTGCTTTCTTAAAAGTTCCAGAAATGAAACTTCTCATTAAGAAGGCCCGCTTCTCAAATGGATACGTCCGTGACGATATCATCGCGAAATACTGCAGAGCAGCTCAAATCGACCCCGAACAGTTCGCAGAATTCAAACAATTCGACCCAGCCTTACCAGACTCTTCTCTCAAGAAGCCAACATTCTCCGCAGTCTGCCTCGCTGCTCCTCCGGATCCAGGCCTTTTCCAGAGACTCAAAGGCCAAGTTGGCGTCGAAGCTTCAGGTTCTCTCAATGGACGTGATCCAGCGACAATTATCGAGGAGGATCCAATCAAGCATTGGTTTACCGAGTCAGACGGCAACGCCTGGGTTCTTTTCGAGTTCAAAGAATTATATATTCAGCCAACTCACTACGGAATCTGGTCCCACGGTGGTACATCAACACTCAAGAACTGGGCTTTCCAGGCATCTAATGATCGCCAGAATTGGATCGTCCTTTCTACTCATAACAACGATGATTCACTCAAGGAACCATTCTCCGAGAAAACCTGGCCGATAGATACCAACGGATACTTTAAATACTTCAGAATTATTCAGACAGGCCACAACTGGTCAGGAAATCGCTGGTTATATTTGCAAAAGGTCGAAATTTGGGGTGTTGCATGCTCAAAGGACAAATTTTAATTAAACGGTAATTTTTCTTACTAAACACCTAAAATTCTATTTAATTTCTAAAATATTTTTTAAACTCTAAAATAAATTACAGCACAAATACCTAAAAAGCAGAGACTTAGGGGATAAACAAACTAAAAATCTAAAATTCTATTTAATTTCTAAAACAATTTTTTTATTTTGATTCTCTATTACATTGCAAATATATTACCAACCTGAGATTTAATAGGTTTTCAAATTAAAAATATAAAATCCAATGCAATTTCTAAATATCTTAATAACATTCAAAATTTCACTGCGTAATTCAATTTGATATAACGAGTTAATGATTTCCTATTAATTCATAACCAAATTTAGTGAACATTGTCATGCAAATTAGAAAAAATAGTAAAATTTATTTAGTTATGTAGTTTTAATCTATATTAATTACAATAGAATAGAAGAGAAACTTCTTTTTATTAAGATTGCCAAAACCCGATCAACAGTTTTGCTCCCATTCTTCCAATTGGAACCATATTAGGAATATTTGTGCATTCTTTTAATTTATAATTTTCTTTTGAAAAGCACATACTTGATTCATAGAGAGCAAAAGGAATTGAAAGAGATTTTGTTTTATCTGTTGATAATGATTGTAAATTTCCGGCTTTATACTGAGAATAAGCAACATTACTTATTACGCACTTAATCAATTGAATTACTGTTTGCGAATCGCCATAAAAGAAATTGTAGCACTTATTATTCTTAATAATGCATTCTCGGAATATATATGAATATGCTGCATAACAACTAATCAATCCTCTATCAGAGGGTCCATGAGTATTATTCACTAAAGCTATGGAAAAAGTTTCAAAATTTTGACGAGATTCTGTAATAAGTGCGAATCTAGAAGTAGCAATATTTTTCATGAAATTACAATATTTTACAGTACATGATATATTTGGCTCATCCAAATAGCAAGCAGTATTTCCTTCGGCAGTATTATCTGTTTCATTTATTGAGGAAAAGCATATTTCTCCATAATATATGCCTGATGTATGGGCTAAACATTGCCCGTTGGAAATCGAGCCCATAGTGAAGTAATTTTTGAAATGAAAATCTGTTGAAACTAATATCTCGCAATGAGCACCTAATTTACTTGAAGTAGGTTTGTAACTACAAATGTGGCTTTGAATGCACTGCCCATTGTTTTAGAAAATGCAGCCACCGTCAAGTAACGATGAACAATTTGAGAATGTGCAGAAATTAATAAGAACTTTAGTATTGTCATCACCTGTAATGTTAATAACTCCATTTGGACTGAGAAATGAAAAATATGTTTTTCAATAAGGCAATTTTGACTGCCATCAATAGTTGTATTGGAGGAATATCGCTTATGATCATATTTGTCATTAAAGTAATCGTTCCATGTAGAATAGTCTCCTGTTTGTGAACTCTTAATTCATTTCAAAATTTTGATAGAAAAAAATTGAGAGCATTGATCCGACCTTTCTAAATACATCAATAAATAAACTCCAATCATACTGTAGTACACTTTTGAAGACATAAGTGCAGTACTCTATAACCATTGAATATTTGCTCTACAAAAGATCTTTCTATGATTCTCATAGTTCAAATCAAAGTATTGTTAAAATCTTGGATTCACAGAGATAGATTAAGATTTCAAGGATGACAAATGGCTGTAAATAGGACAAATATACTTTCAAAATACATTGCATGTAACTATATTTAAGAATTATTGATATTGCTCTATAAGTATTTTGAATATTGAAAATTATTTATACTTTAGAAAATAGCATTCAAAATCTTTATGTTTGCTATGTGATTAAGTAAAATTATCTTGTTTAGTCTCAAGATTTCTTAACAAAAGCGAATATAGCAACATTTGCCATTAAATTTCTTCTTAATGTTAATTGGGTGAAAGATTTTGTACATGGATTCAATTTTAATCCTTTATTATGTGATACTTTGTGATAAGTTTCACCTATAACTTTATCTACTCGATTTGTCATCCAAATTAAAACAGGATTCATCCTGAAATCGAAGTTTTCTGGAAAAGATGAAATTAAATCAAATTCATCCCTAAACACAGAAATTGTTTTTGCATTGGTAATGTTGTAGAATGATAAATGCATTCCGCAGTGTTTATATTCATAATCATATGATTCGTCAATAATCCCGCTTAAAACAAGTTTACTTTCTGTGTAGAATGAGTCGATAACAGTGATTTTTGCCTTTTTTCTTCTTGTGAAATCAATACTGATCACATCAGATTCCTTATTTCTTGAATGAAGTTGAATATGAAGCGTGTGACTTCCAAAAATACCTTGTGAAGCATGTTCAAAAACAATAAAATTAGTATTAGATTGTAAATTTTCATTTTGCGTAATGTGATCTATTTCATCATCAATCCATGATTCAATTTCGATGTTTGAAATTGTTTGGAGACGTTCAAAATATACTCTTACTTGAATATTTTCATCAAATTCGATGATTGAATAATTTTCATTCTCAATTGAGATATTTGTCATTATGAGTTCATGATTAAACAGTGATTCACTTCGACAGATATCATCTCCAGGAAATGAGTTTATTATATCTATTTCTTCACTAGCAATTGATTCATTAACCATTACGTTATCATTATTAATAATAGCTTGAGCATCGACATCAATACTCTGCCCAATTTTATTAATTGTATTTCTATCAAAATAACAATTCGAAATTGTAAGGGAACCAGCATAGGCTAAAATCAAACATTTTGCTTTATTATTAATGATATTGCATTCACTTAATTTTATTCTAGAATTTTCTAGGTAAAACAATCCATTTAATATATTTGAATTATCCTTGTCATAATAAATTGTATTCGAATGAATTATTAAATGATGTAAATACTCCGATTGGCTTAAATAAAATGAAAAACATTTTGATGCCATTTCCATGGTGTTATTCATAAAAGCTGAAAATGAAATACTTGCTTGGAAACCATAATAAATATAAAATATCAAATCAGTACCAGTTTCACGTGAAATAGTATTAGATATATTCGTATTTTCAATTAAGATCAGTCCATTTTTCAAATCAAATAATTTTGTCTCTCCTCGAGAATTCGCAATTGTTGAATCTTTAATATAATTAATTAGATTATTGTTTCCATAAGCGTTAATATAAGAATGAGCTGCACCAATATCGCTTTTTGCATATGCATTTTTAACACAAATTTGATACTGAACACAGGAACCACTTTCTTGGTAAATATTCATTTTAGTTGTATCATCATTTTGGTTGTTATCAAAAATAGTGTAAGCAAAAAGAGATTGGCAGTTTCGTAGATATATGATGTTGTCTTGATATTTTCCTTGAAATAATACATTAGAAACTAAAATATTCGAATTCTCTGTATTAATCGATTTATTTTCATTAATTTTTGTTACAGATTCGGTATTACCGTAATATTCTTGCCAAATATCGTTTAGATAGTCATATTTTAAGTTCGCAGAGTAATTTTGTTTTAATATTTCTTCGTTTTTAAATTTCTTGTTTGATGAATTAAATAATCGATCTTTAAACGGCATTTATACAATGAATCATATTGATATTTGTGAATTAAGAATTGGATGCTCTCTCTATTTTGCTTATTAATAGGTTTGATTTAAAGTTAAAATATTTGTAATGCAAATATAATAAAGCTTGTACGGACCATGGTTTATTCCTGAAATTACAAAATCCAATGAATTTCTCTGGATTTGAAATCTATTTTTTTCTAATTTCATAATAAATCTTATATATATATCTCAATAGCCTTCGATACAGTGAAAATTCTGTCATTTTTAGTCTTATTTATCAATAATTAAATGTAATCTTCTCATTTTTAATATTTTTAATTACTTTTTGTATAATTATTATCTAATATTCAAAAAAAAAAAAAAAAAAAAAAAAAAAAAAAAAAAAAAAGGTAGTGGGGCTTCCAGGCACTTCGTGCCTTCTAGCCCCGAAGATGTTTAGTATAAATGAAGGTCTTATATATACGGGTCTTCCAGGAGCTTTTCACAAATTATATATGTTTTCATGTTTTGTCAAGACTTCTTCGTAAATGTTTTGTCAAGACTTCTTCGTAAATGTTTTGTCAAGACTTCTTCGTAAATGTTTTGTCAAGACTTCTTCGTAAATGTTTTGTCAAGACTTCTTCGTAAATGTTTTGTCAAGACTTCTTCGTAAATGTTTTGTCAAGACTTCTTCGTAAATGTTTTGTCAAGACTTCTTCGTAAAATCAGACAAAAATAATGTTTAGGGTAGAAGGTTAGATATAACCTCTTTTCTAACCTCTTTTCTACCCTCTTGAATTTTCATGATTTCTTCGTCATAGGCACGGAGATAGGACGGTTATTTTACAAAACTGACAACACTTTGACCGAGTAGTTTTTTGTGCTGAACAAAAAGTGTCATATAAACATCTGTCAAAAACCGCTTTTTAACTTCACTTAAAATGCCACGTAAGCTACGTAAGAATATACGTAAGAGGAAGAGAGCATTGAAACATCCAATAGTAAAACTGACACCACAACAACAGTTGCAACAACAAATGCTGAATGACCCCACTATGTTGCAACAAATGTCAAGCAATCCTATGCTTTTAAACCGAGTTATTGGTGCACAGAGTGGAGGTTTAAGAGCGGCACTTTTAGCGAAAATGGCAGGCTATGGTGGAGCTGCAGACGGAACAGCCTATAACCCTCAAAGTCAAATGAATTTGAGTTCACTCAAAAATCAAATAACAGATGTCAAAAAGTCAAACATAGACATACAGAAGCAAATAAGTGAAAACGAAAAGAAACTAGAATATGACAGACACACAAAGAAACTCAATGAGTTAAACGTAGAGAAAAAGAAGAAAGAAGAACAACTGAAAGAACTAAGTACAGAGGAATATGCGAAAAAAGTGTCAGAAAAAGCAGCAGAAGTAGCAAAAATGGAACAAGATGTCATAAATTTGAAAAACCATACTACTCAATATAAAGTACTGAAAGATGAAGAAATAAAACAAAAAGCCCTGAAGACATATATGGATAGCGATGAGTATAAAAAAGAAGTTGAAGCAAATGTAAAGGCAGAAAAACTTTTACAGTTGCAAAACCAAACCGTACAGTATGAAAACTTAGCACAAGAAAGTAAAAATAACGACGCGGCTATGCAAAAGGCAATGAAAAGCGCAGAATATATAAAAGCTAACAATGACTGGTTAGATGCCCAAGCCAACGCTAAAGCAGCCCAACTCATAGGGTCAATAAGGACAAAAATACAAGCGGATGAAGATAGTTCAAATGAAGCTTTAACAAATGCTGACTTTAAGAACGCTTTCGAAGCTCTTCATAGTAAGGTGAAACAAGTGAACGACTTCTCATCTGGAAAGAAACTGAAGTCTGAAGGTTTCGACAAAGAGTTAAAAGAAGTAGCACAAAATATGACGAAAATAACAGATGCAGCAACGAGACAGGCAGTTCAAAGTGCCTATGACGCCGTTAGAGCAACTGTTGTGGAAAGTCAAGAAAAAGAGTTACAACAGACCAAAACAGACCTAGTAAATGCTTTCTTAAGAACGAAAAGTCAGGTAGGACATTATGCTGCAGATGGAACATATGTGCCAGCTGGTGGAACTTATATACCACCAAACCCTCCAAGAGAAGCACCTGCACCAGGACTACCTAGAACATTTACATCGTCACATGGACATAGACACAGGCATGCACCACAACAACAACCAAAACCAACACAACAACCAACACAACAACCAGCACAGCAACCACCTCCACAACCAGCACAACAACCAGCACAAACAGAGCAAGGACATAAAAGAAGTAGAGAACAAGGAAACCAAGAATTCTTAAAAATGCTTAAGGAAGAGTATGGTTACCCAGATACTCTTGACTTTAGTGACAGATATAAAGAAGCTATTAGAAAGTTCAAGGATGGAAATACTGACCCGAACCTATTTAGCTTTATGGCTCTGCACCAAAGGGGATATAATTTCAAACCTGGAAAATACAAGCTCGCTAAGGGATATGATTTAATAGCATATCATCCAAATGACATGGATGAATTTACTCCGAGATATTTGATGTCAGAGCTAAATGACAATTTAACTCTCTTCATGAAACGCGTAAAAAAAGGAGACGGAACGAAAGAAGAAAGGTTTATGAGTCCGGATGACTTAGAAAGGGAACTTGTTGAAAACGGTCTCGGAATATATGAAATGCCAGCAGATGAGGTACAAGAAACTCCACAGGAAGAAGTTCAGATACAACCAGACATGGAAGAAATAGTTCAGCAACAACAGCTAGAAGAGCCTGAAGGAAACGAACAAGTCACTCCTTTGGAAACTAACTTCACAGAACTAGATGAAGATTTGGAACAGCCGAAAAATCTTGACCCTCAACAAGAGTATGCGGAGAATATGGAATATTTCCAAGAGTCTAAAAAAAATTCGGCTGACATAGTAGAAGAATATCGAAAAATGTTTGCCGACATACAAAAGACTCCAACACCAGATGAAAATATTCAGCATAGAATGGAAGTACTGAAAGAAAATGTACACAAATACAACAACCCTTTTTACTTACGAGCATTTAACGTTCAATCTTCGGATGAACTCGGTGAAGATAAAAGGTTAAATTTCAAGAAAACATATAGAAATGAAACATTGTTTAAAGTTCATTCAGAACCTAACCAAGATGGAAACAAACCTACTTTTGTTTCTGCAGACGATGGAACTACAATGAGATGGGGTCATAAAGCTAACCCGGATAGGTGGTTCATAAACTTACAACCACAATTCCAAGAAGTTGTAGACGCAATGGAAGTCAATGGTGAACCAGATATAGCTGGTATTTTAAGCGCGGCTTTAATGCCATTGAAAGATATGAAACATGCAGATATTTTGGACCAGTATGAAATGAACATGGCTGATGGAAATATAACACCTGACGTTCTAGAACATTTATCTCAAAGAACTACACAGAACCATAGAGATGGTATATTTGGTGAAGAGTTTAGAAAGAAAGTTATGGACAGCGAAGGAAGAGAACCTATTGTACATGACCTTGCAAACGAAAGTTTACAAAATGTCATAAAAACTTACTTTGCAGACAATGAACCGAGAAGGGATGAATATTTAAGAAAACTCAAATGGACAGTACCAAATGAAATGTTAGTATTGAAAAACATGTTCCTTGACAAAATAAAACCAACTACAGAAATAAACGACGCAAGACTGAAAGATTGGGTAGAAGCCTTCCCATTCACAAAAGATATAGTTGGTAACATGGAAAGAAAACCAGAATGGCTACAAAAACATATATTTGGAAACGAGCATATTCCATATGGACAGGCACTGTTTGAAGAGCTTGAACCGGAAACTCAGGAAAGAGTCATGCAAACAATACGCGAAGACTCAAATACAAACTATGACAAACTCTTTCTAGGATATAGGTTACCTGAGATGGGCGACCAGAGCCAAAAGGCAAAAAGGACATGGGAAATTTGCAACATACTAGATGAACATAATGCAAAGATGCAACAACTTCAAGCAGAGGGCAATGAAGGAAAAAGAAGAGTTAAAAACTCAGTCAGGAAGAAAGTAAAGCTTGGTCGGAGTGGGTTCTATTATGACATATAAATCCAACTATTCTATATTTTTACTCATATGAAATGTACGCCGCTCAGAATATAACGCCAACAGTTTTGGATGCTATGAATGGAAATGTTTCCGAATGGTATAACGAATGCGACAATGCCATTAGAAGGTCAGAAATAGTTCCTGGAACTTACGAATATACAACTGCTGTTTCTTATGGAAACGTAGGTGAGTTTGGAGAAGGTTCTTCAACAACAGTAGATATTGCTTGCGACAGGTTTCATATAATTTCTATTGACAACTCTTTCTTATACGTGGAACAAGACATTGAAATAAAACCTTCTGCCAAGTTGTCTGACAAGAAAGGTTGCAATGGAATTTTCTATGTCGGATACCAATATGCTCCAGAAGTTTTTATGGGATATAAGATATATTCTAACTCTGACTTAGTTCAAACAGTAACATGGGCAAACTATGAATGGTTCGCTTTGAGAAACTCAGTACAACCACAAGCTAGAGAACAAACAGACCAGTATGCAACTATTGAGAAAATAAGAAGACTTGACCCTAACGTTCCGAGTTTATGTTAACCTTTCTGGACAAACTGCAGCAGCAGTAACCAAAGTAAAACTGAAACTTAGAGTTCCTTTGTCATCTTTCCTCATCTTCAGGTTTTTAAGATACTTGCCAAACTGGGCAGGAAAAATTTCTATCGAACTTACTCCAAGCAAAAATAACTTAGTCATTGCACCAACGCAAGACCCATTCACTCTTACAGACGTAAAGGGAGCAAATCAAACGTCATTCGCCGAATTTTGCAAAGACAAAGTTGACTTAGACTTTGGTTTCTCAAACCTCAACACTGAAGTAAAGTATTATTTCAATGCTGCTGGAACTGCTTGGGACCCAGTTAGGTTTACATGCGAACAGTTTGAATGCAAGAGAATAGAAAGCAGACTTGCAGTCTATATGTTGGACCCAGATATTTCAAATGCTTTAGCTGCCAAATATATTGCAGTTCCACTTATGTTCCCTATACACCAAATATCTGTCAAAGACTTTGCAGGTGAAGTTGGAAACCAAAGTGCTGACCCAGGTGCAAGAACAGATATTGCTTTAACAACTGCAATGAAACATGCAGATACTATGTTTGTACTGTTCAGACGAACTATAAATGACTATTCTTGTTTCTACAACCCCGGTATTAAATATCATATAAACATAGATGGCAAATACTATCCAAGAGAAGAATATTCTACAGTTGAGGATATGAGGTCATACAACTTGACATTAGATGCTATGAACTTTAACAACAACTTCACAACAACCATTAACCCTGAAATGCAAAGTTCTATTATGCCATATGTGAAAGTATGGACCCATACAGGAGCTCAAAACACTCAATATACAAATGGAGACCGTTCAAACTTTTGGCTTGGCATTCCATTTGCTGACTCAGAAGACTTTATGGGTGGTATTTCAACTGTTGGTACAGTTCAAATACAATATACTGGTGACAGAGACGGTCCAAATGAATTGAAAGCAAAGAAGTTTACAAAACCAATAGCACTTTTCACGGAAGATGCTCTTTTGAAGATTCGTTCGATGAAACCTGCTGGGGCTCCTCAGATTGGCATAACGACAGCTTCCATCGAGCAGATTTTGGCAGCAGGTCAGTAAGTTGTTCTTGAACTGACTTCTCTCCGTCAAATATTGACAGTACGCCAGTTTTGACATAAAATTGTATTATAAACTTACCTTTAGAAATATCTGTAAGTTTTGTTGTTATATTTTTGTCAACGTCAAGAACTTTCACCATCTCGGTTATACCAACTTTCTTTGCTTTATGAAAATATTTAGGTTCAGCAAAGACTGCTATTCTATAACATTTTCCATTGTTTGTGTAAAGAACTATTCTGTCAATGTATTTGTATTGTTTGTGTGTGTAAACTTTGTTCTGCTTCAATTCGAAGAGATACTCGAATACGTCCATCTTTTTATTCTAAGTAAAATGTCATTTCCGAAAAATAGAAGCGTGAGTGTTTCAAAAGGTTTAATGGCGGTGGCAGATGTGAAGTTAAATTCACCAACTCAAACAAACAGTCAAAGTGTTGTTGTCAATGTCAAAGAAAGAGATGTTGAAGTGGGGAAACCATACGAAGACGAAGATGGTATAACAATAGTTCCTGTAAAAGAACAACCAACATATCCTGAAGTTAGCAGAGACTTAAGTTCTGTTGCAGATATTCGAAACGACTACCAACAACTTAAAGACAAACTTAAAACTCAGGAGAAGATTTGTCAAGCTTTAGGTATAATGTTAAACTTGGTCGAACACAACCCTGTAAAAGTGAACTCATATGTCATCGCACCTCATGAAATTTTGAAAGAACTATTGAAACTTTTGACAGAGGCAGACGATATAAACATCAAAGAAATAGAACCCGACGTTAGTTGCTGTGGTGTTTCATATAATGTCATTGACAAGATATACGTTATGAAAGGAGGTGAAACGTTGAACTTAAAATATAGTTTCCCAGACGTCATAAAAATATTTGACGACCACAACATTTCATTAAAATTTACTTGCTAAGTAAATGGCAGAAGACATAGTGGTTTATACTATTACGACTAAAAACCCTGAGTCATATAATTCTATAACAACAAACTTACAAAGTCCTCAAGGACGATATTGTAAACTAACTTTAAACACAATGACGACTAAAGCCTGTTTTGCTCTTTTGACACCAGAAGACTTTGTTGTTGTGAATGGTAAAAAATACTTCTTTGAAGATACTTACTCAGATATACCACCAACAGGTTTTGTTGACTTATTTAATACTTTAAGGACGGATGTAACATGTGCTGCAACTAGAGCAGGTTTCATTATGTTTGGATGTCCGACCGAGTTTACTATAAACGATATGAGCTATAATACAAAACTTATATCTGGTTTTTACTACCAACAGTTTCCTATAACAGGAAAAGGTGTCATACAAGGAATGTCTGTTCCATTGACTTTAAGCACACCTATTTTATATATTGTTTCAAACTTAGGTTCAAAGTGCTATTCGAATGTCGACAGAAACTACTATGACCAAAAGATACTCATGCGTATAAACAACACTTTCTCTGCTGGTTTGCCTATTGTTCATTCGAATGCAGAGTTTTCAGCTTTAGTAAACTCAAACACTTTAGCAAACATAAACTTAACCTTAGTTGACGCAAACTTTGTTCCTGTAAAACTTTTATGTCCTATGTATTTGTCAATGACGGCAGAAAGTTTCGAATTGGAAGATGCAACTGGTGAAAGTATTGTATTACAAGAACAACTTCAACAACAAATAGCTCAAGAACAACAAATGCAACAAATGCAACAACAAAGTCAAGAATAAAAAAATATTATTTTTTTTATTTTTATAAAAATGTACAGAATAGACGTTTCAGATTTTTATGACTTCCAAGCGTTCAGAAATATGTGTCCATTTAGAGACTATAACAAAGCAGTCGAGAATTTGAAACGTTTAGTCATTTATGTCGACTCTGCCCCAGAATGTTATGTCATGAAAGAATGGGATGTTGTCTTTAACAAACCAAGAGCAACAATAGTGTCTGAACAAGAATGTAGACAGAAACTTAAGAAAATAAAAGTCGTACAAGTTGGCATGAAGATGTTAGATGCTTGGGATATCTTATTGTCAAAGTTAGAAGATTTTTCAGTTCGAGGTATAAAGTTCTATACACCTTCTCCAAACTTCTATTCTATCTTCACTGGATATAAATACGAACAAGTAGAATGGAAAGAAAATATTATAGAAGCTTGGTTAGACCATGTCAAAGAAATTATATGCAATGGAAACGAAAAGGTTTATGAGTATATCTTATGTTGGTTTGCAAATATCTTACAACATCCAAGTGCTAAAAATGAAACTGCTCTCATCATAATTGGAAAACAAGGAACTGGTAAGAACACTTTCTTTACAGATATTTTATGCAAACTGTTAGAGGGCTATTCGAATCCGAATATGACAAACTTAGAAAACATCTGTGGCAAGTTTAACTCTTCAATAGAGAATATGAAACTTATAGTTTGCAATGAACTTCAAAGTATAGATACAACAAAAGTTTTGAACTCAGATGCTTTGAAGAGTCTTATAACAGACAAAGTTGGAGTTGTTGAAAGAAAGTATAAAGACCAAAGAGTTTGTGAAAATGTTGCAAATTTCATTATGGTTTCAAACAATGCTGTTCCGATGAAGTTAGAAAGTTCTGACAGAAGATATGTAGTTGTCAGAACGTCAGATTCTCATATGCAAGATACAGAATATTTTGACGACTTAGCAGAAACTTTGACATCTGACTTTTACAACCACTTGTTCTCATACTTTATGACATTAGATATTTCTAAGTTCAATCCAAGACAAATTCCATATACCGAAGAGAGACAAACATTGTTAGAAGCAAACAAGAGTGTATATGAACTGTTTATAGATGAAACTGACTTTGAGTGTTTAGATGAAAGGTCATTGTACGATGAATATAAACAATATTGTCAAGAATATGGTTATATGGCAGCGTCTAAACGAACATTCTTGGCAAATGTCAAAAATCTTTTAGACATACAGAACGGCGTATATACAAAGAAAAATTTTTCTGAGTAAATTTAAAAAAAATATTTTTTTATCCGATAGAAAAGATGGCAAAATATATTTCAGTCAACAAGTACATGACAGAAGTCAAAGAAGAACTAGACCCATTCGCTTATTTGAATGTTTACTTCTACCATTTTGAAAAGTCTACATTTGACAAAGTTTGGAACATCGAACCAGTTAAGTTTGCTATTGTGACTAAAAATGGTGCGAAATTTGAAGACTTAGACATAGAAGGTTTGTTAGCAGTCAAAGAAAATTTTGACAGAAAGTTCTCAAACCTTAAAGAAGGCAAAGCATACAAACTTGTTATACCTTATGAACCAAAGAAAGCAGACGACTATGAATATTATGAGTCTAAGATAGTTGAAGTTCAAGGTAAATTAGGTAAAAAGATTTTAGAGTCTAAACCAGTGTTTGCTCCTAAAGAGGAAGAGAACATTGACATTGACCCAGAAATGTTCTAAAAATAAAATTTTATTTTTACATGTCAAATTTCTTTTTCTCTGAACTGGCTCTGGTTCTTTCTTCTCTTCTTCTACTTTCTTTTCTTTCTTCTCTCTCTTCTTCTTCTTCTCTGGTGGAGTTATGTCAAACTTCTCAGAACCATATTTCTGTAAAAGTTCTTTGTCCTTTAATAGCTCTTCTATTCTGTTTTCTATTTCATCTTCAAGAACAGCGCATGTGTCTTTTTGCATTCTAAGAACTTTTGTTGGACTTCATCTTTCCAATCGGCGTCATCTCTGTCAACAAGTCTGTCATTGACAAACTTAAAGACTTCTCTGCCTAATGTTTTATGGTTCTTGTCATATTCCCAGAAACAGAACTTTAGAACAAATTCACCTTTCTTGTTTACACTATGTAAGATTTTATGGTCGACAGATGTTTTTGCTGTCAAAAAGCTTGTCTCGAATATAGATAGCGAAATCGCTAGACATTTTCTAAAAGATAAAAATTTTAATTTTTCTAAAAATATGTTAGAAAAAAAGTTTGCTGACATTGACAAGAAATTTGAGAATGTTTTAAATAAGAACAAGAGGAAGTTGGAAAATGCTCAGATAAAACCCATACATGACAAGTTCTTATTTGCTCAGAATGGTATAACAGGTCTAATCGCACCACCTGGGTCGGGTAAGACTTTCACTTATCTTAAAATGGCTGCACAACAACAAGAACTAGATGAGAAGAACCCATTCTATGAGTTAGTAGTCATTTGTAGTACTTCTGGTCAATTTGACCAAACCGTAAATTCGTTCAAAGATATTATAAAAAAGTCAAAACTAGTATGTATAAAAGACTCTGAGTTGTTGGATTGGATAAAGAAGTACCAAAGAAGAGTTTTGAAGTATAATGCTATAAATGAGTATGTCAATTCTAAGTTTAAAGACCCAAATGAGGAAATGCAGAGAATATTAGAGAAGAAACACTTCAGAAACAAACAGAAAGAGATAGAATACATTTCGAAGAAATTGCAATCTTACGATTGGAAGACTTACCCTCACAGATGTCTTCTTATCTTAGATGACTTTGCTTCTCATCCTTTGTTAAAGAACAGAGAACAAGACATGTGTCGAATTCTTAAGAAGCTCAGACACTTTAACATCTCTGTTGTCATTTGTGTACAGACAGCAAAGAGTTTAAGTAAGGATGTTAAAAGAATACTTACTGATATCATACTTTTCCCTGGATTGTCCGAAGACGATTTCATGAACTTATGAAAGAGTCCATGGCAGGTAAGTTTGACAGACATGAACTATGGGAGAAGTACAAAGTCATACAAGACCCTCATACTTCTTTCAGAATTCATATCTACGCAAACAAAGTTCAAATTGTAAAAAGTCAAGCTTGAAAAATGTAAGTGTTTAGTCTTAGTAAGTCTGTTGTGGTGCTGGGTCTGTCGGTTCTTCTGGCTTTGGGGCTGTCGGTTGGTGGTACGTCGGACATTCGTTTGTGTCCTGTCGGATGGAAGAACTTTTCCAGTTGTCGGGAAAAACTTTTTCTGTCGGAAGGAAGGACTCGGAATGTCGGAAGGAAGGACTCGGAATGTCGGAAGGAAGGACTCGGAATGTCGGAAGGAAAAACTTTTTCTGAAGTTCGACCAAAAAGTTCTCAATTTTCGAAAATTTGAATGGTTTACGGACGAACAACAGGAAATTTTTTTCCAGTTGTCAGGAAATTTTTTTCCAGTTGTCAGGAAATTTTTTTCTTGTTGGAAGGAAGGACTTGGAATGTCGGATGGAAGGACTCGGAATGTCGGATGGAAGGACTCGGAATGCCAGAAGGAAGAACTTGGAATGTCGGAAGGAAGGACTCGGAATGCCAGAAGGATTTGACGAGGCAATTTACTTTATAGAGCTACCTGAGCCATCTGAAGTCAAACTTGAAAAATAAAGAGTGCAATTTACTCTGCTTGTTTGAAGTTGTCAAAATACTCTGTTATTTTTTCCTTTAACAATGGCAAATCTTCTTTGAAGGTAAGAATTGTACAACCTTTAATATCATAGTGTGTTTGAGGTAACGTATCTTGAACTATTTGTTTCACATCTTCATTTGGTGTCATTGAAATCGGTAAGTTTTCGCGATAGAACCAATTTCTGTCAGATTTGTAAATCTTAGCAAGGTCGTAAAAGCTTTTGTTGTTTCTTCTGACTAAATGCAACATAACCATATCTTTATCTTCTTCATTTTCCATCTCTTCAGTATAAATCATATACTTATAGTTCTTTTCCTTTCCTTTTGGTACCGAACGTGGTATTCTTTTCTGAATGCTTTTGTCTTCTTTCATCATATCTTCTCTCTGCTTTGTACAAAGTTCGTCAAGTAGCATAAGTATGTAGATTGCATAACGAGGTGAAGCCCACATTGCTATTGAACTAACTAGGAACTTATGAACATATATACCTTTTAGATGTGATGGTAAGTTTGTCTGTCTTGGTACATCTTTTTAAGTTCTACATGTTCAAACTCACTGAGGAGTTTCATGAGTGCTATTTAATTCAAACCAATCTGTGGTTTCATAGTATCTGGAGCAAAACATGCTGTCAAAATACTTTGCATTTGGTACATATCGTCTTTGACCGAACGAATGAGACGTAACTGTTTGTTAAACTGAACCCACTCATATTCTTCATTTATAGCTTCATGGACTATAACTGTTGTTGTGTTCTCTGTTGTTGACATATCTGTCTTTATATTCCGGATAAAAAAATAAATAAAAATAAAAATAACTTTATTTTTTCTATCTTAAGGAAATTTACGATTTCATAGAGTTTTGGCGACCCCGAAGGAAGTCGGTCTAGAGAAATTTCACTGTTTTTCATAGAGTTTTGGCGACTAAGGTTTCTTACCTACTCGCTGTTCTTCACTGTTTCCGAGGGAAGCAATCTTATGCCATTTTACTCAGAATTTTGTTGCTGAATTCAGCAAAAATATATTTTAGGGTAGATGGTTAGATCTAACCTGTCTTCTACCCTCTTTTCTACCCCAGTTATTTTATAAGCGTTTTACATGGTAAACGTTATTTTTACATGTATTTTTCAGCAACTTCGTCAAATAATTTTATAGCTTTATCTATCTCATCTACTTCAAACGTTTCTTTACCTTTTATGGGAGCACCATACATTTTCTCAAACTTTTCAAGTAGTTCTGTTTCAGCAGCTCTCATATCGTTAACCAACACAACCTTGACTCTATTGACTGTACTGTCATATCTTAGAGTTATATTATATGTTCTTCCTATCTTATATCTTTTTGTGTTGAAGTCCTTCGGTTTCTGAACGATGTAAAGTAAGCCTTCACTGCAACGTTCTGAGTCGAATAAACCATATGTTATGAAGTTATATCCAACAACTGGGTCTAACCATAACAAAACTATTGGTATAAGACTTTTGTCGATGAGATATGCTGTAGTTCCATAGAATCTTACCGATATCATAAGCTCAGGATTTCTTGTCAAAATTTTCTGACTAGAAGCAATTCTAACCCAGTCCTTTGCTTTCTTTCCAGATGGAGATAAAATGTCTGACAAAGAATATTTGTTGTATTTCTTTGAGTATCTTACGTTTAAATCACCTATTCTAACCACTTTGGTGTCATTGTCTATCTTTCCAACTGTTTCAAACTCAATGTTTGACATATCTTTCTTTAAATCTGCATAGTCGTTTCGCATACGTTCTATCTCTTTGACGGAGTAGTTATATTTCCTCATTGCTGCTTTACATTTAGAACATTGCGGGTTCATTTTTGCGTTATATTCTGAAACCTTACCTGCTAGTATGACTAAGGCGTCAATTGCTCTCTTTAACTCAAAGGCTGCTGGTTTTATCTGTTGGTTCCATACCTTACCTCTTCTATCTTTATCTCTTATCTGCAAGACACACTCAGCAACTAACGAAACAAAGTTGTCGTAGGTCTTAAATTCTTCAGATTTATATATGTCCATAACTTTATGGTTGCAATGAAATCCAAGGAATTCATAGTTTACCTTTCGTATGAACTTCTTTATTTCTACTGAGTCAGTTGCTTTGACTTCTATTTCATCGAATTCAGGAATAGTGAGCTTTTGTTGCTGAATTTCAGGCAATTTGGGTAAATGGTCAATAATATCCTGCATTTCATAAAGATATTCTTCATTTGTTTCATCTTTCGCACAACAGTCCAAAGTACTTGTTAAAAGTTCTTGCTTTATCTTCTGGATTTCTGTTTCGAAAGTATATGAAGAAGGAATGAAGCTTTTCATCTCTACTAACATTGACGTAGGATTCATGACTAAAGAGTTTGGTGCTGTTGTTGCTAACATGTTCTTACAATAAAAATAAAAAAATATTTTTTTAAAAAAACCAACTTTATTTTTTATTTCGGGAAAACTCATGAGGTTAGAAAACATGTACGAAGAAGTCTTGACAAAACATTTACGATGAAATCATGACAAAACATTTACGATGAAATCATGAAAATTCAAGAGGGTAGAAAAGAGGGTAGAAGACAGGTTATATCTAACCTTCTACCCTAAAATATATTTTTGGGTCATTTACACTCATTACGATGAAATTCATGACAAAACATTTATGAAGAAGTCTTGACAAAACATTTACGAAGAAGTCATGAAAATTCAAGAGGGTAGAAAAGAGGGTAGAAGACAGGTTATATCTAACCTTCTACCCTAAAATATATTTTTGTCGAAAATAAATGGTTCATTTACTCACAATATTTTTGTACAAAACGACCCCAAGCTTTTAACCTCTCTTCTGCAGCTTCTAATGTTATCTTAGCGAGTTCATATTCTCTAAATTCTCTCTTTAAATCTTCTTGTTCCCATTGGTCTAGTTCGTATGGAGAATCTCTATAACCAGAACATATCTCACGTTCATGTTCTATTTGTTTTTCGCACTTTTTTCTAACTTCTTCTTCGAACAAAGGTTTTGCATTCTCTACTGTATCTTCAAGTTCTTCTTCATCTAACTTCTCATGAACTTTCTTGTCTATGGAGTCCATAATTTTTCCAACTGCTATACAATATTTTGGAGAAGCCCACATTGCAATATAGTTTACAAGTCTTGGGTCTACATACATTCCTCTAACCTGTTTGATTTCATCCGGAATTCCTGCATTAACATTGTATAAAAAGCAACCCGCGGAATTCCGCGGGGTGGTATATTCTTCACAAAATGCCTTAAAATACTCTTCCCAGGACTTATTTTCCAACAACCTTCTAAAGTCTTTCCTAAACTGCTGACATATCTTTGTTGCATTTATATAACCATCCTTGTCTCTACGTAAGACTTCAATACCGTTATAAGTGCCTTTTGTGAATGTTTCGCCATTAGATTTGTTCGTGAACGTTTTTGCTTCGACTGTCATACTGTTCTTACAATAAAAATAAAAAATATTTTTTGGTGGTACGTCGGACATTCGTTTGTGGCTTAACCGTCGGACATTCGTTTGTGGCTTAACCGGCGGACCACAACGATAAAAATCTCATTTTAACTCACTTTTTCTATCTTAAGGAAATTCATGAAAATTCACCTGTTGAATTTTGTATAAAAAGCACCCCGCGGAATTCCGCGGGGTGGTATATTCTTCACAAAATGCTTGTTTTGAGGTCGAGCCATTTTTGGCTCCACCTCTTTTTTCAATACTTTTTCAGCACTTTTCCGTAGTTGTATATGAAAGACAATTCGAGATGAAATTTCTTCATCTGATATAGTCCTACCAGCGTTTGTAAAGATATAGTCTAACGGTTTTGTATCTGCTACTTTTGTTCTTTGTTTTTCAACCTGAAACATTTAATATATGTAAAAATATACTGTTTTAAAAACGTTTTAAAATGGTATGCCTTTTCATGCAATTTTTTACTTCATGCAATGTTTTATTTCTGTGCCGTCTTCAAGTATACCCCAGTACTTACGCTTGGAGAGGACATGAACTTCGGAAAATACCTTGTCTAGCTTAAAACAGCCCATTTTCTCACCAACTAAACCCATTTCAATGAGTTTGTTATAGCCTTCTTCGTTCGTCATGAGTGCATCGATGTTCTCATAGTAAACCTTCACTTTGGATTTGACTTCCGAGAAGAATTTGTTGTAGTTGTCAAGGACTGCCTTTGCGAACTGAGGGTAAGACCAATGTTCGACAATAGGTTTTAATGTGGTTACTAAGCCACTTTGACCTTGAGTGAATTCGTACTTCAAAACAAAAGGAGAAAACCTTTCAACAAAGTTGTCGACCTTCTCATAATGTTTACTCTTCATCTCTTGAGGTTTTTTAATGGAATACCCCCATGTCGAATTCATAAGCAATTTTAATGTCATTGCAAGTTTGGGGTTTGAAGCTTTCCTAAATATCATACAGTTGTTGTATGACTTTTCCAACTGTAATAGTTCCCCTGGGAACTCACCGTCTTCGTTTGGAATTCCAGTTGGAATATATTGGACGAACCTCATGTATGCAGCGTTAAGGTCGACATAGTATATCTTTTCATCTGAGTCGAACTTGTCGCATCCAATCGACCAGTTCGTGGAAATTCAAGTGAGTCTCTTATCTTCTGAGAAACTTCTCCTGTTATCTCATAAACATCGTCGAAGCAACCTGTTTCATATAAAACCTTCTGACCTAACTCAGATGCTCTCCAATACAATTTGACGTCAATTGGATGTCTCAATGGAAGTTTGTTTATAGCATCTTGAAGTTCTTGCAACCTCATTGGAAGTTCTTCTGGTTCAGGTTGGTATCCGAACAATCCAACTCCTTTTGGAACTGTGTACTTCTTTTGTACTAGAACTTTTGTCTGGAAACAACTTTTGGTCTTGCTAACAATGAAAAGTTTGTTTGTCTTTTGGTACAAAAGTTTCTGTCAGCTTGTCATCTGGAATTGGTTCCAACAAACCTTTCTCGAAAAGAATGTTTACAGCTCTGACAATGTTTGCACTTGCCTTTTCCGAACAATGGGTTTGTAAGACTTTCGTTCAACATGAAGTGGTTGTGGACAATTACAATCTTCAACCATGGTAAATTGAAACTCAACAACATAGTCGTCATGTGAAGAACGCTTTAGCTGTAGGTATGCTGACTCGGATATTGACATTTGCCAACGGTGCAATTTTTGCCAATTGACCTCTGAGAATGTACCTTGTCTTCACACATGACTCAAGATACTTCATCTTCTCATCTGTAACAAGACCAGAGTTCCTGAGACATGTAAGAATGCAAGGTTCATTGACAATTGTTTCAATTGAATTGTAAATTCCATACCTTGTCAAGTCAATGTCAGACTTATTTATGAACGGGAAGTATCCAGCATGTTGTCTGACTGCTTGAGGGTTAGGTTGATACCATTCGAACTTCACGCTTACAATTCCTTCAATTGCATTCAAAATATCTGAGTCGGAGTCAACCATTTGTTCTCTCTTTGTAGTCTTGAAAGCGTCAAGAAGCATTGCAGCTGTTGTGACATTGCCATGCGCATAGTATATATGACCGTCCAAATCTGTTACGGTTAGTCTGAGATTGTATCCTTTCTTATTTCCGTCTTGAATGGCAGCAAGTACTCCCATGAAGCCTTCTTTGTTCTTTCCTTCGTCAAAGTTTACTGTAAAGGTTCGACCAGATGTAATTTGACTTCTAACTTCACGATACTTCTCATATGCATATCTTGTTCTTTCCATGGGAGCATGTTTGTCTTCACCTTTTCCTTTTTTCCTTCTCAAAGGATGCAATTGTTCGTTATGTTTCCAGTAGAACCTGGCAAAGCCGTCGTGTCCTTCAACCTGCGGCTCACTAACATCGAAAGGCAAGTTCATAAGACGTTCTTCTTCTAACCTCTCTAGTCTGTTTGGATAATTGGTTCGCGCTGTTTTTAAGTCCATTTCGTAGGTCAGACCAGCCAGTTTGTCATAGACTTTTATGGGTCTTCCCTTCCTATATTTAAACTTCTTTGAAAGTCTCCAACCATATCTTTCTAACTCTGCTTTTATTCTAGCAGACCTTCTATCCATTCTATACGGGGGCATTTCTATAAAAATAAAAAAATACTGTTTTAAAATGGTATGCCATATAGCTTCTTGAATTTGTTAAGAAGTATTTTAACGTATTTTCCATCTGTATCTCTAGCGTATACATAAGCATAGCCTGCCTTAGTAAAACATACTTGTAATTTTCTATAGTTTACGCCGGTATAAAAGTAGAAAGAGTCCTGTTCTTCGCTATAGTAGTAAAACTCAAACGTATGCTCGCCATAGTCTGTAATTTCAATTGTTTCATCTTCTAGTTCGTCGACAAATTCGAATACAATATCTCTAAATTTGCCTCTGTTCTTACTGTTTTCAGAACGAGTAACCCAACGTAAGTTTTCAAGTCTATTGTCGTTTCTTATATGGTTTATATGGTCTACAAAAGGTAAATTGTTAGGATTCGGTATAAAATGAGTTGCAATGACAACATGTTTAAAATAGTTTTTTCCACCCATCCTCATAATAGCATATCCTTTATTTCCCTCCCATCCGCTTAAAACTCTTTTTGTCTTTTTGTTTCTGACTTCAAATGACTCACAACAGTGAATTTCATATTTCTCATCTAACAAACAAGTTTCCCAACGGTCTTTTCCAACAAACTCAGCGTACATTTCAAATAAAATAAAAAAAATATTTTTTTGAAAAATATACTGTTTTCTTTACTTAACATAACCTCCTGCTACCAGAAGTCTTTGACGCCAACCCATACCAGCTAATGAAGGTTGACTTGGTTTAGTCTCCAAACTAAACTTTGGTTTTGGTTTTTCTTCAGTTTGTGGCTTCCCTTCTTCTATCGGTTTTTCGTCACTTTTCGGTTCACCTGACTTTACTTCACTTGCAGGTATGGTTGTGTCGTCAACATCTTCGTAAATATCATATGCCATTTGTTTTTGTTTTCCTTTCAACTTTTTGTGTTTGTTGTAAAGTTTAGAATATTTCGACTCTAAGTCAATGAGATGTTCTATAATGAACTGTTGGTCAGTGAAGTAAACTTTTCCATCTGTTGTCTCGAAAGCTCCTTCAGACTTCAATATTTTATTTGTGAGAGTCTGTTTCTTTTTTGAGATACTAGCCGTTCCATTTCTATGAAAAGTGACTTTATAGTTAGGGTTTGTATTTCCAGACCTGGCACTTTCTATTATTGAATTTTCTCTTCATCTGTAAGTTCTTTGACAGGTTTTGACAATGGTTCTGAACTTTTTGTTTGTGGTGTCAAATCTACCGTTTCAACTTCTTCGGTCATTTCATCTCAGTAAAAAATTTTAGTTTGGTTTGTTTTCAACTGGTTGTTTAGGTTTTTTAAGTCGGTCTAAAACTTCCTGAGGTATAGGAAGAACTTGACAAACACGTGGTTGTGTAACTGCTGGAAGCCGACAAATCCATCTTGAGCCCATTTGTCTCAATGCTGTATTGTTCATTTCATCTCAGTAAAAAAATTTACATTCCCCACGTTTGAGGCGGTTGCGGTTGGTTGTTGTTTACCCACTGTTGTGCATGGTTATATCCTCTGTTAAAGAATCTTTCACCTTGGTCCATATAGTGCCCTGCTTGGTTATAGTAGTCATTTGCTTTGTTATAGTAGTTTCCTGCTTGTCTGGAAACATTGTCCATCCATCCTTGAACTTTTCCTCTTGTTTCAGGATTTGGAATAAGATTTGCTGCATCTCGTGCTACATCCCAACCTTTCTGTACAGTTTGTATAATAGGTTGTGCTTTCTCTTTAAGTATACCTAATGTACTCAAAATCTTCCTTCCAATTCCAAATGCACCTCTGGCTATTGTTCCCACTGCGGGCAAAAATCTGGATGCAACTCCTGCTAATGCGCCAAATAAACCCATTTCTTATAGGGTAAAAAATGACGAATCCGAACAAGGACCCCTATGTTTCTAAAGCGACAAAGAAAGCACTCATGATAAAAATCTTTAGTTCAACACCAAATGCTTGGTTTATGGATATCTTGGAAAACATTCCGAGGTATAGAGAAGATGGACCACCATACTGGCTAATATTTGTTGGTCAAAACACAAGATACTGTGAAGCCATACCATTACAGTCCAAAAATATTTTAGATGTGAAAACTGCTTTGACAATATTCGTTGACAAATACCATCCAACAAAACTGACATCTGACTGTGAACGTTCTTTCAAATCAGACGATATTAAAAACTATCTGCGTTCAAAAAATGTAAACCAATATTTCATTGTCGACCAAAACCATTCTGCTCTTGGTGTCATTGACAGTTGTATAAAAATCTTAAGAGACTTAAACCAACACAAGGTGGTGAGGTAGATGAAATGTCATATGACGACAAGTACAGACATTTCTCCATGGCAAAGATGAGACAAGTTTTAAATATTTACAATAGCCGTAAACAAAAAGGTTTGGGAAACCATTCCCCTGAAGAAATGAAAAACAACCCTGACTTAGAGAAAGACTATATATTTAATAGTTTAGTCAAAAGAGACAAACAAGAAAGAATGCCAGGCTTCAAACTTCAGAAAGGTGACAAAGTAAAAATAGAAATACCTAAACGCGACCCATATGAAAATACTATTGACTATGACAACAATGGGAACTCGACAGGTACTCGCATTCGTGTTCGTAAAAATAGAAGAAAGTATACAAGAGAATATTATGAAGTTTTAGGCAAACATGGCAAAATGTACAGACTGCAAGCAGAAGATAAAACTACTATTGTCAGACCTCGTTTCAAACTTGTCAAAGTTCAAGGTGGTATACTTTCAAAGACTGTTCCTAACAAATATAAGACAACTCCTGACGAATATGCTAAAGAAGTTGAAAATGACGACTAAGCATTTCTATACCATGCGTAAACTGTCATGTAAGGTGGCATGTAGTCTTTACTTTGTCCTGTTGTTTGCGTATACCCTGAAACGCGATGTGTATGGTTTCCTTCTCCCTGTGTGTTACCCCAGAAACAATTTATAGCAAACTGAACGTTGTCTTTAACATCATATCCTTTACCTTTTTTCAAGGCGTGCCAATCCCAAAATTTATGCTTATGCCAACCTGCTTGAGATGTACTTAAATCTATGTAGTGACTGTGCGCAGGTAAGTTTTCACCTGAAATCGTTTTACTTCCACCTGTTTCCTTTGAAGAGTTTGCACAATACAAAAACCTGTCGACTATTTGAGTCCAAGTTCCGAGACCAAGTACTACTTCTGGTCTGGTAGAGTTCATTGACGTGTAAATAGAACCTATAGGATATAGTGTTTGAAGTATTTCTGTCTTTAACGTTTGAAGCTCTGTTTTGTCTGCTTTCTTATATAACTCATCGTTAACATATGTTTTGTCAGCTTTTTTATCTAACTCATCGTTAACATATGTTTTGTCAGCTTTGTTGTCATATAAATCTTGAGCAGTGAATTTAACTTTGTTTTCATCCTCCATGACATAGACATTTCTACATCTAGTGTATTTCATCGTCGTTATGTCATCCTCCGATGTTAAACCTTGTGGAAAGTTAGGAGGTTTCCAATACAATGCATCCCCACCAGTTCCATCAGGTTCTTCAACCGTTCCTGCAATATTTTCTATACCAACAGTTGCGAAGAAATCGTGTGTATGAGTCTTTTTAGAATATTCTTTGTCAGCTCTTGTCACTTCACTTGACATTTTATTGTCAACATATGTTTTATCCGCTTTGTCATCTAACATTGCTGGTAGTTCATCTACGTCATAGATGTTATGTGTATGGTGTTTTTGTGGGTATGTTCTATCTGTCCATGCGAGAATATAGTCTCTTGTTGCATCTACATACTCTTTGTCAGCTTTGTTGTCAATATCTGCCTTCAAAAGAAGTTCAGATATAGGTTTCTCGTTTAAAGTTCCTTTTGTTGGATTTATACAGACAGTATGGTTCTTATTGTCTTGAAACAGAAACTCATCTGTCATTGGGTTTAATGTCAGTTTTAAGTTTCCTTCTTTCAATGACTCAGATATCTTAGAATAGTTTGAAAAGTTTGTTGTGTTCTTATTTAGAGCTTGTATAATGAGTTGTCGGTTGTGTTGTATTTCTCTCATAGACGCTGTTTCATTTGACATTTTTATTCTAGATAAAATATGCTTCCAATAGAAAAAGAAAATTCAAGAGTTGCTACAACTAAACCATTAGATGAACTTTTTACGAATGTCGGTCAAAAGTTTGAGACAGAGACCGTAAAGCATGAAGGCTATCGTTTTGACTACCCATTAAGATGGCTAAGAGACCCATCTGTCACAAAAGCTATTGGCTTTCGTAGAATGAAGTTTGTGTCTGTAGAAGATAAAAGTTTTCCATTTATTGTAAGGTTTCATATAGATTATATATCTGAAGGGAAACGAAAAATGTGGGAAAAATTGAGCTAATACAAGTTGACCTTTCATCTTCTCTACAGACTGCGTTAAAAAAATATAGAAGATAAAATAAATTCATGTTATGCAAAATATGCTGATGAATATGCAAATACCGAGAGCACACTTTATGTGAGAATTGTATATGACAAACAAAATTCACAAGTGTCATTTCAAATCTACGAAGACAATCCAAAGAAAGACGAACAAATATATACAGAATTCACTGCAATGTCATGGTATTATTTGCAAAGAATGTTAAATCAGAAAGTCGAACTTCCTTTAGCAAATATTTACAGTCGATATGCAAGAGATGAACCATATTTATTTAAAGATGTTTTCGACCCAGCTGCTATTATTGTTCATGCTTCATTTTCTGGCGCCCAAAACTCTTTCTTATGCTTGGCAAATGACTTTTACGAAAAACCTACAAAGTTATACGAACCACCAAGTGGAAGTATTTCAGACTTTCAAGTATGGTTTACTACAGATGGAAGAAAAAGAATAATTCCATTATACCATGCGTTTTACTTAGAACTTAGTTTCATATACAACTACTATCGAACGGTAAAAATATAATTTTTTAATACGGTTGAGTGTTGGATTTGGTTGCCAACTAGACTGTGGTGCAGGTTCAGGCTGTTGTATAACAGGAGCTTGTTCTTCTGGTTCAGGGTCTTTAGGTATAATACCAACGAACTGACCTACTCTTTTACCAATATTTTTGACTCCGTTCCAAATTCCTCTTCCTACGGTTTTTATTCCATTCCATATACCTCTTCCAACATTTCGAAAGAAGTTTCCTATTCTTCCAAAGAAACCCATTTTACTATATGTAAAAATCTAATGTCGCCTAGTCTCTTACGTTCCTGTTGAGTTCCATTGCATTCTTTAACTGGAGCTCATACATTCTATTTCTCCTCTGGTAGAAAACATACTCTGGGTCAACTCCTGTGTTCGCGTCATCTGCATAGAGTTGTTTATATCCCACTTCAGGGTTTGTATAAAACTCTTTCCATCTCATATTTGCATACCATGGTGGTAAGCCTAACGCAGCGTCATTTGACATGGCAGTTTGCATTTGTACATCTGTTGGCACTTGACCATAGTTTGCCATTGCAGTTTGTATTCTAACTTCATTTGGAATATTCTCTGGGTTTGGTTGTCCAGGTTGCTGTGCATTCGCTAAGTTCTGTGCGTCCATTTAATATTAGATAAAAATATCTCTTACGAGTACATATACTGAACATTTGCAGGCATTGGTTCATCTTCATATTCTCTATATCTTCTGCCACGTCAAATAAGTAAATGACACAATGGAAAAAACCTAAAACAAGTAGTCCTATTTCAAACCACATTTACTTACTAGTAAAATTTCTTTGTTATGACACTTTCTCCAGTTTATAGGACCTCTCTCATATTCTATCTTATCGTATCTAAACTCATAGTCATGTATGTCCTCTAACCATCTCATGACACTTTCCAAACCACTTTTATCGGATGTAAAGTAAAAGCATGGATGGTTATGTAAAACGTCTAAAGTTTCTAAAGAGTCTCTCAAAGTCCAGTCTACTTGGTATTGAAAATCCCATGTGTTATAGAACGGCGGGTCCACTATAAAGAAAACATTTCCCTTGTCTTTATATTTTTCATACAACTCTGTCCAATGACATCTCACAAACTCTATACCTCAATATATTTTTCTATGTTCTCTTTGAAACATTTGTATAGTTAAGATATAAAACTTTTGACATAAGTGTTTCAATGTCATGAACTCTTATAGCACCACTATATAATAGTCTAGCAGATATACTATCCCAGTCAATATACTCTGCCTTTTTCAAAACCTCTCTGACAGTATTTTTCTTATCTAATGGTATACGTTCCATCTTACCTATAGGTATCTTTTCTTTTAACTCTTTCAATATTTTGTTTGTGTCTGGTATATGTTTGAGACGGTTCATATAGTTGTCGAAGTCATTGCATATAATCTTTGAGTCAGGAAATACAGTATGGCACAAATGAGATATATAGAAACTTCCACCGAACAAGTCTACAAATGTTAGACCATTCGGTAGTTTCTTAAGTTCTCTCAATAGAATATCTTTACATCTACTCTTATTTCCAAAGAAGGGTAACGGTGGTTTTGTAAAATTCATTTTATATATATAATAAAAATGTTTTTTCCTGAAAAGTGACAGAAAAGTGACAAAACATGTACGAAGAAGTCTTGAAAATTCAAGAGGGTAGAAAAGAGGTTAGAAAAGAGGTTATATCTAACCTTCTACCCTAAACATTATTTTTGTCTGATTTTACGAAGAAGTCTTGACAAAACATGAAAACATATATAATTTGTGAAAAGCTCCTGGAAGACCCGTATATAAGAACTTCATTTATACTAAACATCTTCGGGGCTAGAGGGCACGAAGTGCCTGGAAGCCCCACTGCCTTTTTTTTTTTTTTTTTTTTTTTTTTTTTTTTTTTTATTCGTATAGTGATTGTAAATTCAAGTCATATTTTCTTCGATAATGTATGCAATTTAATGGAATAAGATCATTGATCCCAAAAATGTCACTTTTTAAAATATAAATTATCAATTCCGACATTAAGATTTCCGAAATCGAAGCAAAAATAAATATCATAATCTTTCGAAATTACCTTATTACAATATTATATCACTGATGATTGTTAAAATTTTAAATTTTTTTATCTTGAATAACAATTATAATAAATATGTTTATAATCTCTCTGAAATAAGAGGATCCCTTGAGACAACGCTTTCAAGACGAAGGTTTCGATACAACTTTATGAAGTATAGAGCTAATAGGATAAATAAAACTAAGCCAACTAGTACAGAGAAAGTAATACCCAAAATCGAAGCCCAATGTGACTTATGTATCTCTTCAAAATAAACACGAACAAAATTGTTTTCATAAGTAAAATGTCCTTTGAAAGTTTTCTTTCCCCAAATATATGTTTCAGGATCCATGACAATCTTTCTAAAAATTCCCTGGGCAATTGGCCAATTTTCTGGCTATGACTCATGATCCTGTGATATATTTAATAAGTCGGCAGATGAAGAATTAGATAAATTCAAATAAACGGATTTTGAATTATTATAATAATGGTCTAATCCAATATAAATATTAATAATCGATGCATTTCCATTCAAATCTAGTTTAGAACTATAAGACAGCTTACAACTTTTAATAAACACATTATTAAGATAATTATCGCCATAAAATTTACCACTATCAATTGTCACTTGCTGGTTTTTACTAGTGATATTAGCACTATAAAAATCAATATTTGACAATATGATTTCAGAAGCATTTCCATCAGTAAAAGTAATATCAGTACCTGAAATTCCTTGTTTAGGGAATGTTACTTTTCCTTCTTTTGTATTTGAATCAACAGAAATCGATTTTTTAAGCCAATCAGATCCGATTTTAATTGGTGCATAAGATGATGTTGTGAAATGCAATTCATTTTCGTTCCTGAAAATATAAAAAGGTTCTTTGTTCTCCCATCCATCTAGAAATACATATCTTGGATGATCATATATTAAAATTGAGGTGAAATGATTGACATTTTTCCCTAGAGATAAATAAACTGAACATGTACTGAAAGGTGGTAGCTTGAAATTTACTAACTGCGGGTTATATTCAACACCATTTATTATTTTATGGCTGAGATTTCCAAATGTAATATGAGTATTATCTGGGATTGTAACATTTGATACCCAAGTGAAAAAGTGTCTCATTGATGGAAGTGTTAATTCAACACTTTCACTATCTAAATCGGTAAAACCTTCAAAATTAATTGCATTATCGGTAACAAGTAAACTAATTGCTGTGCTATCTGTACCATTAAGTTTAGTAGATACTGAATCAATGATGATATTGCCAAAATCGACACCTGTGAAGTCAATAGATGCAGTTTGTGATCCTGTGAGTGTGATGTTTGGTAAGTTAAGACCTGTGAAGTTTGCATATTTAGTGAAGTTGGCTTCTGCTTGAATAGTGATGAGTTTAGCTGTCTTAGGAACAAAGTTTGCAAGGTTTGAAATGTTATCATCTGTGATATCAAGATATGGTTGATTGCAGTTGTATGATGAACCATCATCGTATCTGCAATATTGTGGATATACATCTAATGGACGTTGTGTAAGAGTAACACCTGTGCAATAGTTTTCTTCAACTTTCTCACAAACAAATTTGACTAAGCTGTCATCGTTGTTGAATCCGTGAAGACCACCGTCAATAAGTTCATATGTGATTTCGTCACAATTGATAGTTGGACTGCAGATTCCATAATAGTTGTTCTTCATGAGCTGTTCTGATTCTTCATTTGATGGAAGTTGTCCATATGTATACTTAAATGATGTTTTGAAGTTGTCAAGACCGTTTTTGATTGTTACTCCACCATGAATGTTTGGAACGAAATTGATGAAAAATTTAGCATCATCATCGAACTTGATTGTATCGATTGTGAACTCGGAGTCTGTGAAGTGCATCTGTCTTGGATTTGTGACATACAATGTGATGTTTTCGCCAATTTGTGATGGAGATGTTGTTGATGATACTTCGAAGATGCCGTTTTGTTGTAATACAACGTTTCCATCTGTTGTGATTTGACCTGTTCCTGTGATAGAAACATAAAATGCTTCATAAGGTGTTGCACAATCTGATAATTGGAGAATTGCACCGTTGTTGATTGAAAATGTTGATCCTTGTGTTGTTCCTTTGATGCCTTTGAGGATAGTTGTTCCACTGTTAACTGTTAAGAAGATGGCGTTTTGTTTAACTGTAACTGTAGATTGACCGGTTGTTGTAACTGTTGGTCCTTCATTGAATCGTGAATAGTCTGCAATAAGATTTGCATTGTTGACTGTAAATGTGTACTTGTCTTTCTGAACAACTGCGTTTTGTGGAGATGTTACATACATATTGATATCGGTGTCATGAATGATCTGAACTTTAGATATGTTGTCTGGATAAAAGTGGTATGTCGCAGATGGAAATGTTATATTTAACTCTGGTGTGGAAACAGAAACGTTAACATCTGATGAGAAGTGGTAGATTCTTGATGGCTTGACACCGTTGATACTGATGTATGCATCACGTTTAGGAAGCATTGAAATGTCGCCGATTTGTAAACCAAGTTGATCACATGACATGTTCTTGAAGAATTGTATTGAATATGCATCTGAATTCAGATGTTCAGTAGATAATTCAATCGTTTCTGCGTTTTCAAATGTGATGTTGACTAAACTAAGTTCGTGAATGAAAACTGGAACAAATCTTGTATCATCGAAACGGATAGTCATGTACTGTAATGTGATGTGTGAATGTTGTATATCAATTGGATTAATAATGGCGATCTTGGAAGAATCACGACCGCTGATCATAAGTGTACAGTCATGAAACTTAGAAAAGTCGATTGTAATCACTGAATTTGGAGTATTCAGAACTTCTAATGTGTTACCTTTCGTGGTTTCGAAAGATTTATAAAAAGTTGTTATGTCTGAAATAACTGTTTTACCTTCGGAACAAGCTCCTTCGTAATCACGTGCTTTAATACAGAAATCTTCTGACTTTGCAAATGAGAAGATGAAGAACGAAAGCATAAATTGATATGATTTTGGATCCTATTAGATTTGAATGATCTTTCAATTTTGAAACCTATCATCGTTTTTTTGTTTATGAACCGGTCATGATGAATCATACTCTCTGAAAATAATAATAGCTTCATAAAGATGTATCATTTTGAAATCATCTTCCAGATTTCTCATATTAATATAGGTTTCCCTTTTTTAAATTCCGATCAGGATCTGATACATTCAAATGAGCTAAATTCATAACGGATCCAGATTTTTGATCATACTGTAAGATACTATGTAAAAATCGCCTTTAAATGTCTATCAAAATAATATTTCTTTCTTTATTAAACTTATTACTGATTTAAGACGATAAATATATAATGCAATCACTATTTTGTCATGATAGAAATTGATCTGTCATTGTCAGCATTGGTTTTGTCCATATTTAGTATAATATAAAAAACTATTAAATATATTGTTTATTTCATTAATTCATATAAACAATATCGCTTTGTTAGACTGCAGATAGTATATTTGTATCAGCTTCTTACCCTTTTTATATTATAAATTAGAAAGCATTGTTAAAAGGTGATACGGAATAAAGAATAGATAGCATGAGATCATCCTGCAGACTATCTAATGTGAATAATAAAATTTTATGATAGTTTTCATGCTCGCAATACAGTTGTTTAGAAATTAATTTTATTAATTTCATAAATATAGTAAATATTAAAGAAAATGGATTACAAAATTGACAGCATTGACATAATGTTGATATACCAATCTTAAAAAGAAACAAAATTTTCCAGTTGAAACTTTTTTTCCAAAAAATTTTGGAAAAAGATTGGAAAAGCAGAAAAGTGACACAAGAGAAATGAATCAACTCCCAGATGAGCAACAGTTTTCAAATGAAGATATCAACGAAGAGGAAGAAGAAAGCGGATACGAAGATCTTTCAGCTGACGAAGAAATCCCTGAAGTCGAAAAAGTTTCTCAAGCCCAGGAACTTTTGAAAGGCAACAACTACAATATTATCTGCAATCTATCCGAGAATGATGATTCCAACTGCTTTTATGCTATCAATATGGACACTCATGCTAAATGCGCCATTAAATTTATGCCAAAGCGCAGATCAATATCTATTCGTAACAAACGCCAAGTATCAATATTTTCCACCATTAGCCATACCAATATTATCAAAATCAGTCAATATATTCAAGCCGCAAAATATTATATTTATGTCACACCATATTACAACCTTGGCGATCTCTATTTCGCTTTGCTCGAGAGAGAAATGAAATTTACCATCCAGCAAGTTGCCAAAATGATGTGGGGATTGATAGATTTACTCAATTATCTTCACAATCGCAACATTGTTCATGGCAACATCAGCTTGGAAAATATCATTTTGGAATCTGAGTCCAAAGCCATCCTTACTGGATTCAGCCACGCTTCAGAACAGTTTATCGAAGTAAATGATTACAAAAAGACAGTTTTCATTGCTCCGGAAGTCGAACAGAACAGAATACTGAATTTCTCTACAGACATTTTCGCATTGGGAACCGCTTTCTACTTCCTTTTGACAAAATGCAACGTAAATATCACTTCCATCGACATGGATGATGATATCTCTCAGAAATTGTGTCCTTCCGCACGAAACCTACTCTCAGGAATGCTGAAACCAAACCCAGCCGAAAGATTTGGCATGAATCAGATAATTGCTCACGAATTCTTCATCGAATTCCTTCCAGATGGGTTCAGAAAGTCCCCTCTCTACTTCGAGGTCCTCAACACGACAAATTATATCATGCATCTCGTTGATGAAGGTGTCAAAAGGACAGAAGAAGGTCCTGACGATGAATATTGTTATAATTGAGTAGTTTATGTTTGATCTTATCCTGCATTATTGTTTTCGTTATTTGCTGAATAAAAAAATATTATTTGAAAAAAATATTTTTACAAAACAAAACAATATTATTTAAAATCAATTGCTTCAACAAAGTCATCTGTAAATGATATCTCGTATACAACTTTTGGCCTTGATCTCGTTCTTCTTAATTTTGACGGTTTTCCAAGGCCTCCAAGATTAATAAACTTCACTCTATGCTCTTTATTACTTTCATTGGAGTTAGCAGATGCATTTGAACTGTCATTATTTGCTGTCTGTTCAGATTTTTGATCAATAATTTCTGGAATATCCTTTTCTGGCTCGATTGTAAGCATAGTGCCTACAGACTCATCAGATTCGGATATTATTCCGTCTATTTTCAGATTCAATTTTGATGGAGAAATTATCTCAATTTTTTCCTTTTCTTCTGTATCATTTTGGTTTACTATATCTTTATCAGTTGCATTGGTAATGGCTAAATCCTCTTGATTTTGTTGATCTAAATTTTCATTGGAAATTTTTTCAGGTTCAGGCTTTGTTTCTATGGATTTTTGGTCTATTATATTAGTTGTCTCATTATTTTCTTCTTTTACAGTATCATTTGATCTTTCTTCATTTGGTAAATTTTCAATTTTGGGTGTTTCTGTCTCTATCTGCAGATTAGTTGTATTTTCAGTTTGCTTATCTTCTGTTTGTTGACTTTGCTCAATCTTTTCCTTAATGTCTCTGGTTTTAAGATCTAAATCTGCCTCATCTATTTTTTCATCAATTATATTTAGTGATAAGTCTATGTTCTCTGTATCATCAATCATGTTCTTCGGTTCCTCATCTTCTTTCTCATTAATTGGAGCCGAATCTTCTAAAATTATTTCATCTCTTTCATTTTGAGATGCTGGTTGCTCTTTTTGAACATTTACGTTATCAATTTGTTCATTATTGGATGATACATCCATTTCTTGTGTTTCTGGTTCTTTTTCTGGAATTGAAGTGTTTATTTCCGAGTTTTCTTCAACTACATCAATAATTTGTTCATCAGGCATTACTATTGTAACTTGTTTATCAGTCTCTTCTTGAACTTTAATTGATGACCCTCTTTGTTCTGGAATTTCAAATGATTTGATTTCATTATCATCAATAACATTCTGTGGTTTGGAACTAACATCTGTTTGTTCTTTTACTATAACTTGCTGAGTTTCTTCTGGCTTGGAAAGAATAATTTCTTGAACTTTTTCTTCTGTTGGATTTAGTGACTCATTTTGAGATAGCTTCTCTTGTTCATTTGTCCTTGGTTGTATTGATTCGATCTTTTCTGGTAATTCATTTGATGAAATTTGAATTTCCCCTTTTTCAGGCTGATTCTTAGGGATTTCGACTTTTTCAATAGAAGTATCTGATTTTTCTTTTGGTTTTTCAGATTTTTTGCTTGGAATTTCATGACCCAAAATTTTATCGCTCAAAATCTTTGATTCACTATCAATTATTGGTTCATCTTGATTCAACTCATAACTTATCGTTTCCTTTTGTTGGAGTTTTGACTTCTTCTGATTTTCAAGAAATTCAATTGCTCTGCTCTCTCTTCTGGACATTTTTGATGACGAAATCCTGCTTTTCATCATTGTTCTGAATCTTTCTCTCTCAGCTCTCTCATTGATCTCTCTATTGATTTCTCTTTGCCTTTCCAGAGCTTTTTCAAGTTCTTTTTTGTTTCTTTTCTCTAAATCTTTCTTTGCAAGTAATTTCTTAGTGTGGTAGTACTTTAGTTTCTCGTATTGCTCACATAAGTTTGCGTATTCAACACCATCGTAGTCGGGTGTAATGGAATCTGTAACTAAACTCTTTAATTCTTCTTGAAATTTTAATTCTTTGCTTTTTAATAGGGATAACTCATCTTTTAAGTCATCAATAATAATATTCTGTGTTTCAACCATTTCTATGTTTGAGTTTTTATGTATTTGATCGATCGAATTTTGAACTTTTAAAAATTCATTTCGTTTTTTAATGTATTCGCGCGAACTTGATCGTATTAACTGCTTGTATTCTATGATTTCATTGGCTAATGCATCTTTTAAATCGTCTGTAAATGATTTTTTGGAAATTTTAAATTGACTATTTTCTGTTTTAAGTATATTTTCTAATAAAAGTACTTTATTTGAATATGAATACTCATCTTCTTTCTGAGATGGCGAGTTTTGAAGTAATAACGATTCTGTTTTATAAATTTGCTGTTTATATGCTTTTTCTAGTTCAATTATTTCTGATTTAACACCTTTAATTTGTATTAAAAGCTGTCTTTTTTGATCTAACATATCCATTATATTCAGATTTTCATCAGGTTTTTCTCTATTTGGATAATTAATTAATTGCGAGTCCATTTCTTTATTTTTCGATTTAATATGTCTCATTCTAGGGTTTTTAGATCTATTTGATGGAACTCTGTAATCATTATTTGTTTGTATGTCACATAATTCCATCAAATTCTTCTAAATTCTAAACTTATTTATTTACAAAAGGTGACAAAAATTTATTTTCAACGAGATTTTAGGAGGGAAAATGTGTGATCTAAACTTTTTAATAAAGAAATTAAAAACATAGTGTCTAATATATTCATCCTTTATAATAACTTGAGAATAAAAAAACAAAATATAATAAAATTGTATTGGCTGGTTATTTTCGATTTGTGAATCTGGAATTGTATCTAACTTTTGTATTAGAAGCAATATTACTCATCCAGTGTGTTCAAATATCGAATAAAATTCAAAAATAAATAATTCGGAATCTAATTGATTGAGTATTGATAGGATATATGTTCTTCGTATGCACTCTGTAACCTTGGTGTTTAACCCGAAAGTATTTTAAGGAATAAATTTCAAAAATAATATAAAATTAAATTACTTTTTGGAAACGGGATTTTAGTAATATGCATGATAACAAACAATACTTAATGATAAGATTTATAATGATAAGAATATTCGAGGAAATAAATTCAAAATTAAATTAAACCTTAGTACTATTCTTCGTATCCCGAGCCATTAAAATCACCACGTGGAACTATATCAAATGATCTTGGAACATGAGATGTAAGCGATTCCAAAAACTTATTTATACGTACATTTGTTTGCATATCTTTGAGTTGCGATGATTTTGGTGTTTGTACTTTGCATACTTCTTGTTTATTAGGAGATTGCTCTGAGAAATTTGTTATTTTCTCAACAGGAATCTGATTTTGAAGTTTCGGTTGTTGTTCGGTTAAATATTGATTTGTGATCGGTTGAGAATATTTAGGTTGCTGCATTTGACCATATGCACCAGCTGTATTATCGATGTTTGGCCTTTGTTCATTCATCTGTGACTTTTTTTCAATACGAAATCAATAAATTCAAAAGGATATTTATTGATGTTATATAGATTGTAATGCTGAGTAAAATAATATTTTTAATTTCCTCGTAACGGATGTCCATACGTCTGAAAACTTGTGATCAGAATTGTGAGCATACTTTTTTTCGAAACTCTAGGATTTTGTTCTATTCTTAAATAATTAGAAATTGGCATTCTAATCAATTGTGGTTGCATTCAAATATCAAGTATTCAAAATTTTATTAGATTTGACATTAATTTGTAACAATATGTAGGACAGATGTCAACAAATTGAAAATGACGATATTGTCTCTCACAAAATTGAGAATTTTGTTTGATACCCAAGAAGACTAATTTATATCTTTTCTCAAATAATGATTAAAATAATAAATATCACCCAATGATTAAATTTGAATTAAACGATCACTTTTTTTCAAACAAAACCTAAAAATCATTTGAAATGTATTAAATTTACAGTGGTATACAAAAAATATTGATGAATATAGCAGCTTGAGATATATAAATTCCATATCACAATACCTTCATTCAAATAATCTTTTTTGAAATAGGCAGCAAATTGTTTTCGGGATTGTTATAATATTAGTATGGTCACATCTGAGTTATAAGAACATATTTGCATTAAATTATTTTTTATTGAAATTCAACAATAAATTCTTTGTTATTTGATATTCCAAATATTAAACAATTCACGTATCTTGTAGTATATTCATTTCATGCTGTTCAAATGAAATAAAAACTTAAAAGTACGATCTGGCATAATATTCTGATCTAAAAACAGGTTTATGAAATTAATATATGTTTCAAAATACATAAAATCAAATTATTAAGATTTTGTGTATCTTTATGAAATATTTCATTCGTTTGTAATTGAATTATGACTCCTATATCTATTATTAATAGTGAGAGATTCTCACTATTAAATATCATAGATTTTGGCTACGCTTTTAAGTAATTAATGCATAAAATACAAATTTTGCGTTATTTTAGTTTTTGTTCAAAGTATCTAAGATAACTTCAGCGAAATATGAAGTATATGTCTTAATGACATACGTTTAAATCTATTGCAATTTCATTATTTCTTTAAAAAAAGTATTATCGAATTCAATAACATAAAAGAAATATGTATGATTACTTGTGTAAAACGGAGAAAGTCATGATACGCAGACTACTCTTGGTTTCTCAATCTAAATATCATAATTAAAAAAAAATTATACAAGAAAACCTTTAATTCTAACAATAGATAATATATTACTCTTCTTCCATTAGCATCACATCTTCATGAGTTTCATGAGAAGGAGCTTCATCAAGTAAAATTTCTTGAGCATTTTCGTTAGCGATGTGTAACATTGATTTTGACTTATAATAATAGTAAACCAATGATACCATCTGAAGAGCAATGCCAGCAATCGAAACAAAATACGAACAGATCTTGAAGAAACCGAGCCAATTAGCTTTTGTTCCGAATTCTTTAAGCAACATGAATATAATAGCTGTTGCATAACCTAAAGAATCAGCAATGTAAACTAAGAAGCCAGAATTTGCTTTGACTTTAAATGCAGCAATTTGACGATCAAAAATGATAGAAGAATATGGTACAAAGCCGATATAAATGGCAGCACCTACAACGATCATCCAGGTGACCCCTGAAATTAATTTGTCTTCGTATAATACGGTTGCAAACAGAAGTAAGCCGAAACCAATAGCAATAACTACATGGTATAAGAAGAAACCCATTAAATGGTTCTTAACAAACATTAAAAGTATAACAGGAATGATAATAATAACTGCAACAATTAATTCTGACTTTGTAAAGACAAATGACTCTGTTTCACCCATTGCAGTAAATAATTCTCGCATAAAGTTATCTCTGAAGTCTCTTAATCCGCAAATTAACATATAAAAAATTATCATTGCGGTAAGACCTGGCCAAAACGATTTTATGAAGTTTACACGATCTTCATGTGTCATTGCAACTCTTTCTGTTCTACTTTTAATGTCTTCTTCATCAGGCGGAGGAACTAATTCAATAAAGAAGGTAAATAAACACAAAATTGGATAGAAAATAGCACCAACAATAGCCGGAACCCAAAAATCACTGTACCCCATACTAATGAATTCCTTTGCAATTGTTTTTATGATAGCCGAAGAAATAATAAAAGAAATACACATTCCAGAACCTAACAGTTCTGATGTACGGCGTCCTTCAAGATAGGAAAAGACTAATCCCCAGATTAAACCTAATGGCAGACCATTAAAAAACATCCAAAATGCATTATATGGAACCTTTGTAATTCCAAATAGAATAAGTGATATTTCTGCAAATCCTATTAGTGCAACAAGCATGAAAGCTCTTTTTGTTTTGTCAAGAGAAGAGATAATAACAATTCCGCAAAATTTTGAAAGAATATAACCGGCAAGTTGTAATATAACTAGCATCATTTTATATGAAAGGCCTAATAATTTAATATTTCTGTAGTCTGCTGCTGTGAAACCTTTTCTGTATGCGTACATCGAGAAATAAATAACAAATCCGCATGTAAAAGCAATAATATTTAATAAAATATGGTGTCGTGAAAGAAATGGATGGACTTTCTTCTTGATGTAACAGTCATCTGTTACACTTGTCCACTCAGGGAGTGTAAAACCCATTTGAAGGTTTATTTTCTTTCAAATTGGAATTCAAAGGATTATAGGCTGATCTAAATTGATCACCTATTTGAATAATAAATACCTCATATATATCTGGCTTGCCTGTTGCACAGAGTATTTCATCAATAATAGCATAAGAAATGCCATATATCGTCTGAACTTTATGCTGAATTGGCAGTTTTCGAATTAGACACTTTTGAAAATTCATTCACAAGGTCTGTCAATCCCAAAGGCCTGTTGATGCAATATAAAATATCATAAAAAGTTTTAATATTTTATTGTTATACTCTGAATAGCTATAGACATCTAATAAACACATAACAACTCATAAGCTCACATGGCATAGATTTTGAAGAAAAATTGAAGTAAATTGACGAATATACAACGTGATATTTTGTGAATAATTGATATATTCCTTACATTTTGAGATAGAACGCTTAGACTGATGCATTACATTATATTGCAGCATTCAGAACCCATGAATCAAATAAAATGTAAATTCGAATAAAAAGTGACCCTCAACGTAATGAAGAGAACTTTGATTATCCATGAGCTTAGACCTGATTACAGAAACACACCAGACAAAGATATACTACTGTCAGTAAAGATTATTCAACCCGATACAAAAATTATTAATAATATTCCACCAGCAAAATTTGCAAGATTAATTGAATATGAGAGCAACAATCAACCAACACAGTTTGAATATGATGTTGAAAAGAATACACTCTTGAATGTTGAGGTTTATGCAACAGCAGATACAGAAACAAAATCAAAAGTTCGAAAATCTAAATTAGATCAAGTTCAAGAGCCAGCTCTTATTGGAACCGGCCAAATTAACTTAGCTCTTAAAGTTTCAAAGAATATTATTGATATTTTGCCCACAAGAAAACCAAAAATTCCAAGAATCGTTAAAACCGACTTACATTCAATACCTCAATGGAGACGTCCTAGTGATTACAAGAGTCTAAAAGAGACAGAAAGCAAAAAGGAGAAGACAGAAGAACCAGAAGGAGAAGTAGATTTGGACAAACTTGCCGAAGAGACTCAAAATAAGAAAATTGCAGAGTTAAATGACAGTTTAGATTATACTTTTGTAGATTTCAGCGCAAAATTAGTTATTTCCATAAATACAAATCCAAATGGATCTACAGCACGATCTAAGCTCGATAGAACCGAGAATTCGATCATCAAAACAAAGGAACAAGCTAAGCAAGAAGAAGAGCAACAGAAAATCGAAGAAGCCAAAGAAATTGCCAAACAAGAAGCAGTTAGAAAATACAGAGATTTCATTAAGAAAGAATACATGTGCATGATAGACAATAAGCGCCAAATCGCAAAGATTAAGGCAGATGACCAAAGAAACCAAAAATATTATGAGGAAGAAGAAGATTATTATTCAGTCCATTATGAAGAGGAAGAAGTTAGAGAGCCACCTCCTCCACCTCCTAGAAAACAATCTTCTAGTTCAAGATCAAGTAATAAGAAATAATTTTCTTTTGTATTAAAACATTAAATTAAAAAAAGAATTTTTAGACTAGTTTGTAATTTAGAAAGCTTGATTAACAAGAGAATAATCATCAATGTAAGGATTTATGTTTCCTTGTGTTTGATTAACAATATTATTTCGTAAAATTTCGAAATCTGACGGAGGATAATTCTGATTCCAGCTCTTTAATGTGCTCAAATCGCCGAGATCACTGAGCTTGCAATACTTTTCACCATAAACTGTGAAGAAGTAAAAGATAGCTCTGACAACCTGTCCACGGTCTTTCTTGACTGGCATCCACTTCTTCTTTGACTTGTGTAAGCAGGAGTATTGGTCTGGATTTGATGGAGCTGTTGTTTGGCACTCATTATCCTTGCAGAATTTGATGCATTCAGAATATGGGAATTCGTCAAATTTGTAGTTTGATCTTGCTCCATTGAGTGTCTTCGGAGCAGAGAAAAGATGATGAAGGTCTGAAACCATTGGGGTCTTCGAATTAAAGAAGGATTGTGGAACAGTGTGCTCGGCATTTACGTATTTATCAGAAGGAATAGCCCTCTGGCCACATTTCCATGGAAAAGTGCTGCTGCCGTAAACCAAATTGATCGCATTATTTTAACAATCAACGGTGTTATACATGATAACGCGTGCCTCTCTGTAGCTATATGACTTATGTGCACCGTATAATCGCGCTAAACGATCACGTACGGATTCACCAATGACTGGACGATTTATACACAACAAATTTAGGAAAAGCATGGAGAATATGGAGAAAAGTGTCATAAAAATTATTTTCAAATGTATCCCAGATCAGATAAACTCTACGTGATGTAATTGATATTTTTACAAGGAAATTTGGAACACCTGGCCAGCACCTTTCAAAAAAGATTTTGTATTGAGAGAGCAGTTCAAAACATAAAAATTTGAATCATGGATCTGCTGATCTAGCGATGAATTCCAATGATAAATAATGATCTTCCGGAATAATTAAACGGTTCTATTCAAAAAATGAAAAATTCAATTCAATATCGTTATTAATAGATGATATGATATGTTGGATCGATTTCGCATGAAGTTTTTGATTTATTCAGATCATTCAATTTCAGATTTGAAATTTTGTCATTTGACGGGATACGGTATCCGTAACTGATTCTTCTATTGAAAATTCCATAACTGCTGCTCAGAGATAAAGGAAATGGAATTTGAAAATATGGTACGGAATTAGGACTTATTAACTCGTTTTGGTGAAAAATATCTTGAAATTTATAAATTTTATTTTTAATTCGAATGGATGCATCATATTATTAATCTCTTTTAAAAGTAAATGATCAGTGGTTTCATTGATTTCTTTGATATCTTTGAGATATTCCAAATATATGTAAAGCACGTTATTCTTTATATATAAATTTTGGATTTTCGAATAAGAATAGTTCATCACAAGCGCATGTTTGGAAGCTTTAAAAAAGTTGGATAGTTAATTAGGATAGAAGATACAAACATATATTTACTAAAAAACAAAAAGATTCACAAGTATGAATCATAATTCGAATTATAGTTATATCGAGGATTAATTAAGGAAAATGAGCAATCTAAGGTGTTGGAAATGTGTAAAACTGCTCCTGGATTTCCATGACCCGAATAATTAGGAGCGCTAAAGATTGTGAGAACGGATCCTTCTGGAGAGAATGGATAATCATAACCTTTTGATGTAAATTGATGAGCTCTGACAATTAAGTTGAGGTTTAACTTTTTAACAATATTTTCTGCCGCTTTTCTTCCAAATGTGAGTGATGTTTGGCGAAGGCTTGGTCCCCATTCTGTTTGAGATGTTGTAGCGTCTGACCAAACAAGGTCGCAAACTAGACCTTCTTCGGGTATTTCCAATGAACGTTTGATGTTCTGTAAACTTTCTAAAGAGGTAATATCTGGGGAAAGTCCACCATGAAGGCATAATATTTTTCCATCTAAAAGTGCTGATATTGGAAGCCAGCAGAAAACATCATTAAATAGTGTATAAATCGTGTTAGAGTATCTGGTTAAGCATTCCGAGCGAAATCCATAATCTCTGTTAGTTGTCGCCGATTCGTGATTTCCACGGAGCAAGTAAATGTTGTTTGGATATTTGATTTTATAGGCAAAGAGTAAGCATATTGTGTTAATAGAATTGTCTCCTCTGTCAACATAATCTCCGAGAAATAGATATCTTTGAGTTTCTGGGGTTCCATTGATTTCAAATATACGGCAGAGATCATCAAATTGTCCATGGATATCTCCGCAGATGTTTATTGGAGCAGAAATTTCCAGGCATACTTTTTCGGCCATAAAGAGTTTCATTACTTCGTTGTAGATGAACATTAACTTGAATATCGCCTTTCATTGTCTTAATTAACATCCACATCAGATACATGATTATTATTGAATATCGTCAAAGCAAATATTCTAATTCCTTTACACAAGGGCTAATATTGCCTTGTATCAAGTACGAAATTTCTATGTGAAGCGACTCATCAATAAATCCTTTACGTATTAGCTTCATTTGACATAATAAGAGCGAAATTGGTAAATAAGCAGGATAATCCTACACGCAGATATGTATGTATATACATTAGTCAATATTCAAATCTGAGAATATAGACGTCGAAGTTCAGAGAGATTTGGAAACCTTATAAAATTCATTCACAAAAATTTCAATATGCTGATACAAAAACTCTGAATTAGTTAAAATTTTATTTAGCAGTGAAATTATTTAAAAAATATAAGAAACAGCATTGACAACTGTGATTCCAACCGTTTTGATTGAAAACTTTCTATAAATAAATGTTTTTATTTTTGGTTTTTTTAGTGTACTCGACCACCCTTCCATTTAATTCCAATGGTGAGACTATCATTAAATCTATTATGGAAGGAACCGAGAGTCCTTTTTTTATGTCAAACGAAGAAGATCTAAATGCAAATAAAAATGACGGAGCACGGTACAATGTTGATGCTACAATCTCAGATACTTCCTATCGTATTTCCTTTCGGCGTGATAGTGAATTCTATTTCTCTTCAGTTACAATTCAAAATACAAATTTTCACGAAACTCATGCATTTGGTATAGGTGTTGGCTTCGGATCTGGCGGAGCAATCTTTTTATCATATTGTACAATGCTTGCTATTGATACAGAATTTGTATCTTGCGAGGCCTCGAATGGCGGAGCTACTTGTTCACTTTGTTCATTAATGTGCATTGAGAGATGCAAGTTTATAGGCGATATGTCATTTCGTTTCGGCGGCAGCATCTATTTTCAAGGAGGATTTAAAAATACAAATAATTACAGCCCAGGAAATGCATTTTTATGCTATAATAGCGAATTTACGTCCAATGTTGCCTCTGAATATGGAGGTGCTCTATCATTTTCGATGGCTGTAACAGTTTATTTGGAAAATTGTAAAATAACCGGAAATTCTGCAGGTTACAACGGTGCTGGATTGTATTCTTGCAACTCAGAATTCATCAAAATCTTTAATTCGCAAATACTTTCCAACAAACTTGAATTTTCTTCCTATTTAAACAACAATTCTCGTTTCTTCCACTATAACATGCATAGTAACCTGGAAACCCCTGATATTCCTGCATTCAGTATTCGCGGAGGAGCAGGAGTTTGTGTTGTTGCAGATTATGTGTTTCAATCTACTTTTCCGACCTCGACATTCTACTCGCAAGGTAACTGCTATGGAGGAAATTCAGCAGGAAGCCATGCCATAACAAAAGGAAATGGTCCTGGCCATGCAATTTTACTTGATGGAAATTGTCAGCTGCAATCATTGAATGACAACTTCGGAAGCACCAAGCAATTTAATAATATCATTTCTAAAGCAGGCCCGCTCACAGAATACCCTGTTTTAGTTAATTATGTTGAAATTCCTACAGATTGTGGAGAAATGGCCGATAACTCTGAAATTGACCGTGAAGAAATAGATACTGTTAATATTAGTAATACCGGTAACATGTTTTTAACAAGTTTTGTCCCACCTCCAACAACATTTGTTTTACCGGCTACTCCTTTCATCAAATTTCAACCGAATGTGACAGCAAAAAGAGATTCCACGTGGATTGGCCAATTTACGACTCTTTCAATGAAAAGTATTTCAAGACCAACTGAAATATCCACTAAAACACGATTACCAACAAGGTCATTGTTCTCAGGTTGGTATGTTCCTCCAGAGTCATTCGAAGGACCGAGCACGAAGACATCGTCGGTTCTAGTGTTGGTGCATTCATCGTCATCTGTCTTGTTTGTATCCTTATCTGGTTCTTCGTTCATCGTTCACGGAACGAAGATGTCAGTAGTTGTATACCGTGGTACTACTAGCACAACAGTTCCAGTTACTAACGACAACCCTCTTTGGACTACATCTATTGCAGGCGACGTCGACGACCCATTCAAGAACGACTTCGAAGAAGAATATCAACATGGTTTCTTCAACATCAAAGACACTGGAATTGAATAATTATTTTGTTTGTTTTATTAATTTTCTTGGTTATTCTTGTTTGTTTTAATAAAGTAAATTACGGAATATGTTCTCAGTGATATTATAGTTTTTTAACTATTTTCAAGTGGGTAATACTTAGAACTGGAGATCCAATCTAAATTACAACTTCAGTTAGTTCAAAATTTCTAAACATATATAAAGATCAATTAAGAATAATCAAATGTTATTTAAAAAGGTTATTTGTTTGGGAATCGATTTTATACAGATTTTGACATATAATTTTTCAATATTAATAATGTTACAATTAAGTTTTTCTGTCTGATGAAATATAAATAACTCGGCTGACATGTTTGTTCTATTTAAAAATGTTCACTCATGATAAACTATGAAATTTGATAATATGTCTACTTTTAAAATTGATCTCTTGAATCATATTTATAATTTGAATTCAAATAAATTGGAAGAAGCATGTAATTAAAAAGATTTTACCATTAATGTTCAAACTTATTGCGATTGTTGATATTAATTTGAAAAATAAGAGCAATTTCATAAGGAAGAGAAAAACGATAAGAGTAATTTTGGGGTCTAAAAAATGTTGAAACGTATTTAAGAAATTTGAAGAAAAGCTTTGAAAATCAAAGTATAACAGATTGGGTTAAAACTTTTAATATTAAAAATGCTTACATGAGTATTGTAGTTTGATATTTGGCTAAAGATTTTCAATAAAATTGTAAAAAAGTAAAATTGATTTAGCAGATAGAAAGTTCAGTTTATTATCTAATTGTTAGAATCTAGCTTGGTGTTTGATATTTAATAATTTAAATGGTTATCAAAAATTGAAAATTCACAAAACATTTTGATAAGGCGGTGTAAAATATATTTTGCAATATTATGATGCTAATGATCTATTTATAATAAATGATACGACGTAAAAGGGAATAACTGCCGAATGACAATTAACAAAATAATATGTATATGATATTAGCTAACTAATATTTATTTTTTAGAAATCAAGTTTTACTCAATTCCACATCATCTAGAATTTTGTGAAGCAATGGTTTTAAAAATTGAGAACATTGGCAGGAAATTTATGACACCTTTGAAATTTTTGAAGCCCTATTTCAATTCCAATTTTCAATTTGCCATATGAAGCATAGGGTAAGTGCGGACGACTGCTATCAGATTGCGCATAATATCGATGATCATATATTTGGCCACAAGATGTGCCAAGAGTTCTGCCTTGATGATCTCAAGAAAATTCTCGGTATGGTTCAACTTGATATTAAGCAAGCGATCACATTGTTTTCGGACGGCAAGCAGATTTTCAGGACTCATCAGGCGTTCAGGATATTCCAGCATACCAAAGTCAACTTTGGAGAGGATTACAAGACAATTTTGGAATTCATCAAAGTTCTTCACAAATCTCTCAAATCTCCAATATTAAAGTCAATCTATAAGACATTCAAGGATCTTTCAAATGATTCCATTTCAAAATCTTCTGAAATTAATAATCTAAAGAGCCAAATTGATGAACTGCAGAAGCAAAATGAAATGTATAAGCAGCATATCGAAGAGCTCAAGAAGATTATTGAAAATATTGATCCGAAGTTAATTCCTGCAGATCCAGAAATTTCAGAGCCTTCAAAGCCCCAGAAGATCAGTAAATTTGTTGAACAGTTGAAGAATTACAAACCAACACCTGAAGATTTCAAGCAAATTTATTCCATTCTCGATCAAAGCGTAAAAGAAGACGATAATGATGCAATTAAGTACGCTATCGATAATGGATTTGATAAAGTTGCTTTGAAGGGAAGTAATCTCTTATTAACAGCTGCATCAGAAAATAATTTTGAACTTGCAAAGGCAATTGCTGAAAATGGAGCCGATATTTTTGCAAAGTCCGAATCTGGTGCCACAGTTCTCCATTACTTCGCAAGAGATGGAAATCTTCCTGCTCTTAAGTATTTCTGCAATATTAAGGGCATTGATTTGAATTCCCGCAACAAGACTGATAATACTCCATTGCATTTCGCTGCTTGGAACAATAAACTCGAAGCTGTGGAGTATTTAGCTTCATTCCCTGAAGTAGACATCAATGCGAAGAATAAGGAAGGTAAATCACCTTTCAAGTACACAAGATCAGAAGAAATCAAGTTGTTCCTCAGATCAAAAGGTTGTATTGATTAATTTTTTTTTATTTTTCTTGGATTTGATTGATATTATAATAGGAAATAAATATATATGTTTATGTTTGAAAATATACTCAACTTTTTATTCTTCGGTTAAATTGTTTTACTTTCACGGGAGATTTAACTCAGAATTTTCAGACATAGATTTAGAAACCAGAAAATGTGTTTTATGTACGAGTGGATCGAATAAAGATTGGTTTTATTCATGAAATGAGAAACCATTGATAACTGCATAAGAGAGATAATTTTGAGAATTGTGGATAAATCTGTAATTCGGAAGAATTGTTGTATTATGGACCACAGCGATTATGAAAAGAGGGATAAAAAGATTCGAAAATTTATCACAAAAATTAATGGGGATAGAAATGTGAAATTAGAATTTGGTCTTATTAAAAATAATAATAATTGATTGGTAAGTAATATTTATTGAATAATATTATCTAGAAGGTCGTAATTTCCTGAGAGGTAGGGCAACGATAGGTCAAAAAGGCTTCTCTGATAGATTTCGTTGCATTTTGGATATGCTATAATATATAGCCTAGCATGATAGGATATGATGTCAAAAGTTAGAACATAACTTAGGATCTTGAGAAAAATGAAAAACAAAAATTACATAAAAAAAGAAAAATTTTATCTAATTTGTTTTTTTGGACCGAATAAGTAATTTTATTGAATTTCAATACGACACATAGATTTTATTATTAGTAATAAATATAATGGTTTACTATTAACAAGGAACCTAAACTAATGAAAATTTGATTTCAAATATTGTATATGATTATCATAGATTACCAAAATATATTGCTATTTATGAGGATATAATATTGATTATTAGTAAATCGTATAAATTTAATAAATATACCATGAATATTGAATGAATTTCTTATTCATAGGGGTAAAACGCGCTTTTATATGATTTAGACAGAGAATTTATGAGATGTAAATAACACAATAAAGGTTTATATTGAATATTTTCTAAAAATAAATCGAAATTATAAAAAACAATACATTTATTCATTGAAACTACTTGGACAAATATGAAACAAGCATTCAGGCAATACTTTTGAGACTTCAACGCATCTGATAATTTTTATATAACTTCACCTCTTATGCTTAGAGTGGAGGTATTGAGATCGTATAAGTATAGATGAGCTCACATTCAGATATGATGTGTGAACTTCTGTTTTCACTGCAATTTTGAATCAGAATAAACTCAAAACAAGAATAAAATGATATACTCACTCTCTAAATGTGTTCGAGATTTAAAGTTGTATGAATAAAACGATTCATCTTTCGAAGCCTCCCATTTAATGAGAGACTTCGAAAGATGAATGTATTCATGTAGATGAAATACTATATATGACCATGTGTGATACTAAAGATATCAAAATGTTCATTTTTAAGTGCAATAGAAGGGTTATCTCTCGTAAAATCTCAATTTAAGGAAGATTTAGAAAGAACTCCTTTCCTAAGTAGATAGTGTGTGGTTTCTGTCTTTTGGTTGATCAGGAACTATGAAATTAAGTCGGACAGAAAGAAGTTCTTTCCAAAACAGACTCCAAATGAGTTGTTCGAAAAGAACTTCCTTCTGTATATGGATAATTGTAGTTACCGCACTGAAGTATGTGATTGTGATGATGGAGTTCTCGATAAATCTAAAATCGGATTAAGATTAATTGAAAACTCAAGTAATTCTTTGAAATCTTGTGTTGTCTGGCACTATAATAACCAAAGAATGAGAATATTATGTTGAATGATGAGTACGTGTGCTCGGCATTCGCCAAGCGAATTGAGTTTAACGTACTATGAAAAGTGACAAATTTGGGCTTTTTTTCCTAGGGTTATGATCTCTTCCTTTCTGCTCAATACGACAGAAATGAAAGAATGAATTTGTACTCCCTAATTGATTACTACAATCTGTATCTATCTTTAACATAGAATTAGCTGCATTGTGATTTATACTCCAGAATTATTCAATTTAAGATCAACCTCGTAAATTTTAATCATATTGCACCAATACTCCTACGTTGAGATAAGAAATGATTATACATACCAAAGCCCCATATTAAAAATCAAAATTTAGCACCTCCATTATGCAACCACATTATTCGTCGCAAATAAGTGTATTTACGCATATTATGATGCATATTCACACAACTCGTATACATGAAAAGTTATTAAAATCAGACAAAATTATTGCAATAAGGGAAAAAAAACAACTTTATTATATATGTTAGTAATGAATTACAAATATTTCTACAAAGAATGCTCAATACTTCATATAATCTTCGAATATTTCTTATTACAAGTTAATACATTTTGACTCGAACATGATAAACAAAAGCCGACACGCTGATTACTACATTTATGAAAATATAGTACGTTTCCATTCATCTGTTTACTTGTTTTTGTTGGAATAAAATCATTTTTTTTCTTTCATGAAATAAGAATTTTGCTGCGAAAGCAATATCTCTAACAATAATTAATACATTACGTCAACTCTGGAATGAGTATTTATCAAATATGATATCAAAATCAAAAATTAGTTGTTTTTTATGAGTAAAAACGATGTAAATTGATTATTTGACTAATTATCAAATACTTTGATTTTCCAAATTTTTTTCGAAATTAATTTTTTCATGTGAAAATTCAAATTGTTTAATTTCATTTTTGAAATTTTGAATTTTTTTTTGGAATTTTGAGTTGATCAATTCAGCAGAATTGATAATGCTATTGCTTTAGGGCATACCACAAGGTGATGAATAAAAGGTGAACATTAACAAATTATTTTAAATCACAAATATCATCCTCATCAACTTTAATTCTAAAAAAACTGTACTGAATTATGAAAATGCATGATTTACATTATTAAAATCTTTGAATGAAAATAGTACAAGATAAGTTTTATTCATTTTTAATTAGATTTAAACGAAAAACTACTCCATATTAAAATTTAAGTCGAGAAATTGTATTTTGTTCTTATTTGTTAGCATTTTGTAGACATTCTAATCTTGAATTAATTTGTTACATGATATTATTAACAAATTTAACTGAAAAAATATGTTAATATGGAATAAACCATGATTATATAAGCTATCAATGCTATATATACATATGTAAAAGATTCATATTAACTCAATTAACAAAAATGATAGATTTTCATAAAGGTTCAATCTAGGTTCGTCCGAAAATTTTGATTTTTATATAGAAGACATAGTTTCATATACATAATTAAATTTTCAAACAAATTTGATCATACCATTTATTAAGCAGGATAGTATATTAATTACTATCAGTATAAAAATATAAAAATGATTATATTTAATTATTGCATAATTTAGTCAAAGAGTTATAAGCCTCAAGTGATCGTTATCACCTTCAATGCACGTATACTTTATTGATTCATAGATATTTAATCTATGTTTGACATGTTGTTGTCGTCATTCGTTTTGTTCCCATTCTTCCTAAGTTAGAATTAGAGAATACACCATCCACATCATCTAATTTGGTCCTCAGCGATAGATTGGTTCATTTTGGAGGAGTCCCATCAGACAGTTTTCGAGCACCAAATATCAAATTTTAATGTATACAAATCTTTAGTGATTTATCTCTTTTATGATGAGTAAAAGGTTTCTGCTCATCAACATTTGATTTCCGACATATATGATTTCTAATTGCAATTATTTACTTTCTTTTTATAATCTAACTCTGTGACTCATACCATAAATTAATTATTGGAAAGTGTCAATATGTTTGGCACAACGCATGGCGGAAGATACCAAACCATGCAGGGAATATGATACGTTTAAGATCTCCGAACTTTTTTTCCAAAAATTTTCTATCGTTGCCCTACCTCTATTTCCTGAAAAGTAATTAAAAATCTGTGATTTCAATATTGAAAATGTTCGCAGAAAGGACATGAAAAATAAGATTGTTAATGGAAAATAAATGGCAGATGAAATTTGAAAATGAAAAATTGATTCAATATAAAGCCAAACAAACCATCATTTTTGATTGAAAAATTCAATGAGTTATAAAATCTAATTTCACATCATGATTAATGGTCAGCTCATGTTTGTAAAGATAATTTTCCTTTAAAGAGTTGATTGGATGGTGAACATTCAAAGATTGAATGGAATAATTTAAGAAACTTCAGAAATGAAAATTTTGCTTTGATGTTTAAATAATGATTATATATTAATTCCCAATGTTTTTGGATCTCAAAATGATTTGATAACTCATCGGTCGGTCTTGATTCTATCAAAAAAGAAAAATTGAAAATAAATAGTTTAATTGGACTATCCTAATACAAATTAACTAACTATCTTAATAAAAGTGACAATGCTGATGGGATGAATTGAATATGACCCATCATTTTAAAACTTAAGTCTCATCACACTTTTCAATGCTCGATTTTTAAAAACTGTTTAAAAATGGAGCTTATATTGAAATAGTGTAGAGACTAAAAATTACCACAGACTATTTCAGAGGATTGAGTTGCCACTCAATCCTCTGAAAAGTCTGAGGTAATTTGCAAAGTTTTAACACTATTCAATTTTGAACTTTTGATAAATAACACTAGAATAGGTCATATAATGAATTTTTCGTGGCAACCCATCATGAAATTGAGAGGGATTTCAATCAACAGAAAAATCATTTTTCATTCATGTACTCACCAATCATGTCTGCTAGCGATTCATCAAGTGACAGCAGTGAATATGATCATCATATTGTCTTCCCAGACATTTATTCATTAATGCTTAGCCGTGGAATAGTAATTGACAAGTCCCAAATGTCAATCTTCCCAACCGAAGTCTCAATGGCATTACCAGAACCAACAATGGAAATTCCAATCAAGAAGAGAAAAGAAGGCAAGAGAACTCTTTTCTCAGACTCCCAGCGCTCAATCCTTATGCACTGGTTGAAGAACCACCAGTCAAACCCATATCCTACATCGACAGAGAAACAGGAGTTAATGGAAAAGACAGGACTCAATCGTGATCAAATTAACGTTTGGTTTACAAATAACAGAGTTCGCCATGGAATGTCTTGCTCATCCCAGCACCATGGAAAGAATTCTCATCCACATAACTTCAATTTCAGATCTTCTCATTAATTAACCATTGTTTGTTAATATAAACTGTGTATGTATTTATCTTATCTATTCACATTTTTTTCCACATTTATTTTTTTCCGATAATTTTGAATAATTGGTCGAAAGATTTATTGCCAATTGGATGGTATCGAATGCATAATAATAAATTAAAATTTGTATAGTGTTGATTCAATCCAAAATTTTAACATCATAAAATTGAGAATAAATGTTGAAAGCAAAAACCGATGAGGTAAAAAATTGAAAGTCATATCAGAAATGCTTATGTTAACAACTCAAATAGAATATGTAATATTTACAAAAAAAATATTTATTCACAATTTCATTATATCATTAGAACTATTAATTAATCATAATTTACGTGGTAATGTAAGGATGTCAATTTGGAAGAAAAGTGAGAAAATTCCTAAAATGCTAAAAATGAATTTTCCAAACGTACTTTTTTATCTCATTTTTTTGATTTTGAAAAAAATTTGGAGAGAAGAACTCTTCGTTTTTGAATTTTGTCACGATGGTTTTAAAGTATATTAGACACATGTATTGATATTACTATTTTTGTATATTTTGAGAGAAAATCCCTAAAAAGTGAGAAAATCTAAGACGGTTTGAGAAATATATAAACTATTGAAAATTTGAATTAAACTTCTAATTTGGAAAAAAGAAATTTGGAAAGAAGAAAATTCAAAAATCGAGATTTAGACTCAGCATCAAATGGAGAACAAAATGTTTCTTCATATGAAGGAAAAAATTTTCTTGTGAAGAAATAGAGTTTTTAAAATTTTATTGTATGTAATGAAATAAACAAATATTAAAATTATTTTTTGATAACAAGAAAATTCCCAATAGAAAATATTTGAGAGAAAGAAAAAAAGAAAAATGAAAAATATTACTCTCCTTTATATTTCATGAGATTTTCAATTTATTTTTATAAAATTGACAATTTTATACGTTTAGATGAAAATAAGTGATTTTGCTTGAAATAAAAATGATTGTTTGTTTACAGCTATCAAATAGATTTTTGCTATTTTGATTAAAATTTGTTAATCAAATTAATAATTTTTTTCTAAATATCTTAAATATCTGGATCACTCACTGATACGATGAATTAAACGATAAAAATAATACAAACTCAACTAAGTTTCCTGTCTTTCAACCAAAAAATATTATGCAATTTAAATTAAATTGTTTATTCAAATATAAAACAAAGATGAAATAATTACAGTTATCATAAACTTTATGAATAACTCTGTAATTGGTTCAGATTTTCGTAAAAATATTTTTATTAAAATCGATAAGAATATGTTTACCTACTATCATCACATATCTATAAACAAGAGTAGAGTGATTTTTATCATCGAAACTTTTTAAAAGCTGCAAGCTGGAAGTAAAAATCTTGTTTTTTTTTCTGAGTTAGTTGTAGAACTATTGATTCCCGAGTTATCATTGTGATGTAGAAGGATGTCGATGTACTGACTGAAGGATATGAAGTGAATTGAATTTCATTGAATTTCAATTTGATCAAATTTGTTGAAATTATATGAATGTGTCAACATCTGTATCACTCTCCTTCACTTCTTCCCTATTTTTTCGAGAACGAAGCTAGCTCAGCTTTCGCTGAGCGAATTGACACTTTTGATGCCCTAAACGTACATACTCTCAAATTTATCGAAAAAAATAATACTACCTAAACTCGTATATTCTTATTTTAAATATGATATTATCCTTAGATTCCACACTAGAATATATTTAAATCAACTTTTAAAAAAGTTCGAATCCTGCGCGTCTCACTTTTTAAATTTTCCAAATGGAAAATTATATTCTCCTAAAATGAAAACAATTTTCCGAATTGACATCCTTAGGTAATGGATTTCATTGATTATTTAATGATAAATACCTAAAGAATTAATGATTATGTTCGTGCCAATGGAAATGATAAAATAAGAACCTTGTGTTTTTATAGGATGGACTCGATATTTGATACAAATTAATAAAACAGGACAATTTATCGCATTATAAATGAACAACCATATGTCGGATGAAATTTGATTTCACTGTCTCATGTTAAAACATTTTTTCCGACAGATATCTTTAGCATATATGAAAAAGAGCTATATTTCGGAAATTAGAGTTTCGGTTGATCTAACTATCCGATGTGTATAAATTTAGTGTTAGGATTTTTAATCGTATATCAATGTGGTACTATATATCAACGAATTAAAGCATACAATTCAAACTTCGATAAAAATTTTTTTATAATAGAAATTGAAAAAAGAAACTGGGGGGATAGAATTGAAAATTGAAGATTAAATCGATATTAAAATTAAATTAAATTATCATATTAGGAGTTATATATAGATGAGATATGACATTCGCTCATTTGCTCTCAAAAACATGTTTCAATGGCGTTTTATATTTTGAAAGAAATTTAGAGAAATTGATTTTAAAAAAGATTAATTAGTTTAAATATAGTATTGTGGACAATAAAAAATGTTTTTGATTCACAATTTGAAGGTAATTTTGAGAAGATTTGATTTTGATATTTTTAGACATTGAATGAAAAAATGGTGTTGGATAAAATATTGTATGATATATGGAGATCATAAATGATTAAATTTACGAAAATCCAATGCACGTTGATTTTAAAATCAACGATTCATTACGTGTTCATTGTCATTTATTAGGTCATTAAAAAGAGTAAATAATCTTGATAAACCCTAATTTAAATAAACGATTTTAATCGAGAATCAATTTTAATTAAGTTATTTATTGTTTTACTTCTCTTTAAATGATTCATGTTAAAATCTTTCAGATTTAATTCAAAATCGGATCATATAATTTTCTTTTATAATTATATTATTTTGCTAATGCTACTCCCTATTAATTGATATTTTTACTTTTGAATTATCTTAAAGCTTAAATTTTGTAATTCCACGTAAAATCTCATTATAAGCCATATAAATCCGCTCATTTTTAAGAAACTTTTCTGCTTCATTCAAATATTCAAAATTTTCACAATTTTTTCAATGCCTAGATCTTCTGAATATTTTTTGAATTTTTTTTAATTAAAATAATGTCTTTCGACCAAATGAATCTTCCACAGCCTTGCCAAATACACCTAAAAGGTTATCGTGAAAGTGATATACAAGTTTCCCCATATGAAACTGTTGGATATATAAATGAGCATTTTAATGATAATGAAATCCGACTTGTTTACAAAGGGATGCTACTTGATCCGAGTCTATCATTCTCATACTATAATATTCAACACGATGATACAATCATAGTCGTACAACCACGACCTGTCTCATCACGCAAATCAAGACGTGAGCATGACTCAGATAGTATGATGGATATACATTACGAAAGGTTAATGAAACAGAAGAAACTTATGATGCAAGAAAAGGATAATGCCCAAAATGATATGATTGCCCTAGAATCTGCTCGACTTTTAGATCTTTCATTCAATAAAATTTCATATCGGCCGACATCCTACCGAAGGATTTGCAAGATTATTAAGAAAAAATCAGATAACCTTGAAAATTCTTTTGAAACACAAGGAACAGTTCTTCCGGAAAAGGCTCTTACGCCATGTACGGAGTTCCTCCCATTGATATCATCCAATTCTGATGCTCAATCTAATTAGTTCATTTCTTTGTTTGTATAAAGTTATATTTCTAATGTCAATGCTTTTTCCAATAATGATCGCGCATTATCGGCAACATTGTATATGTTGTTGATTTATCAATTCAATATATATTAATTTCAAAATATTGTTTCCCTCGATTAATGAGATCTCATTTTTGAATATCTCTTTTTGAACTCAAACCCCAAGAATCGGAATATTAATTGCTTATGTAGCCCAATCTTATAGCGTATGAGCGATACCGTTATATCTCGTTATATAAGATTTTGAGTTATTTCGATTAGAATTAGTAATAATTTGAGTTACTGATTTTGAAATCACTGTTAGATTTTTTAATCAAGATAAAATTCGAAAAATGCGAAATTTCGTCAGTCTGACATACGATAAAAGAAGATGAAAAACAGTGAAAATAAATACCGAAAGAAATATATAATTTAGTCAACACATCCAAATTATATACAAAAATAAAGCAAACAAAAAATACCCAGATTTGCTTTACTTTTACCACCCCCCATAAAATTTCTGAGATAAACGATTATTATATTTTTTTATGGTAGAACAGTATATGCTTCTATAAAGGCACTTAAATCTTTGATAAAATACAGTGCCGGTATATTAAAATATAAAGGCTCGAGAGTGAAAATCTTGCAAAAAGCCCTTTTTTTGGACTTTTTTGCTCCTCATTTGATCGAGCATATCCATAGTTATGCAGACACTATCGACAATTTTAAGGCCAAACTCATTTGTATGCAATTCCAAACAATTTTTGTTGAAAGTGCTCATTATAGGCGCGAAAAAACTCAAAGTTCTCAAAAAATTCAAATCGCATCTACGCAAAAAAGAACTTTCATCTAAAAATGTTATAACAACAATAAACTTCAAGCATAAATAAACCTCGGCACCAAACCACAACTCTTAATCTTTGAATAACGGCGAAAATATTTGCATTAAATCTCAAAGGGAGTTAAAATAATATCAAATTTATACTAATTTACTTCAAAATACAAAAGTATTTGACAGCTAAAATTAGTTACTTTAGCAAGCCTATCAATACCCTTTTACGATTATTGCTACTTTTTCGAAATAAAAGTAAAAACAAATTTATTATCAAAAACCTTTTTTTTCTTAGTAAAAATAAAAATGTTATTTTATATCAAGTTTTTATTCATAAATTTTTATAATGTTGTATAAATTTGAAGGTGGAAATCTGTAATAATTTTATCTTGAAAATACTTGGCATTCTCAACAATGAATTGAGGGGTATTGCATCCAAATTCTGTAATTTGCGTGAGAATACTAAGCTTGATTTCCATTGGGATACTTAATTTCGAAAAATACTGGGTCATTCGTTTTTGAACCTTTGCTGCCTTGACAACTTTATCAAGTAGGTCATCTAAACCCAATTGAAGCGTATTTAAGTTTGCTGATGAGTTAACTATTAACGATTTAATTTTATCAGTGAGCATTATACATTTTTCTGTATCCAGTCTGATTGTAGACTTTTTTGGCTTTTTTTCAGATGGCAACGGATTTGGAATTTTGTCTCTGAGCCTTATATCTTGAGGTTCTGTAATAAAATGAAGGAACGATAAAATCGATTAATTTCATCACAAATCGATCAAATCTCATGAAAATTGTTCCGCCAAAGTAGTAATATTTTTTTTTTGTTAATCGATTCTGAAATGTTATTTGTGAGAGCTAAATTTTCATCTCTTTCAGACTGTCCATCTTTCTTGGTTTGATATCCATTGATTTTGTATGTATTTTGAAAATTCTGGGAATTTTTCGGCTATTTCCAGAATTTTTTTGAACGTTGGTTCAATCCATTCTTTCTTGCCATTTCTGCCGTATGCAAGATAGTTCATTTTTGTATCTAATATCAATTTGTCTGAACTCTCAAATGCATAATCTTTCAAATTTTTTCTGAACGCCCTCATTACATGAACTGCACACCAATGAAGGATAACTTCTGGAAAAGAGTTGATAATCGCATTTTCGATTTCTTGTGCACAATCTGACATAAAATATTTTGGTTTTACTTTTGCCCAGTTAAAAAATGCCTTGAGACAGAATGCAATATTTTCTGAAGTGTTTGGATAAACGACAAATTGAAAAATTGGGAATGCATGTGTATTTGGAAATTTGGCTGATATCATGTAAAACAACATTTTAAATTCAAGTAATGAATGGGTTGCATCAATAAAATGCTCTTTCACAATTTTGATTATGTCCAGAAATTTGAAAGAAGCATAATAAAAGATTAATTTCTTTGGTTTGTTGTAATTATCGACATCGAAATAAATTAAATCTTTTGGACTCTTGTTCTTTGATACCCTTAAATAATTGAGTTGACTTGAATTGATTATCATCGTACTTTTGAATACCTTTGATCTTTTTATTTCCTTTTTCCTGAATTGTTTTCATTTGATCTGAAGATGCATTCAAAAAAGATGGCCTGTTAAGTGGATCATCCAGATCAAGTTTTTTGTCGCATTCAATTTGAGCCATTTTCGGATCACCCCCTGTTTTATAAAATTAATAAGTACCCGACGATAGCATTGTGATAATGTGTGGTATTTCTTTGTCTCATCTTTGATTTGATTGTGATTATGTGTTCCATTATATTCTGTTAGGATATATTCTTCATCATCCTTTAGAAATGAGATACATGCTTCACATTTATCTGCACTGCACCTGAATTTTAATTTTGTTCCCCCTAAATTTGGATTTTTTTAATTGATATGGACAACCTGCATGGCATTCGTTATCAATGACAGCTTTCATAGCATCTATATAAGATAGCCTTTCTTTAAGTTCGCATGGTGCATCGATATGCATCAAAAAAATGAAATGAAATTTCAATATCAAAAAAAGCACAAAATTTGAAAAAATTCACAAATCTCGGTTTCTGAAAGAAAATGGCCTCTTAAACTTTGTGCATATATTCATCTATAAGACACATTGTATCCATATATTATTTAGCCAACACAACTTATCTGGTATCGAGAAAATTCAAAAAAAGCACAAAATTTGAAAATTGCTCGGTTCTACATTCAAAATAAATTTCATTAATTTTTACGTACATATTAAGGTACTTATCTTCTACATATATAATCTTCATTAGATATATACATGATAAATAAAATTCATAAAACATTAAAAATCAAAAAATTAGATGAACCTTGGCAATTAAACTTTATTAAATAATAGTTGTTTATAAATTATATTATATTATCATTTAATATTATTTTGATAATGAAGATTTTATTTTGCAATAATATAAACGAAATTTTTTACCTTATGAACTTTTGATGGAAATATGCAAATTTAAAATAATAAAGAAAGCCGCGAGCGAAGCGATCGGCTTAGTTCGAAGATTTTGATTCAAATCTTTGCTGATCTGTAATTCGCGGAAGCCGCGAGCGAATCGAGCGGCTTAGGTCTAAGATTTTGATTCAAATCTTTGCTTATATTCCTTAAATTCTTTATGAAACTCGCAACAGTTCCATAAAAAATTTTAAATTCTAAACTGTCGAAATTACCGATCGGTAATCACACTCTTCACGGGTGTATCACTTTTTACATGCGTGTCACTTTTAGCTAAAATTACCCCTACTCGCTGGCATATTCACACAAAAAAACCAATCTGCCAGGCAGAAATTTTTAAGTCTTGTACTATTTGTGATAATGACTAATGTTGATTGTAAATTGGTTTGGAAACCGATGAACTTCCATTCAAATAATTCAATCCAAATAATATGGAAAATTAATGAAAATATTGCTTCTTGCTATGGTATAATTAAGTTGAATCAGTAAGGTTATTAGGAGAAAAACGTTTATCAATCACCATTTGAAATAATCATTGTTTATTCATTCAAAAGTCAATTTATCCAGTATCTCAATTATGGGCCGAATAGCAAAAGTGTGCGATTTTTTCAAATTGAGCTTGGGATACTAATTCCATTCCATACCTTAAATTATTTTGTACAAAATTTTGCTTATATAGCTAATCCGTTATTTTATTCTTTACGCAAAAAATAATAAGAGACTATTTTTATGCATAATTATTCGTGAAAAAAAAATTGAATTGATTTTTAACTCCCATTCAAATCATTGCTATTATAAATTTTTATCTATATCTTATTAGATACGAAAATAAAGTTCTTGATTGGCCGTTGTAGAAAAATTGAATGCTGTTCCGGGAGGCATAAATTGGACTTTTCCAAGTTCAAGCATATCGACCAAAACACACTTAAATTAGAATAACTATCTAAATAATGCTATAATGCAATAACTGTCACATCAAAGTAGAAAGTGAATGTAGAGCCGGCTGTTAGGTTCTGTAAGATCATATTAGATAAGCATTGGGCATTTTTTATCCATAGAAGAATTTTGAAAGCTTCCTCTTGCAAGAGCTTTATTGGCTTAAAACCGTTATTTTACTCCAACATTTTTTGGTGTTGATTTTGCTTAGAACACTAATAGGAAATATGTTCCAAAATTTTACGCCAACAGAATTTGTATGATCGGCTATTGTGTGCTACTAAAAAATTTGTGAGTGTTTTATTCAAAATATTGAAGATCAAAAATTTCTGTGCTAGCTCATTTATTTATGATGTTCACACTCTACCTTCATGATACAGATGGCAACACACAAGAAATCGTTGTTTCTCCTTCAGACCCAATAAAGAGATTAGATATCAACTTCAAGAATGGACAAAGGCCACACATCATTTTCGATAATCACCTCATCGTAAGTGACTTCACATTCTCATTCTATGGCATCAAGAATGGCGACCACCTCTACTTAATGCCGAATACAACAGGCAAGTCAAATCAGATGACCAGCCCATTTTTGCCTGAAAGATTCAACGAAGCCCAAAAAAGATTCAACATGGCTCAGAGCTTCCATCCAGAGTCTGACCACTCTTTCGTTCTTGAGAGTGTTAGACTGAAAGACCAGTACTTCAACAAAATCGAATCTAACTACTACCTCAATAGAGCTGTAATGGCTAGAACCTTTGAGGCCGAGCAGACTGTTAGAAAGATCAAACATACAAAATTAATCACAGATTTCAAAAAATTATCGAAACCATCGACAACTGCTCTTCCAAAGTTCTGGTAATTTAATATAGAGTGTTTGTATATGTTTTGTTTTACATGTTTTAATAAAATACCATGTATTGTTTTTCAGAAATCCTAGTTTTTTATTTCGGATCTTAAAAATCTGATATATATTGATGCAAATGGTTCATGATAATACCACAATAACTTTCTTTCTCATTTCTGAAAGTTTCAGATCCATTCTTATAGTTATCTGAATTCCTATAGCTGCAAAATTATGTCATATGAATGATTTGATTATAAATTTATGTTTGTTTGTATATGCTTATAATTGTTACTTTGATGATTTGTATTTTCGGATGTATCCAATTTCTGAGAAAGATTGGACGATGGATAAATCGTATTTTATTTGATATCTTCGATCTTCTCCTTATATATATTCAAAATACTTATTAATTTCTTCAACCACACATTTTGATTTTAGAATCGATAGAAAGGTTTATAAAATTTTTCATCTGAGATTGAATTATTACAATATTCTGATTTTCCAATCGGATTTTTATGAAATGAATGATTTTTATTTTTGAGAGAAAGAAATGTCAAATTGACAGCCTACCGCTATTTTCTCTTAGATTTCTAATTCTTCATCGATGGGTGTGTGATGAGTTATATTTCATATTATTCCATATAAGTTTAATAAAATGATGATGTCTGGAATCTTGCCAATTAAAAATAATGAGTTTCAAATGTCTCTACCTAATGATTGTCATGTATTCGTATATGTATTAATAATTTTTAAGTTTCGCATATATTTGAGCTTCTATTCGACGAATCTGGCGTGATTTCTGATTAACATATTCTATATATATGTTTATCTTTTAATATAATAATATATAATTGTAGATAAGCATGTTTTATGAATTTAAATTCGATTCGACGAATAATCCTTGATTTCGAATTATATTATTCTTAAATATCAATTTAATATAATAAGTATAAAACTCAATAGGAGGAAATCCCAAATATCATAATATTTCTTATTAATCTTCTTTATTTATTTTCGAAACAAAAAAATTATAATAATTATCAAAGTTTCGTTGTGTGAATAAACATATGTTGAGACACTATTGATATTTTAATTATCATTTCCCATTTCATGAATTTAAATGAAAGTTTCTGATGAAGATTATGACAAGATCCATTTGATAAATATATAGATCCTACATAAGCATTCAAATAATATTTTGCTACTTAAATCATTTACTTCGACATATTGTGTGAAAGTCAGATCTGTTTTAATGATTCGGGTATAAAATTTTAGTTAATAGAGATTTCTTTATATTGATAAATCGTTTTTGATAGCAATACATATTGTCAGGCAAACCTGTGATACAAAATTATTCAGATAACAGGTTTTAACCAAAAACAGCTGTATGGATGATCTTTCTAACTTATGAGAATGCATATTATATGGGTATTTCCCTTTAAATCCAAATATTTTGGATGGAAAATTTCAATTCTTGACGTTATCACAGACTTTTGTTTTTGATTGATATGTAATGCACTCAGAAAAACAATTATATTTTTAAGGTATTTTACAGATAACATTTATGAATAAAAAAAAAAATTAATGATGATGGCATCCTTCGCAGTGGCAATCATGACAGTGGTCGTGGTGGTCATGATCATCGCAATCATGGCAGTGGCAGCAGCCGCAGTGGTTGTCATCTTGAGGTGGAGGAGGTTTTTCGAAAATTGGCCTTTCTTTGTCAGCTCCGTACAACTTTTTGAGTCTGTTTGAAGCTCTTGGGAGTTTTCTGTTGATGAAATTCGTCAATTGTGGGAAAATTGTTTTGTCGTCATTTAAGTCTTGTTTAAAGATTTCGAACATGTCCTGGAGTGTATCTGCATCGAATCCGATCTCCTTGAGGTGTTCGTCATCCATTGTCAGGTAATATGTCATGACAATCGCTACATCTGCGTCTGGATTGCAGAATTTCGGTTGTAAATCGTATAATTGGATGTAAAGATCAGCCATCTGTGGTCCGTCAAAGTCAAAGTCTTCGGAAACAATTGCTTTGGCGATTTGCTGAGTAATTCCTGATCTTTGGTCAATTTCTTTATGATTTGCAAGCAAAACTTCAAGGAACGCTGGTCCCAAGTATGATATTGTATGGTAATCATCATTGTACATATCCCAAACATCTTCAAGAGCAGATAATAAGTCCATAAGCGGTAATTTCTCAAATCTGTCGGCCAAATCAATGGAAAGTTGCATTGCTTCGATAAGAGGTTGTTGTCCGTAATCTTTCTGAACGATTCTCTTGAGCAACATCTCGTAAAGACACTTTCCATTTGATTCGTCCATTATTTCCTTATCTAAAGCGATTTGGAGTGGTTTACAGAGCTGTGGAAGGACCTTGTTTGGTACTAAAGGTATCCACATGATGAGTGTTTGCATTAAATGATGAGATTTTGAAGGAAATCTGCTCATGAAGTGGGAGAACGCTCCGTACATTGAGAATGCCTCATCAAGGAATGCGAATGGAGGCATATGATTGAAGATTGCGAGTCTTCCTTGAAGTGCGCAGTAAATTAACTCATTTACAGGGAGATTCGGATCTTTTAGACCATCTACAACTGTTTTGAGTATTCTAAATGATGCATTGACCACTCCTGATGACTTAGATTTCTTCGTATAGTCAACAATTTTTGAGATAATCTGATTCAGCTTCTCAGAAGGAATAATTTTATGGAGAACTGCTGCACACTTAATACCTCTCTTAAATATCATTTCATCTTGAGAGGAAAGAAGTTCATCAATTATTTCTAATGGGAAAATTTGAGAACTTTTCGATTCTTGACAAATTTTTGCAAAAGTGACAGCAATTTTTGTTCTGAATTGATTTTCTTTATCATTCAAGGCTTTTAGAACGGCATTCTTCAATTGGTCTTCTTTGTCTAAGTCTATGAATGATAAAACATTCTCTGCTGATCTCTTATCCTTATACTTTTCGAGTAATTCAACTAAAACAGGGACAATTTTTCCTTTTGTTTCAGATAATACTTTCGGATAGTACTCCATGACCTCGCTGATCGATTCAAGAGCCTTGTTCCTGATGTCTCCATCCAATCCGGCCGTTTCTGCAACACCAAGTAAATAAACAGCGATTGAAGTGACATCTTGCTCAGTTTGGTCATTAATCTTACGAGCACATGCAACCAAATAGTCGAAATACACAGGTATAACATGCTTTGCAGCATTCAATCCTGCATCAATAATTTTCCAAAGAGATAATCTGGCTTCGAAGATATCTGCATCGAGCAAATCGATCATCATGTGCATTGCTTGTACACCGGCATCTCCGTATGCTACTGCCATTGACTCTTGTATGTGAGGAATCAATGATGAAATAAATTCTTCATGTTTATGGGTCAATTGGTTTGCAATGTTCCTTATTGCATAGAATAATGGTCCTTTGAGTGGATAATTGTTAGTAAATCCTAAGTTTATCGCATCAATAAGTTCATTTAAACTTTTTTCTTCAAAATTGGCCAGGAAAAATTCAATTACGCTCCAGATCGCTATACTTGCTGGATAATTGGCCGAAGAAAGTTCATCTTTGAGAATATGTAAAATGTGGTTTAATTGGACATGTGTAAACAATCCGGAGATGGAATCGAGTGCACTGAGACTCTTTGTATGCACAGAGTATGTTTCTCCCATGTACATCGCTTCATAAGAAACAAAAATATGGAATAAATATTCAATATCACTGAAACAGAAAAACGGTGTGAAAACTATGACATTTGATAACAACTGTAGCCATTCTTGGTATGATTTGTTAGTTTCGTCGTCAAATAATTCGCTAAGATATTTATTTTCTTTGTTGAACAATTGTGGATGAGCCAAATAGATCTTATGAAGAGCTCCTGCAAATTCTTGAGCTAATCCTGGTGCTTTTTCAACACTATTGAAGAGAATTTTCCATAATGAGTAAATAAACGTTTCTTCTAACTCAGGAGTGATTTTTTCGTAGTCAAATAGATCCATCATACGAACAAATGACAAATGCTGTGATGGAGTTAATGTTTCTATGTTTTGGATCATTAAATTACAAACAAATACTGTATTATACTTGAAAAAGTCATTATTGATGTATTGATATGAGTTTGCAAGGATCAATGCGGCTTGATGAGTGAATTTTTCGCTTGATCGAGCTAAAAATTTGAAAAACTCTTTAGATTCCTTGCCATAATAAAGAGAAAGCATTGAAACACCTTCTAGGAATCCCGAAAATGCTGGTTGTTCAATAACATTTGGTAATAATTCTCCAAATTTTAACCAAAGTTCTTGGATTTGCTTCTTATCGAATAAAAAGTTATTCTTTGTGATATACGGTGAGATATTATAGCATAATCCGGTCATGATTCTTTTGTTGAACGTATTAATAACAATTGGAAATAATTCAACAAAAGATTGAGTTGATAAATTCAATGGAAAAGATGGCCTGTAGTAGTCATTTCCGCTCTGGATAATTTCTTCTCCTTGCTGGTCAAGTAAAGGGAGAAGTTCAAATGGATCCATTCAACGAAAATGCTAAATTTTCAAAATTTAGGAATAATCGCAATCAAAATAAAGAATATGAAAACAAGGATTTTTATATCCGCATGACATTATTCGATAAAATTTAGATGAAATTTTCGTAATTCCCCTAATTAGCAAATCATCTATTATGGGCAATGTAATTTCAAAGTATGCTCAAACCCTTTAATAAATCATACATGTTGATAATAAAAAAATTGAAGTCATCATGCTCAATCGAGATTATTTCTTGTCTGATGCTTTCATTTCAAAATTAATTGGTTTATCATGATTCCCTCAGGCTAAAATATTTCCAGATGAAACACTTCAGCAATATGTCATATGTTTAAACGGAGATTATCATATTGATGTTAAATCATATAATACGGAGAAGCAAATACTATCTAATCATTCAACCTGGAAATTTGGAATAAGGAAATTATAAGAAAAATACTTTAAATAGACTCTTCCAAATCTTACCAAATATGATCGATATTCTATCAATAGTTAAAAAGTACCCTTTGATGCATAAGTTGTTTTCACTTATTTCTTAAAAATACTGTTATATAATAAATCATGCAAAATCAATATTGATCAAAAAGAGAATCCTATAAAAAGAATTGAATCGTTAAAGCATAGAAAGAAATAATATTTAACAACATATACCAAAAATACATTACAAACCAAAGAATGGGCCAGTATGTTCAGGAGCGTACAAGAAAGGATAATTTCTGAGACGTTCGACCTTGAATGATGTTGGTCCTTTTGTTTTGAATGCTTCTCCATCAACTTGGTAACACATTTCCTTATTTGAGTGTAAATTCAATTGATGAGCTTGTCCAAGCTGTTTTCCGAGGTTGATTCCAATATGGCTAGCACCTAATGAAAGAGCTCCACCTTGTGTAATGACTTCGAAGTTTCCATCATCAACAAATCTGTGTTTTTTATCTTTGACGAGGTCCGCACCGCCATAAATGTAAGGAATGTTCTGAACAACGAATGTCTTTGATTCATCTCTGAAACGGAGCTTCTTCAGCTTGTTGTTCTTCATAATCATCGATCCAGATAAGAATTGATGGAGGAAAGGTTGTCCAAACAAGGAGAAGAGTGTAAGAGGTACATACATGAGCTTACTGAATACTTGTGAGAAGAACAACATTGGATAATTCATTCTTGTTTCTGCAAAATCGTTTGCGATGTTTGCATCTACGCCAAGAGAGAAGTAATTGATCATTGGATAGTCCTTAACTATGTTTCCTGTTTCATTGACGTTAACATTCCATAAGTCAATGTTCTTAACGATCTCTCCATTCTTGATTGCTTTTATCCTTTCGCCCAAATCAAGGAAATCAATCATATTGAATGAAGATCCCCAGTTTAAGGTCCTACTTAAGTCATTGCCTGTGCCAAGAGGTATAATGGCAACTGGTGGACGAAAACTCGTTGAATTATATCCGTAAAACTTAGCAAGTTCGGGTACAATCCAATTTGCAGATCCATCGCCACCGGCAATAGCTACTTTGAGGTTTTTATTATATAAAATTGACTTATTGAGTTTCTTGAACTCGTTAAATTCTTTTGGAAGTCTAATAATCTTAATTGTTGAATCACTGACTAAGTGATCAGCAAGGGTCTGTCCTAGACCTCCTCCACTATTGACATTAATAAAGAGAAGCAATCTAACTGACATAATAATTACCAGAAATAATGAAAAAACAAGCCGATCAAAAATTCATTCAAAAAGTTTTCGCCAAATTTTTCGAATATTGCATATTTGGTCTAAGTATCATTATAAATTTTTTTTCGATTGTATTCAATTGAATCAAAGCCATTCAAAAATGATCGCAGCGACCTTCTGAATTTTTTGAGAATGAATTTCGGATTTGAAAGAAAAATACAAGGATTTAGCATTTCAGTCTTTTCATTACTGTTTTAAAAATGAACTGCCCAAAAGTGAGAAAAATTTTCTTCAGTTTAGAGTTTTTGAGAACCTTGAGACGATTATTGTCGTTGATGTTATTAGATATGTTTATAAAAAGCTATAAGCATAGGAAATTGATGGTGTAATCCAATTCCTTTTCAATTGAAGATTGCAAAAAATTGGTAGAAAAGATGGTATACGAGCCTGGGCAAACCCAAATTTTAGCTGAAAGTGACAGGGGAAAAAAACGTTTAGTATTAAAAAAAAAGACCGATGAGAGCTTCGTTCGAAATATAGAGGGAACTGAGAATGCGCAACCATTCTCAGGGAATATTGGATGCTATTCCCGTTCCCTCTGTATGGAAAACTGAGGTTTTCAAAGGGAGTTAAAATAATATCAAATTTATACTAATTTACTTCAAAATACAAAAGTATTTGACAGCTAAAATTAGTTACTTTAGCAAGCCTATCAATACCCTTTTACGATTATTGTTACTTTTTCGAAATAAAAGTAAAAACAAATTTATACTAATTTACTTCAAAATACAAAAGTATTTGACAGCTAAAATTAGTTACTTTAGCAAGCCTATCAATACCCTTTTACGATTATTGCTACTTTTTCGAAATAAAAGTAAAAACAAATTTATACTAATTTACTTCAAAATACAAAAGTATTTGACAGCTAAAATTAGTTACTTTAGCAAGCCTATCAATACCCTTTTACGATTATTGCTACTTTTTCGAAATAAAATAAATTTATTATCAAAAACCTTTTTTTTCTTAGTAAAAATAAACGAAATTTTTTACCTTATGAACTTTTGATGGAAATATGCAAATTTAAAATAATAAAGAAAGCCGCGAGCGAAGCGATCGGCTTAGTTCGAAGATTTTGATTCAAATCTTTGCTGATCTGTAATTCGCGGAAGCCGCGAGCGAATCGAGCGGCTTAGGTCTAAGATTTTGATTCAAATCTTTGCTTATATTCCTTAAATTCTTTATGAAACTCGCAACAGTTCCATAAAAAATTTTAAATTCTAAACTGTCGAAATTACCGATCGGTAATCACACCCGTGAAGGGTGTGTCACTTTTTACAGGCGTGTCACTTTTAGCTAAAATTACCCCTACTCTACGAGCCTGTTCAAAGAGGGTTTAAAAAACATGTATAAGTGCATTTTATTCATACAAAAAAATCATAATATCTTTTCTGAAATACAATAATTTTAATGAGATTTTTAAATCAACAAAACGTTGGGTTATTTCTAATGAAAAAATATCTATATATCGAATAAATAAAGCACTTTTTCATCAACCCATGCTAATATTCCCGAAATATAAATCTGAAATATTATATATAAAATAAAGCATGAAATGTCATAGAGTAATATTATCTAACATGTATATTTCTCCACATTACATCAATTATTCGCTAATTCGATAACTAGTGGGAATTAATCATTTGATTTGTTTCTTGAAGTCCAGATATAAACTATTATAACGATTATGAAACGCAAACTATGTTCCATGATTATTTATGGATCTTGTTCAGCTATATAATATTGAGATTCCCTGATTATTTGTTCCGCATCTTCGTCTGTATTATCTGACAAAAATGATTTCTCTTCACAAGTTGTACTTTCTGATGTTTCTTCAATTTGTTCAAATTTTGAAATAAGATTGATTTCTAAAACGCCTTTATCTTGGATATCTTTTATCTTTTTGTTTCGAAAATTTTTTGTTATTGGATTTGGATAAAAATCGAGTGAGGGATCAATATTAAATTGTTTCCTCGCGTATTCTGCGAATTCACTGAATTTATCTTCCTTGTCTGGTTCAGCAAATACCATTGATCTATCTTGAAATATTATCTTTGCTATTAAATCTGTTGTTGCCATCAATTAATTCAATTTACAAAATAAAATTATGGCATATTATAACAGTAAACTCTATACATTGACTCAAAGAGTGATAATAACTTATACTGTTGAAAATATTAACTCCAAATTTTGTATGAATGAAAAAAAAAATCACCTATAATCTAGCGGGGCGAATTTCCTAAAAAAAAAGGTTCATTCACTCAGCAACAACAGCAAAATAGGACAAGAACATGATGAATTGCATTCATATATAGTGTCTAGCAGGATTCATTTGGATCAGTTACTCTTTTAAATGATTCATGATGTACTTTTTTAGAAAACTCCTTATTAAAATTTTTATGAGACTTTGAGTGTTTCTATCTTGCAATCTGAAGAGTTTGAGAGGAAATTGTCTAAAGTAATAAGTACATCTATAGTCTAGTGGGTATCGCGAATATATTTTCATTGAATGAACAAAACATGACACTATAAAAAGGAATTATATGGTCCACAAAATTTCTGTAAAAGGTGCTTTATCTATAGGGGAAAGGAGACAAAAAATCTGATTCTGTTCAATTAGACATAAAATTAAACCCAATCTTCATATACTTCATCAATTATGAATCAGTTCAATTTGCGAATAACAATCATGATGAATAAAAAAAAATTATAAACAAAATTTTTTATATACAAAACAAATAATATAAATATAAATATACATGGTTATTTCTTAGATTTCTTCTTCTTTTGTTTTTGTTGGGCCATTTTTCTTAATTCATCAATTGTCAGCATCTTTGAAGATTCTTCCTCTTCTTCTTTCTTCTTTTTTGCTTCTTTCTCCAGTCTTTCCGCTTCTTTCTTTGCAGCTTCCTCTTCTTCTTGTTTCTTCCTTTCCGCTGCTTCTGCTTCTTCCTGTTTCTTCTTCATCCTGTTCTTGATGTGAGTTGCTTCCTGAATGAGTTGGTCCAACTGATCTCTCATGTTTTCGAATTGATCTTTCAAATCTCCAACACTTGAACCAACTTGGAACTTCACTTCATTCATTATTCCTTCATTTCTTTGTACATGTTTCTCTTGGAAATTGTTTTTGACTTCAAGTTCATTCAGTTGTTTCTGCATTTCATTGTGTTCCTTTTCAATGATTGTTTTCAGTTCTCCCATCTTCTGCATGATGTCTCTTCGTTCTCCAGCAACTTTCTCATGTTCAATCTTAAGTAATTGATACTTTTCATCACTTTCTTTTTTGGTATTTTTTGCTCTTTCTCTTACATTTTCTAGTTCTTTCTTTTTTTGAGCTAATATTTCTCTGGCTTCTTCTACTTGTGCGTTTTCCTCTTTTACGCGTTTGCAAAGCTCGTAGTAGTCTTTTCTTCGTCCTTGGAGTCTGTTTAATTCATCTTCTGCAATTTCTACAGCACAACCGTTCATATTTGTGTTTCTTCGCTGTTGTGTCTCTTTTAGAGCTCTCTGCGCTTTGTACGAGAAGTCATTCATGTTCAGGTCGACGTCTTGAAGGGTTTTGTTCGTATTTAGGAGCTCTACGAAATGAGCAATTGCGAGATCTTTCATTCTATTGGATCTGAGGCTTATAGAGATCATCGTTGTATTCTTCATGAGTCCTTTAGTGATGGCAACACCTCCATCATCGCCAATTTTGTTGTCCGTCAAATTTAATCTTGTTAATAATTTTGATTTGGCCAAAGCATCGCCAAGAGCAATTGCTCCTGTATCTGCACACATCACATTTGTTAAATTGAGGTGTTTTATGCTCTGACTTTCAACAATTGCCGATCCAAGCATCTTAATTGTGTCATCTCCAAGTGGATTTCCACTTAAATTCAATGATTCGATGGAGGATGTGTTCCTTAGCATTAAATATAAGTTGGAACTGCATGAAGAGTCAATTCTGTTGTTGGAAAGTATGATTTTTTGTAATTTGGAGCCATTTTGCAATGCTTTGTAAAGATCGTTAATAAATTTCTTGCCCAATGTGTTATTTGAAAGATCTATTGTGCGTAAACTTGGTGATTTCGCTATTCTGTCGCATAAAATTGATGAAGATGAATCTGGAATGGAAGTAGAAGATAAAACAAGCGTAGTAATGTTAGCCATAGATCTGTCTCGAGTAAATAATGCTGTAACTCCGTTGAATTTCAATCTATTTTCCGAAAGATTTAAATAATCTAATCCTTTATTGTAAGTTAACGCTTCTCCAATTAGTTTGAATGCCTCACCTGATATACCGCATGTTGCAATATTTAACGATGATAAAGTAGTATTAAATGCAAGTAATTTTGCAAGATCTTTGATAGTTTCGCCACCTACACGATTTCTGCTAACACTATCAACTGCACTAAGATCTAAAGATACTAAATGTGTATTTCTTTTCAGACCTCTGAAGATATGAGTCAAGGCTGTTGGAGATAAATTGTTTGAACGCAAATCAAGACTAATAAGTTGTGTATCATTAATTAATAACTGTCCGATGCACTGTGCTCCCTTTTCTCCGATTTTATTCTGTGATAAATCTAGAACTGAATAATTTGGGTTTTGAAGTATCAAACGGACAATAGGAACAACTGAACTTTCTCCTAATCCCAAAGCTGAGAAATTTAAACACTTGTTTCCAACAGCATTCATGAATTGTTCGATAAATCTCTTTTGTGCGATCGGATGGGTATCAATATCGAGTTCACTACACTTTTCTAAGTATACATTCAGTGCATCTTCTTCTGTGATCCCTTGGTGTTGAGAGATAGAATTAACTTCTCTCAGAGGAGGAAGAGCTGCAAATGCTGAACTCGGCTTTCTTCTGCATGTAATAGCATTTAATATCTTTGCATCTGACTCTTTCCGGAATGAATCGTTCAAGAAACGCTTCATTCCGTGAGATACCTAAAAAAACGAGTTTTTTTATTCAAAAAATTTTCCTTATTCCTTTCAAAAAATTGTATATTTTGTAATGTTTACACGGAAAGATTTATAAACAAATAATTTGATCAAAATGAACCTCTTCATTAGATGATATTAATGTGAAATAAATAAACTAATATAAATTCTCATATGAATTTTTGAGTTATTTTTGGAAAATAATCTCTGACGACGACGAATTTCCTGTCAAATTGCCATCGGTTGATTTTATTATGAAATTCATCTGAAATGTCATCAGTATATCCCAATAGATCGGTTCAATAAGTTAAGAAGTCGTAAGACATAGTTCTAAATTGATGCGGCCAAGTGAAAGTTTTTTTTTCGGGCTATTTTTTTTTCACATAATATAAATAAAATGAGTCATCCTCTTAGCAATCCATGGTCCATTTATTCATTCACAAATCAAGAAGGAGAATCAGACTACGTCAAGATGATCAAACTCCTCGCAAAAGTCAATACAGTTGAAGAATTTTGGCAAGTTTATTCACATCTCCAACCAATTTCAAATATTGTAATTAAAAATGGCATTCATATCTTCAAGAACGACTCACGTGCTATGAGAGAAGATCCAGAAAATATCAACGGTGGTTCATTCTTAATTCGTATCACTCGCTTGTCTCCATTTTTAGGGCCATCGCTTTGGGAAAAGTTTGTACTTTGCCTCATCGGTGGCCAACTCCCGCCAGATGTCATCGGCATTACAATTTCACCTCGTCCGAAAGTTTATAACTTATCTATTTGGCATCAGACCGCTGAAAGCCCAGAACAGATTACTGCCCTATGCCAGGAAATAGTACGAATTGTTAACATCCCAGCTAACTTCAAAATCGATCATTCCCTCAATAAAGATATCGGAGGTGAGTCTAAGGTTTTGGTTATCTATCAGGTTAAGGAAGATCATACAATTGAAGTTAAGAAATAAATATTAAATATTACTTAGTAAATTAGACTTTTCGTATAGAAATATCTCGAAAAATTCTCTTTTCTCGTCTGAAATCTGCTGAAAATGCTTTTCTTTTACATTCTGAAGCTAATTTATGTCCTTGATTTTTCCAAAAAAAAATCAAAATCTTTTTATTCAAGAAGATTTCGTATAAATTTTTCATCATTTTTTGGATTTTGAAAAAAATTTGGAGATTTCATGTCTTTATTTTAAGGAACCAAATCGATAGAAATATGTTATTATTGCAAATAAATCATTTTCACCCAAAATTTCTGACTTCTATCATTTAATAATTAAAAATTTGATATATAAATCAGATACATTATAAGAATTTGAATGTTTAATGCATATAAAATCATAACCCTTCAAATGACATTTCAAATATGCTTAATCTGATCGGACATTAATGAAATTAAACAAAAATAATAGAATTATTTTTTGAAAATATGGAAATTCGTAGTATATGAAAAGAGATTAGAACTTATTTTTTAAATAGTGCGTTACTTCTAAACTTGAAGTATTACTAACATAGAAATATTAACTTACTCCAAGTACATCTTCTGAATTACGACCTGGCGCTTAAGTGCCTCGATGTCGGACTTTGTAATCTTAAGGAACTGATCGAATTTCTTTTGGTCCTTGATGCTTGTTCCCTCTGTATAGATGTGTTCGCCCCATCTCTTGTAATGCTCTTGGAAATTCTTCTGTGGGAAGTCAAGGGCGACTTTCTGGATGGTTTCGCGTAAACCGGCCATAACAGACTCGTTGGCAAAAGTACGGGAGAGGAAAGAAGAGAGCATACTAAATATAAATTGAGTAGGTGCCAAAAGTGCTTACTCTTAAACAACCGTCGGATTTCCGGGTGAAATCGTGACACACTTTCGTCTTTCGTAGGCAGTGGTGATTGTTACAAAAGGTAACTTCGAATGTAGCGTGAAATCTGCAAAAAAAAATTCTGAAATTTGAATGGAGAACACAAAAATTGAATAGTTTACGTCAATAAAAAAGAGAAAAATGAAGCCAATGCGTCTCGAACCTAGGACTTAGAGCAGCAATCCCACTGTTTATCACATTACACTACATGCATCTCTCACCTCAGTGAATGAGATCAACTATATGATAACTTTTCCCCCATTATATTCTTGTGGAAAAGTGACAAATAGCAACTTTGACCCTCTCTCAATATAAATTCTGAAATTTTTTTTGAATGCATTCTTTTAATTTGAATTGATTAAGGTAAGGGTTTCGTTTTGCGAAAAAACGTACAATACGCAATTTCGCTAAAAAAACATTTAGCTAGCAATTTCGACCTTTGACTCCACTCAAGACGTCACTTTTTTAATTTTGCGGTATCATATTTTTGGAAAATCTTTATGAATATTATATAAAAAGTCTCTTTAATATCTATATTTCATATTTTTATCGATTTTTAAAGTTTTTGCGAAAAGTATTCAATTATTTTTGCTATTTGGTCGGGTAAATGTCAGATTTGCGACATTTTCTGATATGATATTCAGATTCTACGTTGATAATAATGCTTATAGAACCCTCTTGCTATTGTGTCAAAATTGCGAAACCGATAGCAAAAATATCTCGCAATATCAAAATTGAGATATTGAGTGAATTCTGCATTATAGAGATTAAAAATCTGATTTGTGAAAACATCTCATCAGTTTCTAGCTAATTCAAAAATCTTTACTATCTTATTCGATTAAAATGAAAAGGGAATAGTTTCATTATGCTTTAAAGGACAGCCTTATAATATAATCATAGTTTTCGCTCAATATGCAGCATTTTTTTTTCGAAATCTATGGTCAATATCCTAAATACTGATTGCTTTGCATTCATATCTCTTACATTTTCTATACCCACATCACTATTCATTGCTATTCCTATCTTTTTCATTTTTGTTTGTTTCTCATAATTTCTCAAAAAACATGATAACTTGATATTTGTAAATATCATACTTTATAACGTAAATAAGAACTTGACCTATTAAGAAAAGCAGTAATGAAAAGAAAATCTGAAATTCATAAAAATTACAAGTTTCTGATGACAATTAGCTTAATTAAACCAGGTACAAGATTATATAATTGTATTTTCTATCCAATTATCCATATAATATCTTATCCAGAAAAAATAACTTGATCAATACCAAATGATTTTTTAACTAGTAAATAAAGTATTTTCTTTACACACACATTGTATATCATAGTTTTTTTTTTTGGTTTCGCAAAACATCCAAAAACAAATATGCTATAAAAGTGACAATTTTAGCAAAACGAAACCCTTAATTAAGGCGATAATAAATTGCCTATAACATTTCAAACACTTTTTTCAAAGTTGTTCAGACAAAAAATTTTTTCCCAAAAAAACAGTTTTGTTCAGTGATGTGTAATCGATTTTATGTAAAATGTAATGCATAACTCCTAAGCTTTTATTTCACATGATCCAAGTTCAAATTTGAAAGGATTGTATATCGAAACTCATGAACCAACCTTAAAACCATAATTAAATTATAAAATAATATTTTATTCATCGATAAACACTGTTCTACGTTATCTATTCATGAAAATCATGAAGATAATCAAATTTTCCCCGATATCGGTTCCGAGAAGTGAGACTTGATCTATAATCAAGTTATTAGGAGTATAATACATTAATAAGGTTAAAACAAAGAGTTTTTGAAAATTTTAAAATATATATTTTTTTTATGGTGAGATTATGATTGTTCGTTAACAAAAAAGACTTGATTTGATTTAAGTGATTTATAAAAGAAATATTTAATTTCAGAAAAAAATAAAAGTTATCATATTTAATGACCGCTTGTAAGAAAACGAAGGAGAGTCATGATCTGCTCCGGGGTAAGGCTACTTAATCCATCATCACCTACTGGCTGGTTTTCTGGCACTTCACCACCATATTGAGTTTCAGACAACTTATCTAAGTTGTTTAAGATTTCCTTAGCCGTATCAGAGAGTCCAGCAATTGGATCCTGGAGGACATCCTGCTTCTTGCATTCAGCGACGAGTTCCCAGATAATAGCACGAGTTACGACAGCTGTAGTATCATCACAAATAGCAATATTAGCGAAGTCAATGATCTTCTTAATAACAGGGACGGAAAGTTCTTTGTAGTCCTTAAGTTGGATGCAATAATTCTTGATTGCGAGATGAGCGAAAGTATATTGAGGGAAGTGCTGAAGAATAGCTACGAATTTATCTTCGATATGAGCTCCCTCGAGGATCTTGCGGACTTCCTCGAGATTTAAGGCTAACTTCACAAGAAGGTTGATAGCGATGACCTGGTGTGGGTAGTATGTGTTTTCGAAATCAAGGAATCCAATGATTGTGTTAATTTCTGGCATAAGAAGGTTGGCTGTGCTTTCTGACAAAACATCGTAAACTGCTTGCCACTTGTTCTCAAGAATGCGTGGATCGGATATAGCGAAGTTTAAGAGAAGCTTTGGAATGATCTTTGGGTCTTGTACTTTTGGTTTCATTTTGTCACTGTTTGACATCAAGGAAATAAGCTTGTAGATGCTGGAAGCGCGGCCTTCTGTGTATGGATCCTGTGAATCGGATATCGACTTGAGATAATCAAGAAGTTTCTCGAGGAAATCCGATGAACTCATTTGGTTCTGAACTTCATCGAGAGAGAGCTCTGTTATAACAAATAATGATTCGAAAATTCCATAAACGGCACGAAGATGGATATATGGGAAGAATTTGTCGACATAAGATACATCTTTGAATAATAAGCTTGGCTTCTTCAAAGCAATAAGTTCTGTGATATGAGCAAACCTGTTAATATAAACCTCGTCAGGGTTCTCGTTGAAAACTTCCTTGGAAACTTCGTCAAGCCAGCTTGGAGTGTTGCTAATGGTAATAAGCAGTGAATCATTTTCAACACCGAATAACTGGTAGGCGCGTAAAGCATTAGGATCGTTGCTTAATGCGCATGCGAGTACTTCAACAGCGCGTTCGTTTATAAATTTCGATAAACTAGTAAAATTTTGTCTAAAAGCGCGAATGCAGCTGTCATCTGAGAGAATTGCTTGAAGAGATGGGTTTGGCTCTTCGAGGAGGGATACAAGTTTTGGTGCAGCTGGTGGGAGTCCAAAGCCAAACATTATATTTCTATCGTCTTGGTTTGAATTGATTTTGTAAACTATAAATGTGATATGATTTTATTTTGATTAATACCCCTCGTTTTTATGTGAGATTTAAAAGTGATTATTGGGCATTATTATAATTATGACATTAAAATCGATTATTGATCAGGCCTATTTGAAAAAGTGACAATTAACAGATTTTTATAGTTTTAAGTTTTAATCGCTAATTTAAAAAGGAATTTACATATATTAATTGATGGCCAAATAATGGTAAAATATACAATGATATCATGGAAAGTAGTATATGTTGAAGGGTTGTGTGACCTTTTTTGTAAACGTAAGAATTCATACAATATTGAACGATTTTGTATCATTTTTTTTAACATATGAAGTAAAAATGAATGATTCTTACGGTTTTTATTCTTACGTTTTTGAATAAATCAAGATTTAAAAATGATACAAAATTGTAAGACATTTACACTCAACCCATAAATGATGTAATAAACACATTAAAAGAAGCTATATATAGATGATGTCAGATATTCCGCGATTAATTAAACATTGTTTAAATCATGAATGGAATCAATGGAGTCATAATCAAAGACCTCATAAATGAGAAAAAGAAATTGAAACTAATGATTATTTGAATTTATGAAATTAATTATTTGATTCATTCTTTCTTCAATCTCTTCTATTCTTTTTGTTAAATCATCTATTTTCATTAATGAGGTGATTCTTGATTGGGGAATAGATTTCAAACTAACCACCCCCTTTATTTTTGAAATTTTGAATCCATCAACTTTAAACAGAGTGCGGGACAAATTCGCCAAGTGTCACTTTTTCAATAACCTTAAATTACGCTTTTCTAATTTTTAAAAAATAACCTTAAATTATATTTGAAGAAATTATGTCTATGATATATGTTTTATGCTAGAATCTTGGAGTTTTCATGCACTACACAAGAGCTTCAAGGTTCCAAGAGTGAATGCTCAATAGCAATTATAGAGATGTACCTTTTCAAAATGACTTTTACTGATTAAATTTAATCAATAGAAGACATTTTGAAAAGGTACCTCTACAATTAGATATACAAGAGATTCAAAGCTTCATTTCAGATAGATTTGAAACTTTGAAACTCTTGGTAGATTTTGAGTGAATGCTGACAATCATCTTTGAGAAGGTTTTCTTTAAGAAAACCTTCTCAAAGAGGTTTCTCAGGAGCCCTGAGGCTCCCTTTCGTAATGATTGGGAGCCTTGGGGCTCCTGAGACGAAGAATGGCTTCGCCGAATCTTTGATCAGCAGAGGCCAAATGAAAAGGCCTCTGCTGATGGATTCTCAGGAGCCCTGAGGCTCCCTTTCGTAATGATTGGGAGCCTTGGGGCTCCTGCAGCAGAGTATCGCTCCGCTCCATTAATTTTTTTTAAAAAAAGTGCCGTGTGGCAAATTTGTCCTGTTCCCCTTTAAACATTTTATTCAATTTACATGTTGTCAATTCTTCAAATAATTTTTTATTATTAGCATAATAGTCATTAAATTCTTCAACAGATGAAAAATTTTTTATTTCAGTAATTGGTTTAACAACGTTAATTTTTTGTTGAACATCTTCACTCTCATTTATTTCATCCTCCTTTGTTTCATTTATTTTTAAAATCGGTTTCATTTATCATTAAATAAAAATTAGAATATAAGTGATGAAAATGAATTTTTAATTAATATTAAATCAGAAATGGCGGCAGGATTCTTTAAAAAATTATGGGATGGAATTAAGAAAGCTGCGGGTTGGGTTTATAAAAAGATTATTAAACCCGTTGCAAACTTTTTGGCACCAGTAGCGAAAACGGCAGGAACTATCATAGGTGGAGTATTAGGTACTAAAGCAGGTAATCCGGCGATGGGAGCACAAGCAGGTAACGTAGTTGGTGGAATAGCTGAAGGAATACTTAATAAAATAGGTGGTAGATAGTGGAAAAATAAATATGAGATCCTATGGATCATCTCACCGCTTAGCGGCTTAAAATTATTTTTATCTTAGTATCGGTTGTAGTCTTTGATAAACTTTTTCTCCTTTATTTAAAATTTCTCTTATTGGGGCAGCTTTTGGTGTTATTGATTCAGCAACGTCACTAATTGCTTCTTTATTCTTAAATATCCAATTTGCTCCCTTCTTCAATGTTTCCCAAACTTTACTCGCTCCTCTTTTTACTTTATCCCACAGTTTCTTAAATATACCTGCAGCCATAGTTAATTATTTCATTAAAATTAAAAATTCATTTTCATCTTTTAATTTTTATTTTTTATTTTTTAATAAATGACGACTAACTATTTAGTGCCAAACACTAAACCGATTAATGGAAATGTGTTTCATTCATTTGAAAAGATAAATGAAATATTCGCAAAGAATGATGGTAGAAGATATTATAGAGAACTTGAAAGTTCATGCTATGACTCTGATACTCCATATTTTGATGATAAACAAACTCATTTAAGAATTACAAATCCAGCTCATGATGTGAACCAATTAGGTGACACATATATTAAACGCAAAGTTAAAGTAACTCTAGTTTCAAATAAAGCTTTCACATGTGATGCCGCTTTTAAATGTATGCGTTTATTCGTTGGTTACAAATCATCAAATCAAAACTTTAAACAATTAGAAGTAGAAACTGAATGAGGTGATGCCGGTTATCTTCAAATGGATTGCGCCCGTGAATCTTTCGCATTTGCAACATATAAACCAAAATCAGAAAGGAAAGTTAAAAAGTTTGTTCATTCGTTATATAATAATGTTCAAAAATATGATAACTCAGTATGTGGTAAATATATTGACCCTTCAGAAGTTTTCAAGAAGCAAAAAGAAGTTGATGTCACTTTTGATATGATTATTCCGGTAAATGATTTGTTAGCATTTCAGGCGTTCGATGATTATCCTAAATCATTTGGTGATATCATTCTTAAATATTATGTTTTCAGGGATACTTTAGTATTTTGTCAGGTTGACCCGTTAAGAGTTGCTGATTTACAAAATTACGTTTATGAAAAGATAACTGATGAAAATTATGAAAAGATTATGAATCATGTTTATAAATATGATCGCAAATTCCAACAAATCGGACTTCCTGCCAAATTAATTACAAGCTTAGCCGCTACATCTGCTGACGCAACAGTTGATGACGTTATTATTTCATGCACAAAGATGGAAGTTTTAGAGGATAAATGTATTACACCAGGATACGGTTTAATTGAAGAATCAGTTAAAGCAATACCACGTTTATTCAGTAAGGAAGATCCATTCATGATTCCAGCTCAACATATTGACGTTCGTTCACTAAATGGAGGTTGCATCACTCCTGAAGGTATTAGCTCAGATTTCTCATACGCTCTTCATAATGTTACAGATGTTGTGTTAACATTTCCGAAGAATGCAATGCAAAGAACAGTTTTAGAAAATCCAATGCTTCGAGGTCTTCAGGTCACTATAGATTCCAGAAACTTCCCCGATCAAGCGATGACCACAGTGGGTGACATATTCTTTACACGTATGCTTCAAGCTTCTGATTTAGATGGAGTGAATGAATGCACGGAAGAATACGAGGACTCATTAACTAGACCACTGAATGCAGATGATGGCACGCCATTAGCTAGAACATGGAAAGACCAAACTTCATTCTTATGCACTATTCCAGTTCAACGTGATGGAGCGGGTATATTCTTTGATGGATTAGAAACTTTCAACTCACAAGTTACAGTACAAGTGAAAGCTTATCCAATCATTCAGGGTGAAAATGACACTTACTGTTCAAAGGTGACAAATCCTCCTCAGGTTTGGTTTACTAGGACTACATATTGGACATGGACACCGGATGAAGGTTTGAAATATCATTCAACAGGTACACCACCACAGTATAGAAGTTCATATGATGAAATATTGATGAATAGAAATGTTTAAAATTATAAATTTATTTTTGATTAAATGGATTTAAATTCATCCACCCCTTATGAAGAATTAGCAGGAGTATATAATACATACGTAGATGATATGATTAATGAAGCATTGAGTGATAATAGAAATGCTCTATCTAAGGAAAAATTAATGAAAATTCCATATTCTGAATGTTACTTAAATTCAATCACTGCAGCAATTGGTAAACAAAATAAAGGTAAAACATTAACGATATTAAAACAAATTATCATTATTGCTAACACTTCCCCCATTCACATGTGTTAATTTATATCAACCGTTCAGGTTCACCTTCAGATGATACATTTGAATCTTTAAAGCATTTAATCAAAATTCCAATTATTTATTTATCACAAGAAGAAGCAGAAGATTATTTAAAAAACTTTTTAATGTATAAAGAATTATATAATACAATCAAGAAGCAAGGATTAGAGGATAAAATTATTGATAAACAACGGGATGAATTATTTGAAACACTTTCCATTTCAAATTTTGATAAAGAATTTTTGCATTCACTCATTTTTCTAGATGATGCAGTGAAATCAAAACTAATAACAAATGAGAAATCATATTTTAATCAGTTATTAACTCAATGTCGACACATTCAGTGTTCATTCTTTATGGCTGTTCAATATTTCAAAGCATTAAGCACAAACATTAAATCAAATCTATCAACCTTTTCATTTTCAGTGGGTTTAGTCGTCAACAGTTGAACGTTATGCTTTATCAAGTGAATTTACCAATGAGCATTAATGAACTTTACACACAATATCAGCAATTAGGTGAACATGGAAAAATAATAGTTGATTTAAATAAAGGATGTGTTAAATTTGATTAACTTTTTATAATTAATTTTTATTTTTTATTTATAATTAAACATGACAGAAATAGCAAATCTTTTACAAGTTCCATTAAAACAAGGGACAAACAAAAGGGGTGCATATAATAGAACTATGAAAGTTCCTGATGGAATGAAAGAATTAGTTCATATTGTTGCTGGTCTTCAAAAAGATGTTAAACAAATGAGAAATGTTTTAACATTACCAGAAGCTCAAGCAT